GGCAAGTCGGGAAGAAGAACAAGGCTGCCCACTGGGTGGCACTACTTGCAACAAAGATCACGGGAGGAGAGGACCACACACGGTGTCGTTGATTTGATTCGGCTCTTTGCTCAGTACACTGATCTATCTATCCCGCGAGCATCAACGACTATGAAATATACGGCATCAGTCCCACAAGCCATCACTGCTGAAGCCGCTCCGTCACTGGCACCCGACTCGCGTGCGTCTCATAGACGTACTGGCACAGCATTGTGTGCGGGGACGATGGCAGCTGCTGAAGCCTCCCCTGGAGCGTACGAGGTTTCCTGCCGTCGAGAGTTGTTTGTGTTAGAATCTCCCTCTTCCTCGGGGCGTGGATGCCGCAAGTCGCCGGGCACTTACTCTTCAGAGATTCTCCGTCGTGAAGTTTCATGTTGCACTTGTGTACATGACGGCAGGCTCTCGGTCGAGCTGCCTGCTTCGACAATGACCGACGACACGGACTGCTTGGGCATGTTTACCCGGCACAAGGAAGAGCTTGGGGGAGAGGGTTTTGTAGACGAAAGGAAGAGACCAAGAGACGGATGATGTAGGCGGATGTGACTGTGACTTGATATGATTGTGCCTGGAAAGAGGGATCATGGGAGCGTGGACGAGGGGGCCAGCACCAGCTTTTATACGCCCTTCGTCGTCGCCGGCCTCCCACAACACCCATACCCGTGGGCGCGGATGAATAGCTGAAAAAAAGAGGGTGTGCCATATTTTGCCTGCCGCGATTCGAAACAAGTCTAGAGACGCCCCGATCGTGGGACGTGTTGCTTTTTCCTTCTTGTTGCCTCCCGTCTTCTCGCGCCTGGGCAGAGGGCCAGGGATGTGCCGGATGGAAGGGGCCGAGCAGCGACGCGCTGCCAACAATAGACACGAGACATTGCGAGGAGACCATGAGACGGAGTCGACTATTCTTTGCTGCACCTGCGTGTTGGTCGCCCATGGCCCAACAATTACCCGGTCCAACTTGCGGGTGTTGGGGGCCGGGATGCCGGCCAGCCAGCACAATCGCACCGTGGTGTTTTGTAATCAGAGCTTCCAGCTTCCAGCTTCCAGATCGACATCTTGGCCTGCCCGGCCCAGAGACGGATGGCTCTGGCTGGACACGACGACGACAGCTACAGGGGCGTGTCTCTGCCGAATGGAGACGAAACACCAGTGTGTCTGCTTATCAAGAGGTAGTTGCCCGGAGACAAAAGAGAGAAAGAGGATGAATTGTAAATGCTACCACCTGTCACTGCGAAACGGGAACCGTGGGGTGGCTGTTGGTGGGAGCCAGAGCCCGGCAGTAACAGCGGCATCCCAGTTGAGATTCCTACATTGCCGTGCGTGGACTAACGCCATTTCCCAATCCGCTGCCCACGGGCCAAGTCATTACATTACGTCTTGACTCTTGACAAAGTGCTGTTTACTAGCCGCGGGCCACCGTCCACGGCCCCTGCAGCGGCGGACCCCTGGACACCCCATCCATCCCTATCCTTGTTGCTGTGATCGTGTGTAGCCTTGTAGGTCCGTACGTCTGAGGGCTGCTGCTCGCAAGGCGAGGACAATGGAGCGTGTTGCTCCTTCCACATGTGCCGTCATGAGAAGCATTCGACGCCCCTGAAGCCTCTCGACGCCTGCGGAGAGGCGGAATACGCGGGCTCGGTTCGTCCCCGAGTCTCTGGGCGAAATCAAATCATGTCTAATTCTGGCACTACTTTGATGAAATACAGGTGCTGGAGAGGGAAAAAAAATTCACCCCCAAGACCAAATGATGACGACTCGAGAGCAGGCTGGTGGCGCTTCACGCAGGCCGTACGTGTAGTGTAATATCATATATGTACGTGCTCCTGTCCGATCCCGAGTCATGAGCCGGCACGCTCCATGGAGTCGAGGGCTTCTTTTTCATCTCTGCAGAGCGGGGAACAGCACGGGGGGGTGTCAAGTGGTCTCTTGTTTGGAAGTTTCAGGAACTCTTCTCTTGCTGGCCAGGGCGCCTCCCACGTCTGCTTCTGTCTCTGCCTCTGCTTCTGCCTCGCCGGGCCACGGGCAAACCTGGCCTCGGATCGGTCACAATACGACGGCTTCCCAGGCCGCAAGACGAGGACAAACGGCTCTGCAGCATCCTGCATGTCCGTGTCTCATCATGGAACGCCAGATCAAGGTGTGCGCGACGATGTGGTATAGGCTAGCATTGTCGATCGCAATGCCACGCTTGGTGCTTGGGTGCCTCTTTGTTCCCTGCCCCGAGGCGCCCTCTTCTCGTACATGGACTGGCGGCGGCGCCCCGAATGCGAGCCAGTCGGTCACCATTGGCACGGAAGCGTCACCCGGTACAAAAGGAGGAGGGTTCGAGAAAGTAGCGCCAGACGCAATGCCGCTGCCCGTCGTCCGACATCCGTCGTCCGTCATGGCTGCCTGAGGGCAACGAGACTTCGGCGCAAGGCAGCGCTTGGCCGGGGCAGGAACGAGGACGGCCGGCTCTTCGGGGATGGATCATGGGCATCTCTACATGTGCGCTGACTCCTGACGCGTGATGCGACCGGGGCCTGATCCGACGGGTGCCCCGGGGATCTTGGCGCGGCAGCAAGGACATACATGTGCATTGCCGTACGCTTGTACGCCTGGTATGCTGACCTGGGGGCTTTGCGAAGGGCTCCTCGTCCTCGCGGCCGACTCGGGGCGCGGCCTCACTTGGCCCGCGAAGCGACGAGGCCCAGCGCGGGTGCTATCCGGGCGTTGGTTAGACGTTTGCTCGAAGCTCGCTGCGTCCACGGCCCAACCAGCATGAACAAGACATGACGCGCTCTGCCGGATCTCGCGGCACGCTGGTGCCGTGAGTCTGGTGGGACGCGCCCGTGAGGGCGGGAGACGGGGCCGACTGGCGAAGCCGGCGAAGCTGAAAAGAAAAGTACAAGTAAAGCGAGACTTGAAGTGAAAATAAAAATAAAAATCCCAACCTAATCTAAACCGCGACAATAGACAATGCCATGTAAATGCCATTCAAGATTGCGGGAGCGGGCCGTCGCGACCCCACTTGGCTTGCCCCACTGGGTTTAGACCCCTGCTGAGTAATAAAGCGCCTGCCGGCCTTTGGACTCGTTATCGACGTGTTGATGTCTGGGCAGCTTTTGAAAGTTCTCGCCCGTCGACCTTTGATCGCCATGACTGCCAAGCACAGGCACGACTAGCCCCCAGACAAGACCCCCAGAGTCTCCGGCGTAATCTACATGCATCCATACATGACGATGCGCCTGGGTGCGTGGCCTCGCGGAATCACCGTCCCGGCGGCTGGAACGTCCTGACATGCTCTGGCAGCCAGGTCTTCACGGGCAACAGCGCCGGGTGCAGCAGGCCACCTAGACGCCATGGAGAAGCCCCGGGTGATGACCAGCCTTGGCTTGCTCGTCTTCCTCTGACCCCCGGATACCGTCGGCCTGATCCGGTTTGTTGGCCCGGCGAAAGGAGACACGGCTGCCTGGAGGAAACTCTAGAATCCTGGAGCCATCGTTGGCGACCAGCCCTGCCCTTCCATGTCCTGCCCTGCTCGGGATGATGGCGCCGTGGTTGCAGCTCACAGCCCGTCATCTGGGCAAGCCACTGGGGCCTGACTCGCAGGGAGACGATTGATCCGCACGAGTTCCCCGAAATTGGTGACTTTTTGTAAAAAAAAACCGTTTCGTTTTTTCTACTCCATTTACTTCTTCTTTATTTTTTTATTCTTTTGGTTTTTTGGCCGCAGGTGGTCTGTGTAAAACTAGTGACGCGCCCAGGACGGACCACGGACCAGTCTGATAGTCGCTTCAAACACGTCTTGAAGACGCCCCTGCTGGGCTGAGCTGGGCTGTGCCGGCATTTGAGTTTGCACTTTGAGAAACTATGTCCGTGGCGGCAGACTCGAGCCTGGAATCGTCTACGTCGACCCTTTTCCCGTCTCCTATTTTTTTTGGCCAACTGCGAGGCCCAACGTACCTCTCTGGAAGACTACACGGTGCCTTGCCGCCAGATTTGAAAAGAACAAACAGAATCACGGGTGGACCTCGTCGGTACATTCCCCATCATCCTGGGTACTCAAAAATGATGGCCAGGAATGCGTGCGAAACGTATCATCGAGGCTCCTCCTCCTGCATCTACCTACCTTCCACTCGCCCCGGCGGTCTCGTACTCGAGGTTGGCCGGCGCGGTGGGCGGACCCGGCAGCCATGTCCGCTTGATGTCTTGTGCGTTGGCAAAGCGCACGTGTGAGCCTTTGGCACAGAATACGGAAATGCGGCAGAGCTCCTGGTTGAAGCAGAGACCCTCTGCGCTTTGCTGGCTGGGACGCTCCGGTGCCGTAGGGCTCTTTTTTCCTCCTCACAAGACAACGGAAAAGCGGCCAACGGCACTCTCCGACCCTCAGCAGACAGTACTCGTTTTCACCTGACACGAGAACTGCAAAAAGACGTCGTGGTGTCGGCTACCGCGGACTTTTGTTGCGCCGTCAAGCACATCAGCAGCGTTCGAGACCCTGGGGCACGGACAGACTATACAGGGTTTCGCCAGCACGTCTCCCCCTTTGCTCCGGTCACTTCGCGGGCCGGGGCCCAGGCAGCAGGGGAGCTGGGGGATCAGAGTGCTGACTGATGCGGATGGAAGCAAGCAAGGACTGTACGTGCTGCTGCTGCTGCTATCCTTGTCCTGCTTTTACTACTTGACAGGCAGGGGGGGACGCCGGCGGCGTGTTCTACAAAAAAAACACAGGACGTGCGTAGGACTCTGTCGACCTTGCTCTTCTCGCTCTTTCTGGGAGTCTGGGACCATTGCATCAATCTCTTGCGTGGTATTCAGCTGCCTACGCGTTGGCCTCCCTCGGGCGTGAAATGTCCCCCGTGTGCCGTGTTGGATATTCTTGCGCCGTCATGTTCTCGCCCGTCCCCATCCTCGCACACGGCACATGGCAGCCCGTTTGTGTTGTGCTGCGTCTCTACATTTCAGCCCTGTCGATACATGCCCTAGTGGTATTTCTGCACAAAGAGCTCATTGATTGGCAGCTCCTTCGTCTCGTAGAGGTACTTGTGGAGCATGAACTCGTTGCGCTTGGAGCGCTTCTTTTTCGCGGCGCCGGCTGCGCTGGTTCCGGGACCCCTGGAAGGAGCACGAGAAGGCTCGGTTAGCACACGTCTTGTGCGGATGACTTGGCACACTGCTCTTCTTCTCTTCTTCCCTGGGCAGACAAACTTTTCCGCGTGGTCCTGCTCGTGGACGGCGTTGATCAATGCGGCGCGGGTGCTTTGAGCGTCGTCGGCCATGATACAAATTTATCAGCTGGGCAGCCCGCGGGCCGGAGGGGGGAGGGAAGGCAACGATGTCCTCGTAACAAGAGTGAGAAGCACAAAGCAGCTCGGCAGCAAGGAGATTCCAGAGGCGCTGAGGAATAACGTGTGGCCCACAGTGCTCCGAGCTGGGCGTATGGGAGGTTATTTATCCTTCGTGGCGGTCTGCCGCTGGCTGGCTGCCGGGGCCGCGAGGGCGAGAGGGAGAGGGAGAGCGGTCCTTGATCCGAGGCCGTGGACACAGCGTCTCCGGTGCTGTCAGCCAAAAAGCTCGACGACCCCATCGTGGCACAGTCTGCGTCCAAAGTCCTCAACACGTCTTGTGGGAGGCACGGAACGGGGACGTTGGCCCACGGTGCTCGTGACGGATGAAGCGGCCATCGGTCTCAAACTCAGCGCGCTTGTGTGATATACGACACCAGAGCTTTTCAGCACCTTCTGCCCTGCCGGGATGTAGGAGAAGGCCTGGCCAATGGTTCGAGGCCGGCTTGGCACAGCCGGTCCTCCGGAACCACGCACAACGCCATTGATCGTCATCGCTCCAATGCGAAGCACGACCGTGTCCGGACGCTCAGAGGCAGCCAGGGCGTCGTGCCACGACGCCGTCTACATCGTGGTGGCTTTTCAGGGCAAGCGACGGGCTTTCCCTGTCCTAATAAGCCCATCGGCTACTGGGACCCCGGCATGTCGTGAGTTCGTGGACGGGTCCTCTCGAGTCGCAGCCCGTTCCCACGTACCCGTGGCTGCAGTGGTCACGATCATGATTCCCGTCTAGGAGCTGCTGGCTGGGGCGTGCTCCCAACGCCACAGACACACATACGCACCGATTCAAAGGCTAACCGGGAGTGAGGTGAGGCCATCCGACTGGGTAGAAGGACAAACTGTCTTCACCAGAAGGTGGCTGCGTCGGGGATGGCCCCGGCCCCGTCTGTCTGCCCGCCTCGCAGGGCCAGCATCGTACTCTTCTGTCACTTTGTGCCTGTATCATTGGCCGTAACCTTTCGTGCAGCCTCGGTCCTTGGGCTCCGAGCCAAGCTTGCGGAGGAGGCAGGGTGGGCGGTCGATCAGTTAAACACCACCAATCGTGACATGCCGGGGAAATGGAGACGGAGAGAGGCTTTGGCTGGGCCTGCCGGCTGTCGCGCAGTTTCTCTACGGAAGAACCTAGCTTCATAAATGCCTGCGCGACAGGCCGCATCCATAGGGGTCTTGCACGTCGGCCGGTCGGTCGGTCGGCATGGCCGCAGAAAATCCTCGGGCCTCTAGACTGAGGGCCCTCGGCAGTTCCCAACTACAGCCGTCATGGACACATGGTGACTGGCCGCCGTGAAGGGGCTCTAACACGGCGTCTCTACATGACTGACGCGGGAGAAGATCCAGAGCGGCCTCGCTTAGGGGGGCAAGGGAAAGGGGGGTGCCTGTTCTCCTGCGAGGCCTCCGAAGGCAGCAAGACCCTTTTCCTTACCGCTCGACTGCGGCAGTCTCAGGCAACGCCGGTACAGATGGGATGACTTGCATGCCAGCTTGCTTGCGCCCCGAGGCCCCCGAAAGGGGATCTCGCGAGCACTTTGCAGAGTGCCCATGTGCGGGGGCATGCGGGTGAGTGTGATGGCGGGTTACAGCAGTGGTGGCCCGTAGTATGGACATGTCCGGGCAGTCACCTGATGCAGATCTCTTGCTAGCCGCGGCCGCTGCTCGTCATCCGGGGTGGTCGAATCGTTCATGTTGACGCTCAATCTCTCGTCAGTCAGGCCGGTGATTGGGTGATGAACGCCGTATGCCGTCTGGATTGAAGAGATTGGAAAGAGCCGAGAGCAGACGGATATGTGGCTACTGCTGCTGCTAAAAATAGCAATCGTCGCCAGGCAGAAGGCGTGGATGCTTCGTCGCTGCCAGCACATGTCCGCTCGACTCTCTCTCTGTCAGGACTCAGGACTCGGCAGTCGTCAAGTCCAATAGGCGGCCAGTGGGGCCGGCGTCGATACACCAGGATGCAAACAAGTGTGCGCGCGCGCTTTCAACGCCATGCGGGCATGTCGACCCTCTCCGGAGCGGCCGCTGCGCTCGCTGCGTCGGTGGTCAAGCTCGTGTGTGGTCACTCACTGGCGACTGATGGGTTTTGCTCCTCGTGCTGCGCGACGGGTCTGCCAAAACGGGACGGCGATGCGGGCCCCACCTGGTCCGCTTTTCGGCAGCTAATTTTAGCTTCGGGCCGAGATCGTCGCCGGAGATTAGATAACCGTCTGGCTCGTGCGTGGGCCGCCCGCGCGCTGAAGAAACTCAAAAGCAACCAACGATGAGCACCGGGGAAAAAAGGAGAAGAAGGAGAAGAGGAGGAAGCAAAAGGAGGACGGAAAGCGGAAGAAGAGGCGAGCCAAGTTCTTGCCACTTTTTGGGCCTGAGCTTGCTTCATCTATTCTCAATGGCGCGAGGTTTGATTGTGCATCGTCGTAAGCAGGTGTGGCTGATGGTTGACATGGCACATTGTTTTCTTCCAAAAAAATGAGAAAAATAAAAAATGAAACGGCTCACATCGCAAAACAGGGGGAAAGCGGCATGCAAGGTTTTGAAACGGAGCTGTTGCTTTTCTTGGGCCCTTCGTCTACCAACCCGACCCCGTCTGCAGCAAATGTCACTCACCCACACATAACCCGTAACCACCAACCCCAGCCCGCCCGCCACGTGCCAGCCTGCTGGTCGACACGCTGCATGGGCCCACTGGGGGCAGTTTGGCCAAGGAGAAAAAAAGCCATGACGGATGCACACCCCATCTACGGTGCACTGGCAGGTCCAAAGCGTGCCGCCGGGAAAATTGTAATAAACTCGGCCCAATAATTGAGTGGGGACAGGGATGGCGATGGTGGTATCGGGAGGCTCCTCCAAGATGGGAGAGAGGGCTGGGACTGGCGGCGAGCGCTTGCCCCTGGACATGAAAACCAGCCAAGCAATGCAGAGTCGAGCTTGACATCGGCTGTGCAACCGTTCTGTGCAGCCAAAGGGACGGGGGTTCAGGAGAGTCCCACACCCGCGAGAGCCGTCCGTCGTACTCGCGGGACGTGGACGTGTGTATCAACCTTTGAGAGATGACGGTTGTGCCCATCACATTTGGACTGTCCATCTCGTCATACTCGGGACCGCGAACAGCACTGGCGGCACGGCACCATGTCTGGTAGAGCTGTTTTGCCACGCCGTTGACACGCAGCGAGACAGGTGGGCACGTTGTCCTGCGCAAAACAATCGGGCCTCCCGTCTCAAGTCCTAGGGCACGCACTCCCGGCACAACGACCTACGTAAAGTAGGTGCCTAGGCTGTCTTGTCCTGCTCCTTGCTCTGCGGCAGATACGAACCGGCTCACATGCCTTGATGCAGGCTCTGGCCGTCATCCGCAGCGTTGGCCAAGCCTGAGACGTCGTGCTCCCCTGACGCTCTGTCTGGGGGTGGGTTTCTTCCTCCAGCGTACAGGCACAGCTCCAGCAGGGATCTTTTTGATCGACGATTCTGGATCGGCGCCTCCTCCGGTCCAAACTGTCTGCTCAGTGCTCGGTGCTCACTGCCCCGCGCAGCAGGGCGGCTGATCACTCCGCCTGGGCCGCGATTACGCCTTTGCTTTCCGGTAGTCTTGGACTGGATCCCATCGTCACCAAGAGCCGTCGCCTGGCGGGGGTCAAGCCCGCGACATGTAGCCTGATGGCACTTCACGTTGCGGGGCGGCGACACCCACAACCCGCCGGCCTCATCGCGTATCAGTTACACGCCGATCAATTGCAGATTGTTTCATCCGGGCCTCGACCAGTCCACTATACCGCGAGGCCGGCTCACAGGTCGAGCAAGTTGCTCGCGACTCTCCACGCCCAGTCCTGGACCGGCAGCGCCCTGTAGTCTAGCTCACCGCCGGTCATGGCCGACTTGTCAAGTCATCAGGCTGTCACATCGTTCGCGTCTCTGTGTCGCGCATTTCCAGTGCCGCACCCTGTTCCTGGCGCCGCCCGACGGCAGTCCTGTCTACGGCCTGCAGGACAATACGAATGGAAGAGCTGGTTTCACTTTCACTGGCCTGAGCGGCGGTTTGTTTCTTTCTTTGCCTAGAATACCTGGTTGTCTAAATTGATCTTTGGCTCTTCTGTTTGTACACTTTTGACAGCCGCACTTGAAGCACCGTCTCTGTGCTGCGGAAATAACACCTCTCAGCTCTCCTGAGAGTAGCAAACTCCAATCACGTCTTTGGTCCCGGCTTTCTGACTAGTTTCTCGGTGGTGGGTGGTCCTGAGCCCTCATCTTGAAGCCAGCGGACAAGCATCATGGACTTTTGCCGAGGAGCTGCGGCGGCCAATGCGAGGCATTTGGGACCTGACGAAACAGGCATGACAGGACGCAGGTCAGCCGCTACTGCTTGAGATTTTTGCTTTCGTACATCTTGTTTATGGATTTCGCGGAACCGCACTAGCTGTAGTGGCTTGTGCTTGGGTTGTGTCCGCAATCGTGTGACCAGCGGCGACGTCGTCGTCGTTTACGGATTCGTGGCCCGTCCTGACAGCCAGCGACGGCAACTTGGACTGCTTCTCCATTATGGCGTCTGCGAGATGGACAAGTCGGTGCCAGCATCTGCTGGTCAAGTTTCGGGAGCCAGAGCTTGAAGGGCGAGGAGAGGCCGTCCAAGTCGCGCTCCAGACGGGGCAGGTTGACAATGTACAGCCGCCATTTTCGACGGCTCCATCACACACGGCATCTCATCACAGTGTCCTGTGGACCTCTCGTCACGAAAGAACTCGTCGTTCACAGCTCCGCGGCCTCCGGCGCTCTACACGCCGCAGGCCATTACCGTGTGTAGATGGATTCCCTGCGCCCCCAACGGCAGTCAGACCAATAGAATGGATCTGCTCGCGGCTGCCTTCTCTCCGGGCCTCCACTTTCAGGGACAACTCTGTAGGTCATTCTTGGTACATATCCAGGGAAGTACACGTCGTCGTTTGTCGTTGGTGCTGTCCGGTCGAAGCGTGGGTCTATCACCTAATAATGGGCCAGTCTCACCGGCGGATGTGTCGGACAGCCTGACCATTGACTCAAGTGTCTACGCGCGCCTCGGATGCAGGTGCCGCTTCTTCTTCTTCTTCTTCTTCTTCTTCTTCTTCTTCTTCGTCTCAGCCTGTGCCCAGAGGCGCAGACAGGGCTCGTTTGTGGTTCGCGCGGCCCAACTCGACATCTGGGCATCCGCTGCCGCTGCCGCTGCCCACTCGAGAGGCGGTCAAGCTGCTCGAGGCTCCGGGAGATGCTGCAGGACGACAAGTTGTCAAAACCCAGAACGATTCCCTGTGATGCTTCACGCAGCTGTAGAAGCGTGACATTCTGCATACCCCAGCCATCATGGTATCCACTGACGTGCCCTCGTCCTCGGTCTCGGTCTCGGTCTTCGGATATCCCCGTAAAAAAAAACATCAAATCAAAGCACGTGGAACAACCTTGGCTGTCCATCGTGAGAGTGCTACTTGCGTCTTCATAGTCTCGTGTTGGGCGGGGCCGGCGATGCAAATGGCCAAGCAGGTTGCTGTCTCTTCTCTCCGGCCACGACCGACGGTGAGACGAAGAGGACCAGCCCTTGATTCGTTTTCTGACCAGGAGCTCCAGCTCTTTCTGGCATGCCGTGAGGTACACGGACATGGCGAAATGGCATCATGCACGAGACGATAGTCTGATCCCCCGGACGCGACGGCCGCCTGGCATCGGGCTGAGATGGGCAGCACGCCTTTGTTGACGCATCCTCATGCAGACGGTGGTTTTCCGCAGACGCAGAAGCAGACCGACACCAACAGGTGCAAGCTCATGATGCCTTGGCGCCACACTCAAGTCAGCAAGCGGGCGTGCGAGACGTGCCCCCGTGATGATGCAGCAGTCGTTTCTCTTCGGGCCTCACCTGTGGTTTGTATGACTTGACACGTTATCCGGCGCAAAGCTGAGAACACGTCTTGGCTGGAGGTATTCTCTTGGTGTTTAGACCGGCATGCGTTGGCAGCCATCTGTGCGGAGCAATCCGGGGAAAAGGGAGAGACCTGCGTCTCCCGGTCAAGAACGAATACAACGCTGCAGGAGAAGTCGAAGATCGAGCTGCACCTGTCTGTTCCTCAAGTGTGCTCATGATTTCCCAGCGCTGCCGACTGGTTCGAGCAGTTGTCGACGTCGTCTGCTCGCCTCCTAGGCGCGGCAGGGGCGCGAAATCTCGGGGCAATGTTTATTCTGTACTTGCCCTCGGGCTCGTCGCACCGTCAACTGATCGAGCCGGAGCTGGCCAATGGCATTTGATACTTGTAGCTTTGCGTGTCACGGCGCAAGAGCCATCCGCGGCACTTACACGGATGGCCCTCGAGACCGTTGCTGCTACTGGCGGATCGCACGCAGGCCCAATCAAGACTTCGTTGCGACAGACATGCCAGCTTGGGGTTGACATGGTCACTCAATTTCGCAACTCTAATAACTTGCCTTTGTACATGTCAAGGCCAGCCATCTCATATCGGCATCCTTGCAATATCCTCATGGCCGCCCGTTGCAGCCGAGAACAGCCCCAATCAGCTACATTGTCGGCAGCAAGCAAGCGACAGAGACGTCGACTCGTGCTGCTTGATCCCAGAGTCGTCGTGCAATCTTCTCGTTCCCCGTCTGCCCCCGCCCATAGGAGTGGACTGCGGCCATTGTGGGCGACGCGCTGAATTCCTTTGCGCCTATTTCGAGTAACAATTTCATCGTGGTCTCGTCCCCGTCTTCTGCTCCCCTTGAAGAAAGTGTCTTATATGGGACGTCAAACTAGGAGAGTCCTGGACTTGGGGCTCGCCCCTGCTCGCTATAGGTGGTGGTAGATACCCAAGTCCTCTTGCGTGGTAGAGACCGAGCTGATCACTGTCGCAAAATTCGTCATCTAGGTTCGCCGAGCTGCCTCAGACCGAGACCTTGCACTCCGGGCTAGAGGCACTTGCTTCCACGTTTCTGAGGGCTGTATTTTGTTTTTGTGCTTTGGGGTGAAGTCGGGATTGCATGAGTTCCAACACCAGACTCTGCATTGTTCCGCTCCTCGGTGGGGGGATTCATGTAGACCCCGTGCGTGACGGCGACCTTCTCAGCGTCTTGACGCCAGCGACAGACTCACCAAGTTGGGGAGCGCCTGGAGATTTCTGTTGGGGCAGGAACACGCCCAACGCCACATGCTGCTGGGTGATGAGAATTGCAACACGTGCTACACTGGCCAAGGGATCGAAGAGTATTTGAGCACGCCACTCGTCGAAGCCTCAGATGTGTGATGCTGGGGGCAAGATCTAATTGTACAGCTCGTCAAGTTTCTGAAGCTCATTTCCGGCCACACAAAACAAGTTCGTTCAGCTCGCATCTTGAGACGTGTTTTCCCGATTCCATCAGTGACCATCGTCGCAAGCTCGCTAGGTTATGCCACGATTTTGACGGCCGGATGGATAGATGCTAGCCTGGTTGTCTTGTTCCAAGTAGCTGTGGTGTGCGAATTTGAGATCTGATATGGTTGTAGTGGCCAACTAACGCGGCTCGTTCTCACCGAGCAGCCCAGGGTTCGATTCTTTGTATCGGAGAATGATGAGGCCTCAAATATTTAGCCGTCTACTTTATTTTTCCTTCGTTGTTGCGATTTTTCTGTTCTTCTTTTTGCGCCTGCTGTCACTCGGACATGCTGCCGACACACTCCATGGCCAGTACGGAGTCATAAAGGTGTTTGCTTTACCTGGCCACGAGCAAGCAAGCACTGCCCCTGTCGCCGTCGCACTCCATACGCACCTCCCCTGGCGGGCTCGTGAGGTGTGCTCTGCCAACGCCCATTTAGGCAAGGCGCCAGCTGGTGAGCAAAGTCGCCCGGGAAGGAGCCACCCTGCGCGCCCAACAGTGGCCGGCACCTCGCCTCGGCTACGGTTAGGGCTGCCGGGAGGACCCACTTGTGCCATGAGCCTGCTGGTCGAGCTCCGTAGCGAGCGGGAGCTAAACTTTACTTTAAATCCGCATGGAGGAGCAGCAGCGACAATGTCAACGCGGTCCGAAGCAAGCGGCAGGAGCAGGAGAGCGAGGGCTCGTGGCGGCCTCTGGCTCAAGACGAAAGCTTCGACACAAGTGCCGCTTGTGCACTCGTTTTGCCAACGTCGCATGGCCCCCGAGCCCTCCGCTTAGCGTGTATGCCGCCTGTCAACCCACCTTGATGGGCTTCCACCCAATGGGTCCGGAGCGGTCTTGTTGGACCCGTCTGGCAGGATGTGCAGATGAGAATTAATTGCGTGGACAACCCATCATCGCTGGCCCGCAGGGATTCTGGGCGTGCGGATTGGCTCCCAGCATTGTGAATAGGAGGGGCGCAATATGGTCGAGAGAGGCAGTGGCTGCGACGCAACGCATGGGTACCCGGACGGAGCAGCCCAGACTCTCTTCTGCACGGGTACCTGCTGTCACGGATAGCTTCGCCGGGTATGGAGTACCCAGCTAGGTCTTTGCGGCCTCTGGGCACGGCCCTGTCCGTGGGACTTTGTTGAACCGCCATCAAGTCTCCAGGTCGTCTGGCTTTGTTGTCTCGTCTCCCCGTCGCAGCTCGGAGCGTGTGAGAGCATACTCGACCTCACCGCGACCACCGCTTGGCCCATGCGGAGACTCCGTCTGAATGCGTCTTCAATTGTCGCCCGGACCTGCACTGCTCTCCTTGGGGCCGACTCGAGAATTGTACGCCTCGCGCCTCGCGCTCACGCCTCACTGGCATGGCATCCGCTGCACGACGGAAACCATTGTCTCTACCCCCAAGAGTCTAGGGATACGTCATGTTTCCCTTGCCCTTGTCTTCTTCTTTTTTGCTCGGATGGCCAACCAGGGCGGCCACTCATATCTTGGTCCGTGGCGCCGATTGTGAACCTCGCGCGAACTACCGTGCAGGGGACCGGCCCTTGAGAATACGACCAGCCAGGTTGTCCTTGGACATGCTTTTGAATGCACGGCCGATGGTCCAGGCCAATGCACACCACTGGCTAGCGCGACTCGCGTGAACCACGACCGGGCATCGGACTTGGTCGCATGAGCGTGAGACTGAGATGCTTGTCTCAAGCCAGCCCAGCTTGCATTTGCAGCTCCAGGGCGTCCTTCTCAACGGAGCACATCCTCTGCAGCATGGCCCTGCTGTCCAGGAAAAAGCCGCAGCTTTGCATCTAGATCCGTCTCTGTAGGTGACATACGGACGAGACGGCGCGCGTGGGACCGGGGGAGACACGTTTGAAATTGACGACTACAATTGTGCCCCTTGACACAAAATTATTTGTTCTGGAGTGAATCCGGCCGCATTCCATCCCGACCCTCGATGCGCCAACGGAGGAAGATGCCACGCAGGCACCGAGGCTGTCCGGGGCGGTCACTGAGCTGCGCCGTGCCAGCCTTGTTCCTCATGTCCGTCAGAGTACGCCACAGGCGGGACGGGGGAGAGAAACAACAACAGAGTCTCAGTGCTGGAAATCAAACACCCTTTCTCGGCTTAGCGAGGCTGCTGCTCAAAAATCGACTATGAGACCAGTGGGCATCCTTGTCGTGCAGGCTGCGCATACCACGCCTCTGTTGGTTGGAGTTGTCGACGGTCACGGCCTGCAATTTTCCCGCAACCTGTGTTTTCCATCCTTGTCTTGGTGTAGTCGAACCATTAATTACTCGTGCTGACGTCCCCCGTCGCTGTGTTGGCTTTGCCGTCGACAAAGCACACCCGGTCTCCCCAGCCTCTCGCGCCGGCCCTCGTGGAATCCGTCGTCGTCCCGACATATCATGGCTGGTAATTTGCGGAACAAGAACAGACTTGTCGATTGGTCATGTCCAGATCCTCATCCGCATGCCCTTTACGCCAGTACAGAGAGTCTGCTCAACCTCGAGCGTCTCCAAATGGCAAGCGAGCTTCCCCGAGCGCACTTTGCCGCCGGCTTCAGGCCGACATGGAACCCTGTGCCACCGCTTCAGTCCCATGGGGTGGCTTTGATAATGATATCAAGCTCCAAAGTCCAGTACCCAACTCATCATGTACCGAAGGGGCAGGCCTTTCAGCAGTAAAAAAGCAGAACCGCCATCGAGGACCGAGTGCCAGGACTGCTTTGCCGCCCACAAGACTTGCCAGAGACCGAGATGCCCGTCCTCTTTCCGCCGAATGTATTCAGTGGCAACCGAAAAGGGCACTCAACAACGCAATCTCCCATCCTTGTCGTCAACAGACGCTCGCGCCCATGCGCCAGGGGAGTCTGCAACCACGCGTTGTGCCGTGGTTCATGTGTTGTAGCATTGCGTCCTGTATCCGGCTCTCCTCCAGGAAACCAGCAACTGCGCGGAGCGTTGTTCGCTACGGCAGTCGGCAGTTTTGCCTTTCCAACGTCTCTCATATCGCGCCGTGTGTTTGGTCACTCCGCCGGGATGAATCCTGTCCTGCGTCTCCAGCGCATCTCGACGAGATGATTCCCCTCCATCAACTCTGAATCAAGAGAGGGCCCTGCAGGCATGTACAAGGTCTGGTTACGCATCCTCCTATCCTTACATACGGGGGGTTCTATGTACGTCCTTCACGGGCTGAGGCCACCGCTGTTCCGTTTCCCACCGATGCCCGCCCTCCTTTGCCGTGCTCGGAATCATGGTCCCAAAGAGCAATTGGCCGCAAGGACCTCGCTGATGGGCAGCTCCGCGTGACGAGTCTCATTGATGTACCTGTTCAGCATCACGCTGTTGGTTGACTGACTTTGGATTGTGCCATTTGTCGGTGTACGCAGACTATGAAGGTGGGAAAGAAGAGGGTGAGTTCATCTAGACCGCCTCGTCACATGAGCTCGACAATCATGGTACGGACCTGGCTTGGGAGCTGTGCGACTGGTGAAAAAGGGCAGTAGGGCAACTGGATACTCCAGCAGCACCATGGCCGGTCTCGACTTCAGGCGGCGAGATGGAGTGAGGGGCCATTGGAGAGTATCATCAAAGTAGCCGTTGGAGAGGAATGGATCAAAGGAACAAGCATATGTCTGTTTAACTTGGGGTCAGCATTTGGAAGGAAGAGGTGAGGCTCCATCGCGGAGGCTCCAACGACCGGACAGCTCAACAATTTATACTGTCGGCCCGCATCACGGACAAAGCTATACTACGTACGCGGGAGGGGTCTTTGCCAGATTGGATGGAAGCGAGACAAGTCCTCTGTCCTGGCTCCTGAATGGACAAGAAACTATACTTGTAGGCTCATGCCAAAATGGGCGTTGAGAGAGCGAAAACCCAAAATGCCAATCAGTCCACCACAGCTCCTCCGAGGAGAGGTCGTTCCTCCCCTACGGCTGCACATATTCGAATCTTGGCTTCTAATGCCAAACGAAAAGTCGTCACAGAGCTGCAGTCGACGAAATCGAGGCTAAAGTGTCGAGTGTCGGCTGATGTCCTCTTTCCAGGAGGGCCAAGAGGAGCGAACTCCGACGAGGGCTCTGTCAACATCACACCGCCATGAATGCACGTCGAAGAGTGCCCGGATTTCGAGTGCCTCGAGGACCTGAGCGGTAGGTAGATGTAACAAAGCCAACAAGGTGCCTGGCGGCAAGGCTAGGACGGCGTGGCAGAAGAATACCCGAGCACTCCGTATCGGCAAAGCCCACTGCGCCCTGCTAATCACACCGTCACGGCATGATGCGCCCCTCCCTGCCCTTGTCTGAAAGCCATCAAGCTTACTGTTGGTCCAAGACGACCAATCAGGCCGGCCAGGTACATGTATGTGTGGCAGAATGAATGGGCAACTTTGAAGGTTCTGCAGGTCCTCTGCGGTAGACGGAGAACTGCACCACTTATCTTGGCCCGTTTGACAGCTTGTTCTTGTTCCCTGCAGAATGCTTCAAGACGCCTGAGATAGCCCCTCTTACACAGACCGTTGCGTGGGAAACGGCAGCGTTGTGCTTGGGCATTCCCTCGCCTCCACGTGCCGTGCTCATGCGTTGGCATATGGCCGTGTTATTGGCTCTGTGGCTGATCACAGTCGTGACCAGGCATACCTGCGGATATCTACAAGTCGTACTCGGTAGAGGTCCGTGAATAAATTTGCTGTCGGTCAGAACGGTGAGAATCGCCTCGGCTATGCACACGCTCTGGCCGCCTCACTTCCAAGCCGCAGGTCGTCTAGGCAAGCGGCAAGACTTGACCGTATGCAGGGGCAGAGGTGCGAACAGAGCTCACTTCCGCCAAAACACCCGTGGGAGCCGGGCCACGCCCTCCCAATTCCCTCCTCCGCCGCTCGCTTCGCCGAACGTAGCCGGCCCTCTTGCTGGCGTCGTCGGCTGCTCACGGGTGGCAATGTAAGTGCTCTGTAGAAGGACCTGTACGGGCTCGGGGACTGGGAACAAACAAACGAGCGTCACCGAGGGCGTATTCCGTATTCGCCATACCAAGACATCTTGTGCCACCCTCCTCTATGTTGCTGGCTGGACTTGAAAATCTCCACATTCTCCACTTCATGGCCATATGACGATAGTTCACCAGGGAGCGAAGAGACTAGTGATGGGAGGAGCAACGGGCTGTCATTACGCTGCGCCATGGACGCCGACCTCGATATATTACCATCGAATCCTTGTTCTCGTCCGTGGCATAAAGCCGGCTGACAGTGTTTTGGACATGCCCTCAGGAGTGACTGCAGTGAGAGAGGGAGGGGACCATACCAACAGTATCCTGGACGACGGTTCCGGGAGTAGATACGTACGTTCCATTCGTGCTGTGCAATCTCCGCGCCACGACCTTGCGAACCACGGGATACGAGATTGCTCCCCTGCGGCAGCGAGCGACCCGAGCAGAGCCGTACAACGATACCCAGCCCTTGAATCGTTATCATCGTCACTGCTTCAACCCCTCAAACTGGGTGAGCTCCGTACTGCGCCGCAGAGATACAAGAAGAACACAATCAGTGTCGGCCGAAACCGTGCTCAAGCGCCTCAGGACGGCTGCTGTCCTGGACGAGCCGCGAGGACACACCCCAAGAGCAAGCATACATGCAGTAATACCAGTACGTCATCCAGTCACCGAAACCTCGTGAAGAGCAGAGCCATGGCAAGCAGCACACCGACGAGCCGATAAACACGATTTCTGGCCAAGAAGTGCTAATGAACCCTCTTGCTCCACGAGCTAACGGTCAAAACGCAACCACAGGGGCGCTCCGAAGAAGGCACATCTTGGTCGCTTGTCCGTTGAAACTGCCACCATGTACGACTTGGTAAAGCCTTGGCCGGTTTACACCCTCAAGAAGCAGGCACGGCGTCGAAGCAGCGGCGCCGTGCTCGAGCAAACCGTGCGTCGGCATCGACTCAGGCCGCCAAGCCGTCCCATCGTGTGCGGCATTCGTTTCGGACAAGAACGGCCGGGCCCGCCTGTGAGCCCCGCGCCTGCCGCCTGCTATTCCCAGAGTGCCCGTACCCACGGGCCACAAGGCCCCACCTCCGGTCTTCCAGCCCCGGCCTTGGCGTCCGTGTTTCTTCCGGCTTGACACTCGTGCCGTGACGACAGACCGCCCGCCCGGCCGCGCCGGGAAACGGCATCAACCTCTACAAGTCGTGCGCAGCAGCGTCTACTATCCCTTGGCCTCTGCTTCTGCGCCAAAGTACCCCAAGTGCACACATCTGCCTTGTTTTGCCCTAAAACACGGCGTTTTAATATACTCGAGACAGGTGGCCGTGTCTACATTACAATTCGGCAGATGAGTGTGCTTGAATTGTCACATCTCATGGGCCACTACTCCCCTAGGACCCGGGACCGGCACCGCAGCACAAGCAAACCCCATTACACGGCGGCAGCTTCGTCGCCTGGCATGTCCCCCGTCCGTGCCAGGGGACGTAACCGTTCAGCGGTCATCATCTCAACGGCACGTGGTGACTTGTAAAACGTCACTGATGTCGCGATCTGCCCACGTCACCCGCTGGGCGAGCACATGAACATGGATCTCCGCATGGATCCTGTCTCCGAGGTGACCGGAGGGGTCCCGACCTCGGCCAGCCCCTCGAGTGGGATTGCCGTCGGGAATCCTGCAGGCGATCTCGGTGCGCTGAGCAAGGCTCCCGGGGAGCCGGTGGCCGCGCAGTTGCGCATGGCATCGCTGAGCGCCAACAAGCTCGCGCCGACGAGTCCGGCGGTATCTCCTGCCGCGATTTGAGGGGCAATGCAGGCGCCTACAGCGGCCATCGTAAGCTGCGATCCGTAGTCACTCGTTCCGTGAGTACATGCTTGAAAAATAACCGTGCAGAGGTCGAAAAGCAGGGCTCTTCTAGCTGCGGGTAGATTGTAGATTGTCAAGCGCAAAAGACTGTGATTTCCGCATCGGTCGATGAGTCTAGCGAGCAGTCACAGTCTGGTGCCCTTTCGACAAGCCCCATTGTCGCAACCGAACATGCCGTTTGCCTCGTACATGTCACAACGTCTCGTGTCATGCCAAATCGGGGACGAGCTTAGATGTGCCAGTACAAGTATCGCCACGGGGCGTCGGAGACGTTGGTCAGCCACCAATCTCGGGGGCCACCTTGAGTGGATCGGATGACATTTGAATATCCAGCCTGTGGCAGAACTAGTCTTGATACTGACCATGATGTCTGCGGCAGCTTTGGGGATGAAAGACGACCGTGCTGTCGGAGGTTGCGCATCAAGGAAATCAGGCTTTTGTGTAACACTCGTCAGGCGCTTCCTGTTACACGCTCCGCTCGCAGTGGAATCGAGTGGACATGGTTCGAAAGTCATGGCTCAGAGTGTGGTCGAGGAATAACTATTATATGTACTACCAGCCCACGCGTCATCAAGACCCCGTCGTGCTACTATCACGCTGAAACAAAAAAAAAAAGAAGGAAAACGCCGTGCAATGCCATGTTTCGAGCATGATGGTTAGCCAAGTCGCTTTGTAGTCCCGTCACGCGACGCCGAGCAAACCAACAGTGTTACAGTGCCATCCTTAATGCTTGGTGACCGAGCATGCCCACCAGCACTCCAACGCCGTGTAATCCGGTTTGATCCGATTGCCCGCTCCACAAGTTGAGCCCAACCCAGCAAATGGCCGCCGGTTCGGCCACGCCGAGAGCCGACAGCATGTAGACTGCGAGCCCGGGTGTCGCATTGCTAGGCACGCAGCTCGTGTCTCCTGTCCCGCGGAGAGCTACGAGGCCGGCCACCAAGAGAGTTGCGAGCCGGACTTGCCATGTATACGGTACATGTACAGACATGGTCAGCAGCCATACTGACAGTAGGACCGTAACAACGGTCGACTCCAGGCTGTGCTGGATGGTAAATTGGGAGCTTCTTTTGACCATGGTGGTTGAGCCGCTTTGTTCTGCCGCAATCTCGGCAGTTTCTTGTTGATCCTGTCCCAGCGTAAAACTCTGGCTGAGTAGATCCGCCAAGGAGCTGGCATCATGGTCTTTCTGCGGCGCAAAAAACCTGGGCTGCTTGAATTCAACGCCACCCTTCAGATCGCTGCCAACAGTCACCGGAGACGACGTTGGCTGATGTCCCCTCCTTGTAAACATTACTTTGCCAGTCTCTGGAGGTTCACGCTTCGGGGCTGGTGACCAGACGGGATTTCGCAATCGTTGAGCTGGATTCACGGGGGCCGCTGGAACCTTGCACCAGAAAGGGCTCTTTGCTTCTGGAAGCGGGGAATGTCCACCATTCGTCGGGCCAAACTTGCTCGTCAAAGAAGCCTGGCTGTCGGTCAAAGCTCGGTGCTGTGGAATGATTGGCGACCAGTCCATTTCTTCGTCGTACTGTAGCTGCTGTGTCCGCTTTGTGGGTGTCTCGGTTGGCCTCGTTTTTCCAAAGTCTGGTCCCGAGGGGCTGAATGATTGTTGAGGAGACGGCGCCTGGTCAATCATGATTGACTTTTGAGGTGTTGTGTTTGCAGAATCAAGCGCATCGTTGACGAGTTCAGAAAAGGTTTTGGAATCGTCCGTTCTTCTCTGCGTGGCCGATTCCACTTCTCTCGATATCAGCGGTCTGTCTTCGGTCGCAAACAAGGGTGACGTGTCTACACGAATCGACCGCCCCCCCAGCACGTAAATCTGCATTTGTTAGTGAGGCGATGACCATGTACGGTCGGTCGGTCAATCAACTCACCACCGTCGTGACCATAACCATGGCGACATGGGCGCCGAGCTTGGCTGTGCCAGAGTCTGTGGATTGCGCATGCGCATCAACCACGTCGCGGAAGATGAAACGGAAGAAAATGATCAATCCCTGGAACGAATACCACTGGGTGAGTCCCAGCAAATGCCTGGTAAATCCCCGATTTACCTGTACAAAGTGTGGGTTCCACCACACGGCCAGAATAGCAATCCATATACTCGACTGAATCAAGGTAGCTGCAGCGGGAAGAAAGTCGACAGCCAGGTTGAGCCACGCGATACCCGTCGCGTGAAGACTCTGCTGGTCTGGATCATGCATTCCATCATCGCTCTGTTGTAGTGCCTGCGTTGCCATGGCAAAATGCCACAACATTTGCAAGATGAAGCCTGTTCGCCACAGCGTCTTCCCCAACGTGTTGACCCAATCGAGCGCTGTCCTCGTTCTCGTCCTCCGGCCTCGGCTCAAACTCATCATACGTCGCAAATGATCCGTCTTGGCGGTATAGCCAGCTTCGCGTATTCTTTCCTCGGCACGGTGGGCGCAATTGCTGCATACTTGCGGATATCGTTTCTCGAGGTTCCGCCGATAGCGGTAGTAACTGCGCTCGAGCTCGGGGTAGTCGGGGTCCGAAGGGTCGTCGGGAAAGTATTGCGCGAGTGACTTGGTGAATAAATGCTGGTTTTTAAGACACGTTTGACAGAAAATGTCCTTGGTTTGCAAAGGCGCGAGTGGTTGCGGCGCGGCGTATTGCACGGTTACTGCTTCGTGCTCGGTTGCGACGCGAGGGTCTGTAATTTCGCCATTCTGTCCAGGTCAGCAGCATGTACAACGAGGGAATTGACCAGGCTCCTCTGACTATCCAGTTCCCGTAATGCCAAAGCAGCGCATACCTCATCCAGATAATTCGTCGCATCGCAGTGCAGGCACAGGAAGTCGCGAATTGCGCCGTCAAACTTGATGCCTGATCGCTTCCCACAGTAGAAGCAGGTCAGATCCTTTGCCCTCCTGAAGCGCGCCATAGTCGCATGTCCTCGCGAGATGCTGCGAGAGCAAGTACCCTTGGAGAGCCAAAAGCGGCGGCGATTGTGTCGAGGCCGAGGTCTCTCCCCGATGCGAAAGTATGGATGAGACCTGGTTAGTAGCCGAAAGCCAAAGTTTCCAGGATTCTACCCAAGGCGGTGAGCACTGAGAGGGAGAACCAGCTGGTGGTGTCGGCAAGGCCCCGGTTTAGTAACCGCCTGCCGACATCTAGCGCGTTTGTGGGTGGGGGGCGTTGGTTGACGCGCGCGGCTACAAGACGCAGGTTCATAGGTTCGAGAACAAATGGCAACTCTCATCTAGCAACGTCAGCCAGCATCGCCGACCAGGACAGCTCTCTTTCTTGATGTTCTGCGCGTGCTCTATGCATCGTCCCTTCCACCGTCATCATGGTACCTAGCCCAGGGCCGCCGCGCCAAGTGTTCTCGTCCAAACGAGCCCAGTCAGGCCAAACCCGCGTCACCAGGCCGTGTTCACCCCCAAGGGCTCCCATTGCCATTTTCGGACTCTTACAAGTGTTGTCGATATAACAACAATGTTGAATGTTGCATGAAGTGACACTAAAAATCTAGGTGCCCATACGCCGAGAACCAGTAAGCAGTCAAGCTGTGATGGACATTTCAAGTGCCGTTAGCAACAGCAAATGTACACCAATAACCACGTCAATAAACACGCCAACAATAGCGAGAAGAAAAGAAGAGGAGGTGGGTGCAATGCTCGCTATAAATCATCTTCCATAAATGCCCTCACCAACAAATGAAACCGCGTATCTCTCCTCCGCACCACTTCCGGGGTCAATTTCCACAAGCACCTCTTCCACGCCATCCGACTCCAAGCATGGTAAGCCAACTGGCCATCGAACAGCGCGCCTCCGTTCCTCTCAATTTCCTCCTTCCAATACGCCGTCTACTCATCGCTCAGCTCCTCGTGCATCCAGCCTACATGCCTCCACGTCCAAGTCGGCCAGAAAAACGCGCGCGGCGACAAGGCACACAGCGCCGCCGGCTTCCTACTCGCCAGTTGCTTGGGCAGAGTGACGCTTTCGTGGCTGATTTGGCGACGGGGCCGGGCGTGGGTAAGCTCGTCCAACCAGTCGTTTATAAAGGTGCTGTTTTTGCGGGCGACCATGACGGCGTTGCGCATTCCCCATCGGTTGCCGCCTTCGTAGCCCAGCACCGCGTCCTGGGGGGTTGGCGTGTCGAGAATGTTCGTAAACGGCTTGAGGGCGAAGGAGTCGGCGTCGAGAAGTATGCCGCCGTTGTCGCGGAGGATTTGTAGCCGCGCGAGGTCGTGTAGCCGGTGAACCGGCTCACCGTGCGGGTTCTCGATTTTGTGTTCCACGAGGCGGATGTCGCCTCCCAGACGTCTGATCCATGGGTTGGTGAGGGGGTGCAGCTTGGAGTTGACCGAGTTGCCCGAGGGCGAGAGAAGGGCGTAGTGGAGGTAGAGTTCGTCGGGGCGAAGGGTAACGATGGCGCTGCGCACAGCGAGATAGTTTACGAAGTCGAACTGGATGCCGTGTTTTTGGGCGAGCGGTTCTTGAAACACGTACGTGAAGCGCACGACGTTGGGGATCCTGGAGGAGTTGGAGGAGCTGTCTGACCCGGCAACCAGGTCATGAGGCTTCGTTGCGCCACGGAGACAGGCCAGCTCCCCCTCGGTCGGGCTGAAGGGCTGCTCGATTTGGCGCTGACCCGACCACGGGTGTATCTGGTGCACATAATGGATGAGTTCGTGAAGGGGGTCTTGGAAATAATGAGCAAGGAGCATCAGTATCGTTATGGCGGATACGAGGGGCACATTTCTATATGCTTTTCGGAGGACGGGTGTGATCCTCCGCGGAGAGACACCCCGGGTAAAGAGCATTGTAGGTTTGCAGGGGAACATGCTACATTTATCAGACGAACAGACGGGCAGAGTCAAGGGCCAAGGCTGAGGGAAAAGGCCAAGGAGGGATCACGAAGCCGTGGAGTGCTCAAGTACCCAAGTACCTGGTGGGTATAGATAGGGGGTCAGACACTTGCAAGCGAGAACCCGGGGCGGATGGCCGAAGAATACAGCAGCAAGGATGTGCCGACTGCTTGATCGGAGAGCCTCGGATGGTGGGTTGCGCACTGACACTGCACATCATCAAGCATCTATTGTGCTGTTGTGTCTGTCGATGATCGACCGTCCACGTGCTGGCACCACCGAGACCGGACTCGTGGCGCGCGGTGGGTCCGGCCCCTTGGCTCCCAGCACGATCAGCCAATCACAGCATCTTTCCCGCCGCCACTCCTCCGAGCATCGTCACCCGCTTCATCACCACCAACATCAATATTCATTCTCCCCTCCAAATCGCCCCAGCAGATCCAAGTTCAGCGCCAACGGCAAACCGCGAGATGCCGCCATGACAACCCCCGCGCTCATCAACCCGCTCCTCCTCACCATCCGCTTCTCAGCCTCCATCCCCGACCTGGACCTCGACATACCGTCGCCCCGAACCACCACCGTCCTCTCCCTCAAACACCTCCTCCGCACCCGTCTCGCCACCCGCAACCGCCTCCGCCTAATCTACCAGGGCCGCATCCTCCCCGACTCATCAGCTCTCAGCTCCGTTCTCAAGCAGCCTCCCCCGCCGCCTCCCCCGGCGTCATCATCCACCGCCGACACCAAGGGCAAAGGCAAGGGCAAGGCGGTCGAGGGCGCCCCCGTCCGGATATACGTCAACTGCTCCATCGGCGATGAACTGTCGCCGCGGGAGCTCGCCGACGAGGAGTCGTCTGCCGCAAACCCGCCGCACCAGCCGGACCGCGAGCCTCCCAACCCGGCCGGCCGCGCGGCGCCCCGGCCAAGAGGATTCGACCGCCTGCTCCAAGCCGGCTTCACGTCGTCTGAAGTGTCCACCCTCCGTACCCAGTTTGCATCCATACAAACAGAGCGCTTCACGCCTGATTCTCTGCCCTCGCCGGATAGCATGAGGCGGCTCGAGGATGCGTGGATCGACAATAATGCAGGCGAGCTACCGAGTGCCGCCAATCCGCTGGAGGACGAGCTGAGCAACATGTCCACCGTGCTGGACGTGCTTATCCGGGGCATGATGATCGGTTTCTTCTTTCCCCTGGGTAGCATCACGTGGCTGCTGAGGCAGGGCCTTTGGAGCGAGAAGTGGCAGATTTTCGTGGGCTCCGGCGTCGTTCTGAGCGTCACGGTTGGCATTGTCATGGGCATTTCCGGCGACAGGTAGCGCGGCGTTTTTTCCCTTTTTTTTTCCTCCTTTTCAATCACGCCTGGCCATGTACCGTGCGTGCACGCAGACGATTGAAGCTTTTCAACAAGTCGACGCCAGGCTTCCCTTGTGCGGCAACTCAATTACGCTACTGCTATTATTGTCATTCTTGTTTTTAAAATATACGCCTCCAGGGTCCGTTTGTTCCGGCGCGATGTAATGACTCGCTGGCCTTGAGACTCGAGGCGGAGAGTCGGCCCTTCGCTAGTTTCAGCTTCACGGGCACGCCTTCAGCGCGCACCATGGCCTGCTTCGTGCAGCTTTGGTGTTTTCGAATGAAGCCGACGGCGCAACTGGTACATTCTGGGCCTGTAGGCGATACGGTCCCGTACGGAATGGAGGCGGCGGCCTGGATGCCAAATCGTCAGGCGCCTTCTTCCTGGGCCTCTCGCTGAGGGAACCCCTTTCCGCCTTGCCATACGCAACCGTCCCGTCCTTTTGCCAAGGTTCTAGACTGGATTTGATGCGGCGCCCTCTGGTGACTGAAGCGAATTGTTTGACAAAGCGTATGCCACCAAGACATTCTGCAGCAAGATGCATCAAGCCCGGCTAGTAGGCGCACACCGCTGCCCGGACCGAGAGGCAGCTCTCCGAAGAGAAGGCAGGATGAGGAATATGCAGGTCAGATACTGATCACTTTTGCTGGTTCAAGCGCCCGCCATTCGCTCGCCCAGAGAGAGCTGCGAGGCGTCCACGTGAGCTGTCACAGCTCCGAGGTGGCTTCACAAGTTGCGATACGCACGCGGCACAGCATAGGTCTAGGTGTTTAAAAGAAGCCTATCCCCCATGACTTGACGGCTTCGTGCAGAAGGCTTCCAGGTACCCTGGTACGTTCGACAAGACGTCCGGGGTAAGAGAGCACGTGGAACAAAGGCCATCAGATTGGTCACGGCATCTCCCGATAGGATCAATCATGTGTGAGCGAGGACACAAGACAAGGCGCGACACGCACCATGGCACAGACGTGAACAAACAATGCCAAAATGCATTCCAACCACTGCGTCTAATCGTCCCACGTTTCCCAGTTTTTATGTACACTCCAAAACTCCACGCCCAGTGCCAGGACACACGCAAGGCCAGCAATCAAAGGTACAAACTCTGCGCGGCCACGATATCCCTCCTGATCTTCTGCAGGCTCTCCTCGAATTTCTTCAAGAGATCGTCATTACCCATGACCTTGGCCGCCTGCCCCATCTGACGCAGTAGTTCCTCCAGCCTTCGGAACAGACGGATCAGCGAGCCCTCGTAGATGTTTGTCATTTTGCTACACCACGGATTAGCTCTGTATTCAACAGAGAAAAAAAAATGCAAAGGTCGCAAAACATACCAAATCTCGATAAACGGCCTGCCCTGAGCCCACGTGTACACCGTTTCCATCAACTGCCACTTCAAACTCGTCACGTACTCCTCCTCATTGACATCAAGCTTGCACTCCTGACTGACTTTGGCAATAATGCGCGCCCTGGCTTGGATCTCGCGATACGGCTTCTGCAGGTCCTCCTTGAGGGCCTGCGCCTCCACCTTTTCGTCGAAGATGAAGCAGCTGAGGACAGCGGCGCACGTCTCGGGCGATAATTCGTTGAAAAAGCGGTCAAACAAAAGTTCCGACAGCAGCAGCTCGTGGCCTTCGCTGGATGAGATTTCGCAAGCAACACGGGCTTTGAGCTGCACTACTTCAGAGTCGTTGATGAATCCTAGTCTGCGGAGGACACGCTTGCGCGATTTGAGCTCGTCCATTTGGGCGATGCTATGCGCCTTTGCAATGGTCTTCTTCTTCTCCTTGACTTTTTCTACTAGTTGCATCTTTTCGCTGTACTGGTCCCAGAGCGACGGGAGCATGGGCGACATGTGCAAGGGGTTGGCGAGAAGTCGGGACTCGAGTACTTCAATCTTGCGCAGGAGTTTCTTAAACGAGTCGTCGACAATCTCCATGTTTTCCAAGGGATCCAAGATAGGGATACCGTCGGTGAACCGGCGCTTAACCTCTGTCAATGACTTGCGCACCTGGTCTCTGTCCGCATCGGTCTTCAAGCCATCCTTGGGCATGAAGATGCGGATCTGACTGATGGCTTTCATGCAAGTGAGCAGGCACGGCACTGTCACGTTGATGGTGGCATTGTCCGCGCCAGACGGTAAAAGTCCAGGTGGCATGTCTCCAATGGGCTGGCCAGGAGTGATATCGGCGCTCAGTGCCGAAATGGGGAGCAAAACATCAATAATGTGCGATTCCTGCGGCTCCCACTCGGGCTCGCCGAGTCTGGGGGCTCGGCGAGGATAGTGATTGACGACAACACCCCATCCAAAGTCGAGACCTCCCGCAACGTTGTCCTGGGCTTCCTTGGGGTTGTATATCTGTACCAGGCGTCCTGGCTGGAGGAAGTCTAGACAGTGGTTGGGGTGCTGGATGACCGCTCGCATGTCTTTCGTATACGTGTTTAGCTGCTGTCGAATCTGGTAGTAATCCTTGATTGTCGCCTCGTCGGGTATTGAAAGTCCGTCTCGCTCTTGTTGCAGGGCCATCAATTCCTTCTCCAACGAGGGGACGCTGGCGGCATTCTGAAACTGGTGGAAACACCTCTCCAGCATGAATTCGGGCGAGATTGCTTCAATTCGCAACAGGTTAAGAATCATGTTGTATCCCAGATAAAATGCAGAATTGAGCTTGTCCTGGTGCCCCGTTACGATGTCCTTGGCGACATCAGGCTCAAGCGTGTCGTCAATCATCATGATGACTATACCCCGAGCATCGAGACCACGGCGTCCAGCACGGCCCGCCATCTGAATGTACTCGGACGAGGTGATGGGCCGTCTCTTGACACCATCCCACTTTGTGACTTGGGTAAAGACGACTGTTTTGGCGGGCATGTTTAGACCAATGGAGAAGGTCTCGGTAGCAACGAGGACTTTAATGAGAGACTCTTGAAACAATATCTCGATGGTTTCTTTGAGAATTGGCAGCAGACCCGAGTGATGTACACCAACGCCTCGCTCCAGAAGGGGAAGCAAGTGTGCTATTTGGGGTAGTTCTCGATCCTGCTCCGTCAAACTCTCAATGGCACTGTGAAAAACCTTTCTCACCATGGCCTTTTCAGAATCGTCATTGAATGACAGGTTGGAAATCCTTAAGGCCATGTTCTCGCATTCTCGCTTGCTAAAGTTGAAAACAATGACCGGGTTGAACTTTCTCTTAATCGTCATGCGAATAATCTTGTGTATGTCGGAGCCTTCGTCAACACCGCCCTTGTTGATCTTCTTGTTCTTCCCCTTGCCCTTTTGCTTCGCGTTGACATCGTTGGGGTCGGCACCCTTCTTATCCTCAACCTCCTTCATGACGAGATTGAAGTTATGCTCATTGAAGTTGCCCTTCTCATCCACTACAATGCGTGCACCACTACCACCAGAGGCGAAGAAATAATTCTGCAGAGGCGTGGGTCGGAAGTCTGTGTAAACGACATGGCAAGCCTGATGATGGATCTTGGCAATCCACTCGGCAAACTGAAAGGCGTTGGGGATGGTGGCGGACAAGAAGACGTATCGAACCTTATCGGGAAGCATGATGATGGTCTCTTCCCACACGACACCTCGAGTCTTATCACGCATGTAGTGAATCTCGTCGAAAACAACCCAGGCGACTTCTCGCATAATCTCTGAGCCACGGTACAGCATGGATCGCAAAATTTCCGTCGTCATGACCAAGCAACTTGCCGTGGGATTTATAGTAACATCGCCCGTCATCAACCCGACGTCTCCAAAGATTGCCTCGAAATCTCTGTATTTTTGGTTGCTCAGTGCCTTGATGGGACTAGTGTAAATGACTCGCTGGTTGCGCTTCAAACATTGCGCCACGGCGTATTCAGCAACAACGGTTTTGCCAGCAGAAGTGTGGGCCGAAACGAGCACGCTTTCGTCTCGTTCAATTGACGCTACCGACAGGCTTTGGAAGGGATCTAGCTTGAAGCTCCATGTTCTCGCAGGCTCGTCAGGAGACTTGTGCTCGGAGAGGGGGACGTATTCGTAGTCCAGATCGGGTGGCAGAGCAACTTGATGCTGAATATTGTGTGATAAAACCAAGGACGAATCTTGAGGTACCAGAGTTGCCGCACCAGCCACTTCTCTTGACTCGGCTTTTTGAAAGGTATCGGTCATCACAGGCTCGGCGGTGTCCTCCTTCTTTCGTCTCTTCTTGTCTTGTTGACTGGGGGTATCTGAGGCCTCCTCCTCAGATTCCTCCGCCTTTGATGTCTCGGTGGCGTGGCTCCTATCAGCATCATCGCCTTCCCTCGGGGTTTCCACTGCCACGGTGCCATTCATGGCCTCATCAGCCTTGCGCTTCTTGCTCTTATCGCGAGCTCGAGCCGCTTTAGGCTCTCTTTCCGAGTCACTAGCGCTCTGGGGCTCGGCATTTCCGTCGAAAACGTGGAACAATTCATCCATGCTGGGCGACAGTCTTGTGTCGTATCTGTGGACTGAATGAGAGAGTCTTGGTATTGAGTGACGGCAGCCCTGCGAAGGGCCAGTTTAAAAATGGGACAAAGTTCCCAAAGTATATTGCAAACAATTACAGCGCTTCAAGGTATTAATTGACAGTCGAAATACGCGAATGCATTTATGCAAGGCAAAAAGGGAATGAGAGAATGTGATGTTCCCTCATCAAAAAAAAAATTTGGTGGGCAACAGTTGAAGTCTTTAGCCATCTGCGACGGGCAGTTTAGCTGGCAGAAAAGAAAATCTGCTGGAAAAGGAGGCGGTGAGAGAGACATTTCGGGCTTCGATGATGCAAAATCCCACATTCTATGCCGAGGTATATCCGGTTCCTGCTTGTTCCAAGCTGCATAGGTCACATGACGAGCAGCTGGCGCCGACCCCGTTTGCTTTTGACAACGTCGGACTACCACCAATACCTGGGACGTCACCAAGGCTCCAATTCATCCGCTTCGCGTCGAGATAACCCTCTTCAAGGTTCGTCTTGCCGCCAATGCGGCGCCTCAGTATGGTCCACAGCTGACTGACCCCGTCCTCATCCGCAGATGCTCTCCCGCGCCGCCGCTCGTACGACCACTGCGCTGGTCTCCCGCCGGGGCTTCCATGCCACCCGGGCTCGCATGTCCTCCCCTTACCACTACCCCGAGGGTCCTTACACCAACATCCCATTCAACCCTCGCAGCAAGTGGTTCGGTGCTGGCTACTGGGCCTTCATGGCCACTGGTTTTCTTGCTCCCTTCGGCATTGCCGGTGCGTCATTTCGTTCATTTCGCCGACTCGGAATCATGGTCAATGCGTTAACGGTCAAATACAGTCTACCAGACATACAAGGAGCAGTAAGCTTTTGCGGCTTGGAGGATGAGATCTCGCGGGTTGCAATTAAGAAAATAAAGAGGATGATTGGAGAAGTGTTGTGGCGATTCTACGGTAGACGTCAGAACAGTCGATACCACTGTAAATCCGAATTCAATTACTGCTCTTCAACTTGAATTTGGAGCCGACACGGCGATTTCGCGGAGCCAAGTGTGAGAGAATGTTGCCATATTCAGGCGATTCGCCCAGACAATAACCTCAATTTTGCTTCCAACTTCCAACCTTGATCCCAGGGGTATTTTACGCGATGCACCGAGCATGCTAAATGTACAATGTCAAAAGCCCAATATTATCGTATACAGCCGGTACTTTCCGACTCAAAGCTTTTTGCCCTATCATAACATGGACTTGTTGTCTTTGTCCTGCAAAATATTTTCCACAATGGCATGCAAGAATTGCTGCCGTTCGCCTTTGATATCCCAACACTGAGCCAAGGTGCCAAAGGTCTCGAGGACTGCTTCATTCGACGAGCATTTTTTCGTAGCTCTCAAAGCCCAAATGACAAGCCACTGTTCAATGCGGAATGCTTCCTCTTGGACGGTCTTGGCTTGGTACAGCGACGTCAAAACTGCAGTCAAACGCTGCTCGCTCCAATCTGAGTTCGGAAAGCCACCATGGAGATAGAATCCCTTGAACAAGGCAAGAAAAATGGTAGGATGTACTGAAATATTGAATCGCTTCATCTCGTCGAGATATTGTGCCACTTTTGCCAAGTTCCCAACTCGAATGGCATAATGTTGGATCAGGAGCTTGTACGTATGCTGGTCCGGCGCCAGTCGAATGTTGGTCTGGAGAGACTCCTTGAGTTGGGGATGCTGCTTCCCGACCTTGGAAAACATCATCAAGACTCTGGTGACGACTTTGTTCATCATGTAGTCTCTCTGAGGCATGTTCGTTGCCAGATTGTGGGATTTTTTCATTTGCTCGTAGGTTTCCTCGGCTGCAGCCTCCTCTCCACACCGCAAGAGCCCGGATATGACGCAATTCAAGACAGTGGAGTCTATCATTTCTCCAGAGTCCACCGTTTCCTTGTAGGCAGCTCGAACACCGCCAGAGTCGAGTCGCAGTCCAAAGTAATGGATGAGACTGACATGGTGGTATCGGTTAAACTCGATTCCTCGGCTCTCCATTTCTTTGTAAATCATGTCGGCAAGCGCAAAGTTTCCTGCCTTGGCGGCCACATCGAAGAGAATGTTAAACGTAACATCGTTGCCCATGACATTGGCCTTCTTTTCCATCTCTCGCCATAATCGGAGAGCCGATTCCATCTCTTGCCCCGTGGGCCGTGATGCGTACTTGGTTGCAAAGGCCAGGGCAAAATTCCATTGTGTACGCCGCAAGGTGAGACCAGCATTCTTGACATCCGCGACCAGAGCAAAGTAGCGCAACATGGATTCCATGTCTCTTTTGGGGGGGGTCCCCATTACTTTCAAAAGCCTGCTCCGCCATTGCCAGGTGAGATACAGCATGCGCGGCTCTGGCAACTGGCGGTAGAGTTTGTAAATTGTTTCAAGCGCAATTCGGTTCGGATGCCGTAGTCGTTGCCCGATAGCGGCGTACAGCTTTAATATGTGCGCTTGTAGTTCGTTGCTTATTTTGAATGTCTGCTCCCTTGATGGATATTGCACATCCTGCTGCTTGTCGGAGACTTGAAGACTCGGGCCGTCGGGCTGAGCATACCCCCTGCGATAGGGGTCCCTATGAAAGTCAAAATGTTCCTGCACGCTGCCTTCCCGTCTCTCTCCGATAAAGGACATCAAATGCCGTTTCTCTTGGTCATTTGAAAGCAGCCGCGAAAAGGGCAAACTCTTTGCTGTGGCTGCCACTGCCTCCGGCGCGGTGCCGTAGCAGCGACGGACAAGACGAGGCTGCACAACTGACGGTCGGCATACCGCTGGCATAAATGTCGACAGAATCCATAGGGAACTTCTGACACAAGACGCCGATTTGACGGCTGTTCTTTGCGCAGCATCATCGATGGTTCTGCGAATGGTCCTTTCTGACGTACGGACGTTGCTGAAGCTCGCTGACGGGCGGTTGAGAACCGCACTGCGGACACAACCGTCCACGCGACCGGATATTTTCATGGGCTTGTCCTCATGATGACATGCCCGGTAGCATATGCAAATACGAGCAGTCAGTCAGTCGACGCAGGATGCAGAGCGATAGAGGGGGGTTTTCTTGTCTCTCTTGTCAATCGGATTTTGGCAGTTCCCCGGTCCCAAGTGGGGCCCATGTCGTCTCCCCCTGCGCGTCCTTTGGTCCATATCGGCCATACAATTTGCCGATGTCCCAAAATTTCCACCTTGGCGTGGGCATGCGACCGATTAACATACACCACCCACCAACCGTCGTTGCATACAGAATGGCCAGTTGATCACAGAGGCCGTTGTCCGTGCCATTTGCGACCCGAATGCCGATGCCTTGGAATACCTAACACGCTTCGGTTCCCCCAGAACAGCATCATGGGCGGCCGACAAATTCGGCCCGCTCGGGTCTTCCAATCCGTCTCCCAAGAGCTCAACCACCAGATGCTTGCTAGCCACACCGTCGCCCAACCGCCATGGTACCAGGTTATGAACGCGTTTCCCCCGGCCGAAACACTCGTCCGCACAGTCACGCCCAGACATCGTATGCCGAACCCCAAAGCCAAGAAGCCCAAGAAGCTATACCGCCCGCAAAGCATCAGCTACCCCGAGGACGCTCTCCGAACGAATTTCTACAAAGACCACCCATGGGAACTAGCCCGGCCACGTATCATCCTCGAACTAGACGGGAAGGACCACCAGCATTGTGATTGGAGTAGGGGGCTGCGACAGCCCGGTGTGCCCCTGACGGGCGAATGGTAAGGCAAACCCTGTGCCAAGGGGGGATAGGAAGAAAGAAAGAGACAAGTGGTAAGCAGATGGCAAGCTGACCTGTATGTAGCGTCGTCCAGCGCCAGTTATACCTAATGCACGCTGAAAAGATGAGCAAACGCAAAGCCTACGACACGGCGCGCAAAGAATTCTACAGGCTCCGTCAGGAAGAGGAGATTGAGCAGAGGATAGCGGTCGAGGAGGCCAAGCACGTGGGGGCATATTTTGGCAAGACCCGACTAGACGTGGGCGTACAGCTCGAGGACCACGAGTTTGAGAACTGGAAGGTTTGGGCAGGCAAAGAAACGGCGAATAGGGCGGCAAGATCGAATTCAGAAATCGAGACGTTTGGAGCCGAGACGAATGAAGAGGAGCTGGATGAGGTTGCGGCTGCAACCGCGTCATGAAGGGAAATCCGCAAACAGTTTGGGGACAAGCGACACTGTAAACCATGTACAACATCTGTCTCAGAAAAGTAGACCGTTTGTCTTTCCTCTTTCCACCTCGGCATGCCATGTCTAATTCGTAAATCACCCAACCCAAACGCTGTGCACATTACGACTCCTGATCCGAGGCGAGCCGGGTCAGCCTGCCCCTCTGCGAGTTGAACACCATCTCCCCAGCATTGACGAGGCCATGACGCTCCGCAACCTCCCTGTGCTGCACGTAGAAGGCATCCGCCAAGCCAGTACAATGGAGCAATTTGCCGGTCAGGCTCAGGGTCGAGATTCTCGCCCAGCTCTCCACGTAGACGAACAGCAAGCAGTCGTCCGGCACCACCCAGAAAAGCTTCAACAAATGCGTCGCCAGTGCGACAAAGAATCCTGTCGCTGGACCATTCGAATAGACGATTCCCGGATACTTTAGCTGCTTGCCAACCTCGTTCTTGGGCGGGGACAGCAAGGCGGGGAAGATGTCGAGGATGCTTCGTAGGGCAGAGAAAGGCGTAGACCAATACGGTTGATAGACCCTGCGGGCCCGCGTCACGACGCAGGTGTCGTGGGTTCCTGGGTTTTCAGACGTCCTTTTCAACTCTGCCTCGTAGTCGTCTACGTGATGGAGAGATATTTTATCCCCGCTGGAAATGAGATAGCGCCGGTGCGACTTGGCAAAATCGCGGGTGCCGTCGTCCATCATCATGAGCATCTCCTTGGTGTGGCCGCCTGAGCCGAGGACAAAGAGGTAGTACTCGTTTTGGGTTGATTGGATGTCTGCGTGAAGGGATGGTGATTCGGGCCATTTTCTAGACCGGCGTGCTTGGGATAGTTGAATGTGACGTGTCTGTGTCGACTGCATTAGTGTCTGATGCTCGTGGGGTTTAGAAGGCCGTGTTGAATGTTTTCCGCTTCTGCTATGCAAAGTCGTGCACTTACGGTTATGAAAATGACGCAGCTCACGACAAGGCCCGCGAGCGTGGAAAGGAGGTACGTGGTTATTGCGGCCATGATTGAGGATGAGGGTCGGGACCCGGGACTCGGAGCTCAGGACTCGGGAGATTCCCACGTTACGGCTGTGGCTTCTTGTTTGCTGTCTTACGGCGTATTGTTATCTGAGCCAGCGACCGAAACGCATCGCGCGGCTGCTAACATGACACATTGCCGCAGACTTGTGATGAACAAGCAAATTTCATGGTTGATTATGATGGCAGCAAATGATGTCGGGTAAGCAGGATTCTGGGCGTGGCCGTATCCGTACCGGGTAGCTGCGGCACAGTTCTGGAAGAAAAGCACTTTGAAGGGTGATGGATGGATTGGCCATCGATGAATAGATAATGGCTACTGAAGAAATGGAAGCGGTCCCATGGTTATGTATTTGATTAATGTCTCGGCTGCACTCACTGCTCGGGTGCCAACATCACCAGTTAACGTGCCGGCCGTTCACCGTTTTCTTCCTCCATTGCCAAGTCATCGACTACCACAAAAACACCACAAAACATCACAAAACATCACGCAGTAGACGCCCGTCAAGAATCCCACACAATCATTCCATCCTTGGCCTCGTCGCCCTTCCCTCATCACAGCCGTCACCATCACCGATTCTCCGCGCCGCCCTCCCGACCGCCACCAACATCGCCTCCACGCCTTCCCCCGTCATTGCCGAACACTCAGCGTATCCGTCGGCTCCTATCCGTTCAGCATGCCAACCCGCCTAGCACGGTCAGCATTCGCCAAACATCACGCGGGCTGTGCAACTCTAACCTCGCGCCGACTCACGCAGCAGCTCACTTCAAGCGCCATTCCCACGCTCGCCGCCGCCAGTCTGTGATCCTCGAACGAGCACTCCGTGCGGAGATCCTTCTTGGTGCCAACCAGATACACCACGGGCCGTCCAGCTCCACAGAATCCCTTTTCGACCGCCTCTTGCCACTACTCATGTCAGCACGATTCGCGTCTTTGCAGCAGCGGGCGGAAATACCCAATGGAGAACTCTGAACATGCCCATCTTCTCCTTGACGTCGAAGCACAGAAGCACCGCACCCCACGCCATGTAAGATAGCCTCGACACAGACTCCATGTCGCCCGTGCCAGAAGTATCCTATAGCTCCAAGGTTGTCGGCAAGTCGTATTGTCTTTCGATGATGTATGCTTCGTATCGGGCTCTGGAAATCGCTGCCGTCTGTACGAGTCAGCCATCCCGCCGCCTCTCTGGACGTTTTGCCCACGCCATGTCAACCTACATCCAAAAACGCTCCGAACTTCGCACGACTACTCAAAGTTTCAGATCAGACCCGCACACAGAGTATGAAGGACGAGGCGAGATACGGAGTACATGCCAGAGAAGCGCCGTCTGCCCGCACCCTCTGTCCCCGACACACAGAACCTTCAGTCGGAGCGAAGCACCAGGTGCCAGACCACGCGCCGGGCTCGGACTCCTCTGTTTGCGCTTCCTCGAGAAGAATCCCAGAAAGCCTCGCTTTCCCCTGCTCTCCTGGTGTGTGGATGCCCTCGTACCCGGTCTCTGCGGCGAGTCTTTTCGGGGCACTCCTTGTCCTGCAGGGGATTGATCGTCTGTGACTGCCTCGTGGACAGTCGGCCGCCGAAAGGGCTTTATGGACCAAAAGAAGCCTCGACTTGCTGGCCTAGGCAGTGGAGCTGGCCCTCGAAAGCTCTGCGGTTTCCTTGTAAGCCGCGGATCAGAAATATGACAGATGTGGAACACACCAGTCTGGTTGAGCGTTGTGCCTCGAAGCCGTCGTTTTCAAAGGGATCTTCTCGCTCGAGACGACTTGGGACCGAATGCCGCCACGAGTCGATCCACGCTGCGTCGGTGTCACTCATGTCGATTCCCCCGTCGATGCTCGACTTGTGCCTCGGCGCCTTTCCGTCACACGAGCTGTTCCGGTAATTGGAGCAGGAATTTATCTACATGTCTTTCCAACGCAACACCAAGCGGAAACGAGAGTGGATATCATTCATCATCCTTGCTAAACCCGAGCTGCATTTCACTTTCAATTCACCTTCACCTCACCTCGCATCGTCCGGTGAAACCCACCGTCCGCGGGGTCCCTTTCAAGACAGTCACTCCGATCAGATCAGGTTTTTTTTTTATATGCACCCTCTCCAACCTGTCGCCGCCCATAATGAGCTTGAAAACAGTGATCCAACCTGCCGCTGGGTCTCCCGAAACCTTTTCCAACACATCATTCTGACCACCCGCAAGCTATGTTCCGACCGCCAGGCCACATAGCCAGGCCGATGCCACGACCCGTCCATTGCAACCTGCATAAAATCAATCATGTCAAGGCAACCAAGCCACCGTTGCCGCCATCCTCAGCAACTGCGGCCTGGTCACTGCTCATGACTTTGGAGGAATCGTTTCCATTTCCACAAAGGGCAGAGCATCCACCGTCCGCCATGTAGTTCCCGACCAAGCTCCCCAGCACCTCCGCCCCCTTGCCACGTTTTTTGCGAGTCAACGATCTGATTTGAACTTTCCCAGAGACATGTCATCCCTGGCCCCCCGTCATCCCATACGCCGTCGTGGCCCTCTCCGTCTCCAACCAGCAAAGCTCCGCCTTGGCATTTTCTCGGGCAGCCGGAAAACCACACGCACCAAGCTCAAACGGAGCATTGGGCGGAGCCTAGCATGGAACTCGGGACGGCCGTTGAACATGACCCAGGGCATTTGAACAGGATGAAACAGGGCAGGTTTTGGACAGCAAGAGCATCCAACATCAAGCAAATATTAGATTGAGCATGAAACCAGAGCACTCCGTAGAGCGTCCACCCAAGAGTATTAAATACACAGAGCATTGGCCCGAGTCCCTCCCAGAGCGTTAAACGAAACAGTAGCAGGAAACTCGCGCAGACAACTGGACACGGGTGCAAAGAGACTCGGAAACAGCCGCCCAACAAGCAAGCCGTCAGCAGCAGCGACCGCCGGTTGCGGGTTCACAATTGGCCCAACCTCCTTCATCCGCAGACAGCGGGCGTCATATAAAGTCTAGTGATAGCCTTCTCTAGCATACTCTATCGCCACGTCATGCCATGCCGTGCCTGGCTGATTCCTGTGCCGTGTCTGTCCCGTTCTCCTCCCCAGAAAAGCATGCTTTGCCGCAATGATGGATACGACACGCCATTTCGGTTTCCACGTCAGGCAGTCATCACCAACAGCTATGCACAGTCAATACACGCTTGTCTGGCATTCTGATCCCGCAATCCCCCTGAATTCAAAAACGCCACACAAGCAACCACAACACCGCACATTCCTTGAATAATCGGTCCAAACACACACTCGCCTATGAACAAAAACCGACCTACTTCATAAACGGGGTTCGTATCATGGCTGATCCATGTTTACAAAGTGGTACGCCAAACTCGATGCAGGGGTATGTAAAGTGGTGGTATCATGAAGCGTCTCAAGTGCAGGTCAGCCGGTGTTACAATTATACATTCTGAGACAGGGGACACGCTTGGAAAAAAGAAAAAAAGACAAAATGGACCGAAAGAACCAGTTTTACAGAAGACATATAGCGCTGCAGACAACAGAATATTAAAAACACAAGATCGCAAGGGAGCAAGCACAGCTCTCCATGCGAGAAGGGTTGGGGGGGGGATAATCTGAACGATACAAATATCTCATACAAAAGGTGGGCCGGGGGAGAACGAGGGGAGAGGAGAAGAGACTCGTGCACATCAAAGACTAAGTGAACTACCAGAGTCCAAATCTTCTTCAAAGTCGAGCTGCAAATCATCCATCGGGGCTGACAGCCATGGGCAGTCATCACGGCCTCTGCGAGGCCCCAAGCCCAGTTCTGCTCGAACATCCGCTTGGATTTGCAAAAAGTACTGCCGAAGACTTCTTAGCCCCTTCAAGAAGCCCAAATCTGGCTTATCAGGATGACGTGGGGGACAAGCCTTGTCTCGTATTTCATCTAGGGGTGTAAGGCTGTTGGCAAAGTCCGCCATCTTGAAGTCAATTTGTCGGGGATTCTTCCGCCGTGGACGAGTAGTCTCTTCGGTATCGGTTGCCACGTCGGTCATTGAGTCGTACATTGTTTCGTAGCCTCCTTCCTCGGATGTGTCGCCGTCATAAAACATGAGCAGGCTGGCAGCGTAAAATCGGTAACCCTCGAGGCCACGAATGATTTGCTCGAGTTGAGCAAGCTTCTTCAGAATAACGGGAATGTGGCGCAGGGCGCTGTCCAAGTCGACACCGTTGTACAGAAATTTCTGGAGCGCGTTTTGAAACTCGGCCCCAGCCTTGACCTTCCTGCCAAAGTACTTGTCTTGGAATTCATAAGACTGTGTCCTGGCATTCCAGACCTGAAGGCCACAAATACGCACCCCCAGCTCAGAAGAGGTAGTCGTGCGACACTTTTCTTGCTGCGACTTTTGCTTCTTCGGGCTTGCATCTACGCCATATTGGCGCGTGCCCATTTTGAGGTCCATCATACACGGTCGTCTCATACCAGCCGTCAAATCTTCCATCAATAGAAAGTACTCCACGCGATCTCCGCGCGTTTTGGCTTCTTTTGGATTGATAGGTCGGGGGATTTTCTTGAACTCGGCCGTGGGACTAAGAACAGCGGACGGTCCCGCAGACGGTCCTCTAGGGTGAGTCAAATCTAGCGGTGAAATGAGCGCCGGACCGTAAACTGGCGCATCTTCGTGGACGGCTTCATTTTCAGTGTTGGCACCCGCATCTTTCGCAGCTTTTTCGGCGGCCAGTTGCTCTTTGTCAGTCTTGTACTCTGCATCATCGGCTTCTTCAAAATACTTGAGGTCGCCTCGAGACTCCCGGACATCTTCTGGTCGCCGTCTGAGACCGCCTGCCGAATACCTTCTTCTCCTCCTACCTGTGGCAAGAGTTGCTTTCAAGATCTCAGGCTCTGGGGCACTAGTTCCAGTGAGATCCTTGGTAGGAGCATCCGCGTCATCTGATTGCCCGGAAAGCGAAGCAGCTGCAGCACCTAGATCGCTCTGGCCATGTCCATTGTGGTGAATCTGTGGCGAAGGTGGCCGAACTTTGGTGGGAGGAGGCTTTTGTTCGAGCTCACTCTGTCTATCAGACGCAGCAAGACTTGGGTCAGAAGTGGCGGGTCTGAGAAGTCGCTGCATCGTAGGTCGAGGTATTGCGCGCTGGTGAGGGCGGCGATGTTTTTGGACTTCGACTGGCTCCTTTAAAAAAGCGTCGTTGAAGACCTCATTCCGAAGGCGCTTGTTTATTGTCGTTGCTCCCCAGCTGTTGGGGCGTTCTTCCAACTGAGGCCGTGGCGTCTCGGTGTTGGATATACTCCGATACAACTTGGTAGACGACGTGCTGCGACGTCGAAAAAACTCGGCTGGTGGGGTCGGCTGGAGTAGATTCCGTGGTAAAATATGCTTGTTATCATCAAATGTGACTGTAGGGATCTGCACAGCGGTATTTGCCAGCGACTGACTGACAATTCTCGTGGGCGCCGAATCGGTCAATTCGTTTCCAGGCCCCTCGGTGACCGGATGATCAGCCCCGTTTGTCATTTTTTCCACGTCATTATTGTCGCCTAGGGCCTTCTTGCGTTCGGCCGACGCAGTCTCGTCTTTTCTGACCGTGCTTTTCCGTCGTGGTTGCTTCTGGAAAGTCACATTCAGAACACCGATATATCTGGGCCGTGCATGTTAACAATCAACTATGAAAACTACAGCCGGGCTGCTTTCACGCAATCACGTCACTTGACCGTGCGTTATTCCGATGTGCAGGAGACACTGGTGCTAGGTCACTATGTACTTACCGGGGAAGAAATGGAAGCAGGTCACGATGATAACGCTCAATTGTTTCGTAGAATTCGTTTTCCCTATTGTTGAGCTGCTTACACACCGCTCTGCGGGAAAAGCGCCAAATCGTTGTGTGACCGCCCACTTGGTGCTTGTACGGGATAAGCTCAATGGCTTCGAGCGGTTGACGGGGATGGTGTTGGTGGTGATGGACATGATCCTCGTATTGTATCACAGTTGATTGGGACTTTGGAGCCTTCTGCTTCTGGCCCTTGACAACAGGTTCGAGTGCAAGTGCAGCTTCGATGGATTTTTCTTGCAACTCCACGGGCGGAACACGGTTCTCACGATGCTCGGTACGGGACACGTCAGCGGCGGCAATTGTCTCGCCCTTGTCATGCGGTTCAGGCTCAGGCTCTGGTTCATCAGCCTTGACGAGCCACGGATGGGAGCTACTTTGTGAAATGGATCTTGATCGTTGGGCTTGGGTTGAACCGGACAAATCAGGGGCAACACTCCGGGCATCTGGCATCTCCTGGTGGGGCAGGAAGACGGCAGACGAGATTTTTTCCTCGCCAGATTCATCAGCATCTTCCGCATCCGCATCCGCGTCCGCGTCCGCATCGACATCGACATCGTCGACATCACCTTCATGTCTGCTGCGGGCTTTGGGACCAGTATTGTCATTAACACTGCCGGACGGGTGTTCCCCTTCCTCTTCGTCACCAGCTGACCTCCGTTGCCCATCTTCCACGTCGGCTTGTGAGGCCGGTGTCGGCCCCACCTCATCGGGTGGCGATATCGGCTTACATGTGGCCTCATGACCTGGTCGCAATCTCGAGCCGAGCAGTGTCTCGGGAGTCTTGTCAACTTCGGCCGCGGTATCGGTGGGCTCTCGATTGAAGTAATCGCGGGAAACCCAATTCGTGCCAGCACGCGTACTCTGGGCTGGGCATGTTTCTTCATTGCGACTGCCAGGTGGGGCCACGATGGTCATTGTCGAGCCCTCCGGCACGCCTTCCTCCCAAGTTGGCGACAACTTGTCGCGAGGTGTCGTCTTGGCATCTCTCCTCCTCGGCTTGTCCTCAGGTGGAAGGCCTTCTTTGAAAAATCGTAGACTGTAACTCGCCTTGCGGCTTCGGGCGTTTGGCTCAACTCCAGCTATGGCCTCAGCGACCGACTTTTCAACCAAGCCGTCCTCCTCGTTGCCGCCCCCTGAGCTGATTGACCAAATCTTTTCAGTTTTCTCGGGGCTGACTGTCACTTTACTCTCCAAAGACGATCGGTGCGACAACCTGAAATCGATGTCCAACGCTGAGTTGTTGGGTGCTTTGGTCGGAGGCAATTGGAGCGGGTCATTAGACAAGTAGGACGGCCGAGTGGGCGCCGAGGCCTCTTCGGGACTCGCAGAAAGAGACAGGGCACGATATTTGAGTACATCGGGGGTTGAACGGTCGAGTTCGAGAGATGTGGAGGCACGACCTCTAGCCCTATCGAGAAAATCTCGGCGCTCCATGAGCATATCTCTGGCTTGAGCCAGATCGGAAGGGTTGTACCGACGTGGAATGGAAGTAGAGGTTGGAATCGCAACAGAAGCTATCTGGACCATAGTCGGCGCCGCCATGGTTGAAGACGACGGAGAAGGATCGCGACCTAGGGAGGATTGGTGCTCTCCATGCTTCATAGGCGCTGGCCGACTTGCGGTGTGGGTATGTGAGGTCGTAGATTCCGGTCCGCGATCGGTCGGGGGGAGATGACCGTTGCCCCGAAATCTAGATGACCGACTGCTGCCAGCACTGCTACTGTCGCCGTTGTCGTGGAAAATTGGGGTAGTATTGTTTGAGTTGTTGTTGTTGTTGTTATTGTTGTCGACGCTCTTGACGCTACCGTTGCCACTCTGTTTCTGACCTTGAGGGATACCACGAGCAGATGCCAGGGCTTGGGTCAGGAGCGAAGTAGCAGGCTGCCTTTGGCCGTGGCTGGGGCCGCGAGACTTTATATCGTCCTTTATGTAGGCTTGGTCTGAATCGCTGGAGCGGATGGCCTGTGAAAAGAAAGGGGGCGGGTTTGGGTGCTGGTTCTGGCCCTGGCCGGACACCTCGCCTGCATTGCTCAACGCTGGTACCAGGACAGTCGAACTTGGATCTGGACCTGCGCCGATGGCGGGTTGACCCCCCTGACTTAGGGGTGCAGGGGGTATGGCATTTTCGGGCTGGGAACTCGGGCTGGACATGAGGAAAACATTGGGCGCGGCAGGGCAGCAGCGTGGGAAGATCGATTCGCGGCAAATGACGGACTGGTGTGGTGTTGAGCGGCGAGGGTGCAGGAAGGAAAAATAAGGACCCCAACGGAGGGTGCTTGCGAAGGTTGGCTTGACCAGCAGACCAGACCAGACCTGGCTTGGCTTGGCCAGACTTGGCTTGGCTCGGCCGTTGCCCCGAGTACAGGGTACGCTGGCATGTAGCAGACCTACCGCCAGTCTCAGTGGCGGGTGGGCCGCAACATTTGAACCTTGACCTTGACACATCATCAATCTTGGGTAGTGGGGGGAAGGAAGGGGCAACCATGTGGACTGGCAACTGGGCAACTGCTGGGTGCCCACTAAAGTTAGGTACCTACCTGTAAGTACCTAGGTACCTTCGTCCTTGGGGACTGGGGGACTACTTGAGTAAGAAGTAAGTAAGTGCCTTGGACTTGACAAGTCCAACCAGATATTTGACCATTTGCCGCTGTGCGGCACGTACATGTCTCGCAGTCAACCCACTTGAGAATTTCTTCGGTGCCAGGCAAGGCGATACGTACTTAACTTAATGTTACTCCAGGACCCCGGCCTTTGGAACGTACCCCAGTGGTGGTGTCCCGCCCAAGTACTCCGTCCTGTGCTCCGCATTGTGGCAAGACATGTCAGTACGTAGTTGTAACGTTTGATATAACTAATAGCTGAGCTGTCTGATTACGTCGTTTACTGCCCTGTCCGCGGTAGGTAGTACCGTAGTACGTACCCCATACTGTCAACAAGCCTAGCCAGTCAATCGCCTCTCGTGCTAGGCTGCTGCTTCTTCTTCTTCTTCTTCTCCTTCTTCTTCTTCGCAAGTCATGACCCGTGCTGCAAGTGGAAACACAACGTTCGGCCAAAAGGGCTGAACGTGGGGTTTCAGTGGCTCTCGTGCAGTGCTACTCCGTACCAAACAAGCCGTTGCCAAGTCGGAGCCCGCGGGGGAGGAGGGGATAGAGAGATTTCCAGCAAAATGTATTCCGGACTCCGGCATATCCTACTTCCTATTGCGTCGCTTAGGCTTGATAGACGATGGCGAGCCAAGGAAGCGGTGGCTTTTCGATGGTTTGAGTAGGTAGCAAATACCAAGAAGGCGGAATGTGCGTCTGGGTGGAGGGCTTGAGATAGCATCATCGATGGAAACAGAGACGGCTCACTAAGAGTCAAGTCGTCAACTTTCCAATTACGCCGTACCTTGCCCGACTTGTAAGCTCGTCGTTTCGTGGATATGCCTGCAGATGATGTGTATCGGGGAGGGGCGTGTTGCTATATCTTCGCATTGCCCAGGTTCTGAGACACAACCGCCATGTTGTCGTCCACAAGCCAATCACTCTCTTGTAAGATTCGGAGCTCCGTGCCCTGTAGAGCAAGCAGCATACTCCGTAACGTATCGTCCTCTGGCACCAGAAAATCGGCTCCACGCCGCCACGTGGGCTCACAGGGTGCAGAATGGGGAGCCCGCTCACCGAAAGCGAATGCTCACCGACACCTTGTCGCCCGCAAGGGCATATTCATTTGCTATTCAGGTTGCCGCAGTCGCAGTCGTCAGACTGACGCAATTCGGCGGCATGTGGTGCTGGCGTCTCGCGTAGATGAGATGGACAAATCAAGAAGAAATGTCGTTGGCGGCATCTGCTAGTTATTTCGTGCGCGAGCAGTCTGACCCGGATGGAATTAGGCCTTGCCTTGAATCGAAACCTGGTCCCTGATGCTAATCAAGGGAAACCGTCGGAGCACGGCAGCACCGGTGGCGTCGGTACCACAATGCCCCGACCTTGACGCTTCAAAGGTCGCGCACAATATCCCATGTTGACGTGTTGAAAGATCTGGAACTGAACAAGACAAATCCTGGTAAGAGGTCAATATCTATTCGCATCCTTTCCGATCGTTCCTTCCTTCCATGTGTGCCGGTCCAGACTTATGTAATGCGTGTCCCGTGCGTTACATGACGCAACCCGCCTGCCACACCTGTCTCTTGTTGAGCTCGAATCATCCGTGGATTGATCAAGCGTGGATTGATCAAGGTCGCTGTCCCCTAGTGATCAACACATGAGGTGTTTCGCGCGGCAAGAACCCCCCTTCCCGATCCTCGATATTTGCTCGGGTATCATCTATCCATCTTCTTGATGTTTCCGTTGCCATATCGCGAGGACGGATGCCATGACCGTTCTGACGTTTGTATACCTACTTAGCCTACTTATCTAGGTGGTCACTCGGCCGTCTTTACCGACAAAAGTTCGTGAAGAGGCCTGCTTTTTGGTTGGTCGGTGGAGTTGTCGGAGAGAAACAAAAAGGCCAGACGCTGTCCTGCAGCCTCATTGGTACATGAGAATCTGATCCCCCCGTTTGGCTGAACTCTCTAGTAGACACTTTCCGTGGCTGGCTACGACTCCTAACGCCTCTTGTCCGTATAAAATTTACGAGGCCCAGGTGGGAATTTACTCCAGCAACCCGTTTTGTGGCTACCCTAACCAGCTCGAGCTGCTTGATTACCGAGAACGGTCCTTGTTCAGCCCGGGCCTTTTACTGTCAGGACAACGTGGAAGTAGAAGTAAAGGATCTGCCATTTCTAACTTGACTACTCGGTAAATCCCGACGCCAGCGGCTAAACGGCACCAGGCACAACATCCGCGGACAATGGATTCAGCGAGGAACGGGGCGAGAACATAAATAAACCTGGTCAAGTTTTATTCTTTTTTTGGCCGAAAATGCGTCTTGTTCCTTCATTACTTACTTGCACAAGCTGCGAAAAACGGCATCACGGGAAATGACATCATTACGGTACAATTCAGCTTCGCTTTTCGGGGTCAAAGACATTGTCGCAGTCGTCACTGGCGGTGGTTCTGGTCTTGGTGCCATTACCACACATGCGCTGGTAGCCAATGGTGCCAAGGCAGTGTACGTGCTTGGCCGACGGGGAGCGGCTCTGCTCAGAACGAGGAAGAATGCATGCAATCCAGACGCTGTCCACACCATTGTCTGCGACGTCACTTCCAAGGACAATCTGAGGGCCGCAGCTCGCCTGGTACGTGAGCAAGTCGGCTACATCAACGTGCTCTATGCCAGCAGTGGCGTGATCGAGGCGGCCACGGCCCCTCCTGACGGCAGTGACGATATCAAGAGCCTCCAGCAGAAACTATGGAAGCCCGCCGTGGAGGACTTTACGACAACGTTGCATGTGAATGTGACGGGCACATTCTACACAGCCATTGCCTTCCTCGACCTGTTGGACGAGGGGAACAAGCGGGCGGCGGTGGTGGCACAAAAGTCTCAGATTGTCCTGACCTCGTCGGTCTCCAGCTTCGCTCGGCTGCCCTTTGCTGGCTTTTCCTACAGCACAAGCAAAGCGGCCGTTACTCAGCTGGGCAAGATGCTGTCTACAGCGTTAGCGCCGTATAAAATTCGGGTCAATACGATTTCTCCAGGCCTCTTCCCCAGCGAGATGACCCAAAACATGACGTTTATGCAGACCGAAGGGGACCCAAGGGAAGAGGGCGCAGTGAGCCCGAGCCTAGTGCCGCTGGAAAGAATCGGAACCGAGGAGGAATTTGCGGGAGTCGCAGTCTTCTTGGCCAGCAAAGCAGGGGGTTACCTTGACGGGGCCATGATTCTTCTTGACGGCGGCAGAGTAGGCGTCATGCCCAGTACCTACTGAGTTGCTCGTCGACGTGCCTGTTTGAAGGAAGGCCACTCTGCTTCATCAGTGCGCAGGTACCGGCCACGTCGTTTGAAATTTTTGGTGCTAAAATGTCGTGCGTTTATGTGCTTTACAAGTGCGTTTTGCTACGAAGCTACAGGCATGCATGTACTCGTAAGTGGTGTAGGAATATTTGACTTTTTTTTTTCTCTTTTTTTTCTGTAAGTCGTTGTCATGATAGCTTCTGGTAGAACATGTCAAAATCTAAATTCCGAAAAGTAAGATATCGACTACAACACTACAACTGCAACTCTTCCAAGAATACTTCATCTTGACCACTTGGCATTTAATCTTTTAAACAAGCCATGACTACTCCGTTCCGGGCGATACATTCTGAGGGATGATGCTCACGCAGCCAGACGAGACGCACACGAATCTGACCCTGCCAAAAAAAAAAAAAAAGGCCCAGCCGGTGACAACGCCCGCGGGCAGGGGAAGCAATGGCCCAGACCCAGACAGCCTGAGACAGGAGAGTGCGACTGCATACTTGTGCTTCCATGAAGCGATGCATGGGCCGGCTTGGTCCTGGATTCCAGCGCCGTCACGTTGCGGCATCGGCGGCCACCATTGGATGCAGGCGGATGGGCCGAATTTCAAGACCTCCCCTCCCGCACGGAGTACGTACGTGTCTTTATATCTTACGCAAAGCAAAGGGGGCGCCCCTTGCCTTCTCGTCGCCGCTGCCGCCGGTGGAAAAGGAAGGGGGGCGGCGCTAGTGCTGGTTGGCGTGCCGCGTGCGGGTGTCGTGCATGGGAATGGGAATGGGCTGGGCGGCGTCCATGTCCGGGTGTCGAGTTCTGGAAACTCGATTGCGTGGGAGACGGGGATATTCCCGGGTCCTGAACGCCCCGGGCCTGGCCCTGGCATGGTGGCATGCGCGCGCTGACGGGCCGATTGCGTCGCCTGGCCTTGATCACTGATGGCGTTCGTGGGTGGTGTGTGCGCCCACTGTACGTACTTTACAAGCTGGTAGGTACGCGCCCAAGTAAGTACCTACTTGTAGGTAGGTGCCTCGGTGCCCAAGAACTTGGCCAAGTACCTAGGTCCAAGTACTTACTTAGTGCTCTGTACTTGAATGGGTGGTAGGCCGTCGGCGCCATCTTGGCCGACGCCCACAACAAACCGGGCGCGAGTCCGTGGTCGCGGCCCACACTCTGTCGTGCCTACCAACATTTGTGCCTGGTGATGCCGGTGCATCATCCACCGCCAATCGATCCATCGTCACGCGGGACCAAGGCTGAATGCAACCATGTGTCATTTACGTAGTGCTGTCCCGGGAGCATCTTCCCAACGGCCGACGCTTGCAGTTCGCGCAGTGCTGCCCCCCCAGATCGGTCACGGCGAAGCGGTCCCATAACGGACGCGCATCTTGTCCACCTTGGGTGCGGTTATTTGGGGGTGCACGGCACACCAGAACCATGTCACCGTTGTCCGCCCGTCCGTCCCGTCGTAAGCTTGGCGTGGAGGGTGGGGACCCAAGGCCCAACGATCCGTGCCGAAGTGAGTGGGTGAACGACTGGGCATGCCAGCGAGCAGATGCCGTACGTACGTAATATGCCGAGTACTCATCGAACGCATGGGCATGGCACGCCTACTCGGTCCCGGCAGACTCGATAACAATTCCCTTCAAGTATGCTTCAGTACTCGCACATGGCGGACTCGACGTGTGGATACGGAGTACGGCCCCTGGACTTGATACAATGTAAACGCCATTTGTCCCGTCAAAAAATATCAAACCCCATCCGCTTTGTCCACGGCCCGCTGCCGCCATCTCTCATGTCTTCTCGCTGGTGGCTCCCTTCCGTGCTTGTTCCAGCTCCGCGTCAATGTTCCAGGGATCCCAGAAATCTCCCATTTCCCGAACCATGTCTTCAACAACATCCATCGGCTCTTCCGAAGCCCGACTGCATGCCAGAGCTTCACCATGCTTCGCAACTTCCGTCTCCTGGGGCATGAGTCCCTGCTTATCCGCGTCTGCTGCCATAAACGTCTCGGCCATGGCAAAGGGCCCAGGACTCTTGAATTGCTGTGACTCTGTTGGCAGGAGATTCTGCGGCTGTCCGTCTTTACGGTTTGCCACCGCTTCAAAGTGCTTTGCGAACCTCGTGTCGTGGCATCTCTGAAGATGGTCAATGGGCGTGCCTGGCGGCGGCGAGCTCTGTCTCTTTGGTGTGCGACGGGCTGCACAACCATTTTGTTTCCATGGCGCCCCTTCAAACTCTTCGAGCGATGCCGCCCATGAAACTCGCAGGCCTGGCCCTTTCTGGTTCCGGCGTCTCTTCAGAGATGACGGGAGGCATCCTTGGCTGCCCCTGCAAACCGGTCGAGACGCCGAGAGCGACACATATTGGTTCCGATCTGGCGACGGAGACATGAACGACGAAAAAGACTTGACGCAGAATTGGGGTTCGGGTGTCCTTGGTCGGCGCACCCTTGGTTTGGCGAAAGGTGTTTGGTCGACCTTCCCATCAGTGGAGCGCAATATCAAATTTAATGATGCAGCATCCGCTGGGCTTTCGTGTCCCCATGGACTTTGAGTGCGGTTGGAAACCGTCGCAGTCGTCGCAGTGTCGTCGTCCTCATTACCGAATGGCGTTGCCCCACAGAGGTTTGCTGATAGAATGCCCAACGGCGACCTAAACACTGCGGCATGCTCCGTATTGACCCAAGGGCTTTGCTGGGACTCGGAAACGCGGTCATCTTCTGCGCCCAAACCATTCGACTGGCTGTCATCTTGGCCATTTGAGGCCTCCTGTGGGATTTGAACAGGCTCGTGCAATTGATCAGGGTCACTCATGAGCTCATGACGACGCGGGCTCAACACTTCTTTGTGTGTCTTGCTAGGCTGGGCATCTGTGTTTTCGGTTTCATCTGCAGATTCATTCGTCACCACAACCTTCTTGCTCGGAGTTGCTGGAGATGACAAAGGTGGAAGAGCTAATCGTGCCAGCGTGGTCCATCGGGTTGAAGGAACAAAACGATTGAGAACAGTACTGAAGCTGAATTCGGATCTGTCTTTGGGACGTTCAGCTTGGCGAGGCGTTGCCGGGGCCTCGACTCTGCTAGATTCCGATCCGTTTTGGACGCGGTCGTTCATCGTGCACATGGTGGGCGGTTGCTCAACCCCCGAAGCAATCTTTCCATCATCCGCTGCAACTTTGTCAGATGCAGAAGGATGGTTTGTATCTTGTGCATGTTTTGGTTCATTACCGCCTGGCGAAAATGGTTGGGCTGCAGCGATGGAGCTTCCCGAATCACCCTCTGAATCTGTTTCTGAGAGGTTGCCATCGAGATTTAAGCCAGCACCACCTTCGTGGGCTACACCTTCATCCACCCATTTCCTTTTCATGATCCTGTCGCCAAGTGATTGTGCTCCGGGAGTGTTGAGCTCCTCGACACGCGAGTCACCTGCTTTACTGTCATCATCAGGGGGTGTATGAGCTTCAACTGGGCCTTGGATAGCGTATTGTGCTACGTCTGGCGGCTCTGATTTTATGCTAGATAGATGATGCGTTTTGACATCTGGTTCGGCTTTCTGAGAGGGGCATTGCAAGTTTCCATCCATTTTAGCATCAGAGCTGCTTGAAGGCGGCTCGGATAAATAACGTTGTTGTTCAGGTTGATCACTCGTATCTTCCAAAGCCGCGGCTTCATGAGTTGTGTATTCGGCCGTGGAGCTAGTTTCGGATACGTAGTCAATCATTGCCTCAATACCTTGTTCGTTTGAGGCCTGCAGATTGACTTGGCCGTCTTTGTCAGGCTCCTCTCCCGGCGAAGAGAGCATATCTTGTACCAAGTCATCCAGTACGTTTACATGTCGTAAACGAGATGGTGTGGTTTGAGTGCCGACGGACGACGTAATGTAGTCAGGTGGCTGACTTTTTTTCGAAGGAGAGGACATAATTGGTCCATTTCGCATTGACACAGGAGATGAGAGAGTAGCAGCCGCTGCCTTGTTGGGGCTGAGTTCATCATCAGACTCTACCAAATTTTTACCAATAGGTCTTCTCGTGGCGTTTCTCGGTGATCTCCGCTTGGATGGCGACGCTGGTGCTGCACTCTCAAAGCTAGACGACGGCATATCTGCCACGAGCTCGTCAAGCTCGTCATCTTGTTGTTCAGGGCCATGGGATCCTTCTCGTACGGTAGCACGGCGTTGCCTCTTTGTAGAAACCTTCCTTAACCATGCGGACCCAGGCGCACGTCTCTTTCTAATAAACGTGGAAACCCCGGCATCGTCAGGGATAAGGGAACCATTTCGATTGCTGGAAAAAGGATCAACCTGCGCCCTCCACTTGTTGACTTTATCAAGACCATCTGCTTCCAGATATGGATGCTGTTGGGTATATGGAGACTGCTTAAGGCTCTCGGGACTGGGTAGATGGCAATCGGCGTCACGAGCCTGTAGCGTAGGATCTGGCCTTGGTTTGGTGATGGAGTTCTTGCTTTGAGACATGAGCTTTTCGACGGGTTGAGAAGGCTGCACAAAACCGCGAGCTATCACCTTGTGACGATTAGATATCCATGGGTTGATAAATCCCGAAAGCCTGTCCAATGGCCCCTTTAAAGCGGCGGAGATCAGCACAGGAGCAGCGCCGTCTAAAAATCGCTGCCCAGCTTCTGTGTAACGACGTCGCCTTGCGTCCGAATTCTCGTAGTCCTCATCTTCCGACCCTTCATACAACACATCCTCTGGTCTGCAGAACGACTCTGAATATACAGTGTCGTCGCGCCAAATCTCCCTAAGCTTGGTCGACATGCTCCTGTCATCTGTAATCTTGTTGGCGGAAGGTGAAGGCCGATTCAGGACATGGGAAATTCAAGATAGTCTGCAAAAACTGCACTTGATGGGGATGGGCATTCTTAGGAAATGGTGTTCTTGGTCGATGAAGCAGTTGACGGCTCATCAACCCAGCGGTTGTCCAAGCTGGAGACAAGGCAGGAAATGAACTTTGAATGGGCCAGCCTTCTCGGAGGCATTGACGCGTAGCGCGTCTCACGGATGCACGTGACGGCGCGTTAATTGAATTATTGACTGCAGGCTGTTATTCAATTTTTAATCACTGGTAAGCCACCTTCCCATGAAATATGCACAAAACGAACTACTCAATAGAGATATTGCCTCTCCACATGTAAAAGAAGTTGACTGAAATTTTTATATGTGACCTAGAGCTGCAAGATCAGCATTTAACTGCGAACATGAACATCTTGCACCACGTGATTTGACCACTCTTGGCCCGGTAGGCACAGCAACGGCAACCGTCCAATCAGAGATGCTCGGCTGTTTACATGACCCGACTGAACAAGCAACGCGCCATCCAATGTCTCGCGTTGTCCAGTGCAATGACCAACTTGTTTTGCCATTGACGCTGCGTATTCATACTTTTGCCTCAAGTCGCTTTTCGGTACAAGTGTACCCGGGCTTCTAGCAAGCCACGTCCTCGTGTATATTCAATTTATAGTTGGGTGCATTTGAACCGGCGCATTCATAACAAGACGATCATCCACAACCCACCCCACCTTCAACAAGTTATTCACGGACTTTCAGCTACATGGCGCGCCAGTGAATCGACTCCAATCCGGGTTTCATCGTCAGATCCCCTGCATCCCCTGCTTCATTATGGCGCATGCTTGGTTGGATTCCCTCTCGGAGGACTGGGTCTCCCAGCCGGCATCAGACGCATCTGATGGACAGCTTCCGCCGCTTCCGCCGCCACATGAGATCGAGACACCACAACTAAAACAGTTCGCGAGCCGGATACCGCGCAGGGCTGGAAACAGGTCGTCGTTGCCTTCGACTGGAGGCAATAGTCCCAGTGTCCTGAGCGAACGTAGCGCCAACGACATTAACATCTCCATGAAGAGGCTGCCCTCGAAGCTGTCGCAAGGACTCAGAGCAGACGCATCGCCATCTACTTCGAATGAGACGAACGCATCTGTCGTTCACAACAGACTTCCAGGTCAAAGATCCCCAGACAAGAATGCCGACACCCCGGAATGGAAGAGGCGCTTGGTATATGGTGACGTCGCGTACGGCGAACAACGAGACCTCTTTAGCTCAGCTGCAGTTGGCCTTCAGGATATGTTCAAGCCTCCTCAAGAAGGCGAAGAGAGGTCGAGACTCGGTGGTGATGTGTCTCGCCATGTCGACATGACGATGCCGTCCAGTCCTCCAACTTATCCGCAACCTGTAACTGAAGAAGATCTTGGCGAATTTCCAGGTTTTGACGAGGACGAAGAGTGCCCTGTGGACGTCACCCCGAGCCCGAGCCCCAGACGCCTGCAAAAAGAAATTAATTACAAACTGAATGAAAGTTCGCCAGTTCCCGACTCTTATAAAACGAGCCAACGTCGAGGCGACCACACTCCAGAGCGGCAAACTGCAGATGAAATATACCGCGATGAAAGCTGTCTGACTGCTCCGCCTGAAAGACACGCCGCACTAAGAAAACCCAGCTGCCAGAACGATGCTCGAAATGAAGATTTCAGCCCCATCTTGATCGGCAAACACAGTGGCGAAGACGGAAATGCGAATTTTGCTGCAGTCGACGTTCCTGTCGACCAGCTCTGGCAGAAGCTGGAGCGACTACGGGTAAATCAAATGCTTCTTGATTCCCAGGCAGATCTTCAGGCTGGTTTGGATGCAAGTCCCAGATCTCCAGCCAAGGCTGACACGACCGATGATTATATTCAGAACGGAGGCTTTGTCAACGTGCAACGTGGAGGGAGATCTGACGATGGCTCGTTCTACAAGAGAGCTTTAAGTTCAGAACTCGGTGCAGACACATCGCAGATGCTCGGAGAGGAGTCATTACAAGCTAGTACTCCTAAACAATTCCCCTCGGTGCGGAATCTTGGAACGAACCCGTACCCTACGTTTCAGGTCGCGGAAAGTCCATCTATGCCTCGGGCACCCTTCCCCAGTCCTGACAAGAAGCAACCTGAGCCTGATCAGACTCGTCCAGCGGCAGCTAGCCCCCTGAAATTATTTGGCCCCTACGACACATTTACCAACGAAACGTTACTGAGGCGCATCAACCAGTTTGAAGAGAAATCAGGCAGTCCATCCCAAAATATTGACCGGCAACCTGAGGATGAAAGCGCACCATCGGCATCAGTCTCCCAGATGAGAAATATTAGCAAATTTGGCGGGGGCGACTTGGACGGATTTGAATTTCATGGCGACCTATGCGACGAAAGCTACGAGGATTCTGGCCATTTCGGCAAAGAAAACGTTGCGCCAAACGAGTCCTCCCTTCCACCATATCCGCTCCGAGGAGGTCGAGTGCAGGATTCTCCTCCTGACGGCTACTCTGGTCTAGTCGTTGAGCGGAAGCGTAGCAAAAACGAATCCATGTTTCGTGAAGGAGATGATGAAAGTCCCAAGTCACCAAATGAGGCACCTGGTGCCTTTGAATCGCCTGTACGGGATCCCGGGTCAGAGAGCAAGCGGCCGCGTACTTCTCCTTCGAAAAACCCTACACCAAAACGAAGGCGAACACTTCATCGATCCGATATTGCATTTGGCCGAGAGCATAAACCAGAAGCAGTTGGTGCGACTCATCTGCCGATGCATTCGCTATCATCGAGCAAAAAACGCAAGGATGCGCTGCCGGGCCAATTTGAAGTAGCAAACCCCAACATTCTAGCTATGAGATCTATGCTGCATCCACGAAGCCCAACTTCTAGCAGAAGTTCGTCAGTGTCATATGGCCGAGCCCAGAAGTCACCTCTCCGGGGTCCCGAAAACGAGATTCCGACCCCTCCAAGTGATGCTCCGACTGAGACGGACCGCAAACCATCTATTCGCACCCAAGATTTTGTGGACCAAGCGGCTCAGATAATGGCTATGATCCGAAACCAAGTGCGGCCAGAGCTGGCGAGTCTTGAAGAGTCCGAGGACTGTGTTGAGGCAGAAGATGGACGAGCGTCAGCTGCGGACTCAAACCAGGATTCTACAAGCGAGCCTTTCTCCCGACCGCCTAGCAGGGATGGGCCTGCCAGACCTTGGCTGGCCCCGCGTCAAGACAACCCGGAGTTGGTGAATCGGCTGAAACAATATCAAGAGTTTAGCGACATGGGCGATGTCATTTTATCTTCGTTGAGATCCATGGGGCCCGCCAAGAACGCCGGGCTGGCGGCACAGGAACTGGAGCGACAAGTTGATGAACAAAATCAGCAGCGACCCAATATCATTCCGATCCCCGTCCGGGGTGAAGTAATTAGCGATCTTCCAAACGTGCGGATCACCAGTAATTCTCTTGGCAATCCGGAACAGAGGCGCTCGTCACAAGAGTATCCTTCACATTCATCAAACAGATCTACAAGTCAAAATTACCCATCGGCGTCGTCAAGGGGATCTGAATCTAGACGCATAATTATGCCAGAGAGCGTATCTCATTTAATTCCCGACAAAGTTGGCAGCATGTGTTTGGATAAAGACAAGAACGTGTGGATCAAGAGAAAGGAGTCGACGTCGTTGCCGGAACGTAATATTCTACCCTCGGAGGACAGTGAGGAAGATCCGTTCGCCAGCATTCCTGATCTTTCAGTTGACATGACGAGGGAGATGCAAAATCTCAGACTCGCCACTGCCGGCAAGGGGCCACTGACAGAAAAACCCGAAGAGCGAGCCTCGCCAAAGAGTCCCTCTGGACAAGCGGCGAGCCGAGGCTATGTTACTTTGCCACCCGGTCAGCATACGAGTCCGCGAGTAGGGGTTCCCGCGAGCGAAGCATCTGACAAACTTGAGAGTTTCTCCAACTGCCGTAAAGGGCATGCTGAGGTCAAAGCCCAAGCTGGCTATCACAGAGAAAATAATATTCATTCGTCGATAAAGCGCCGGAACCTTACCATCTCGTTCTCTTCACCAATTGCATCTGTTATTCACGACCTATCCCCGGAAGACCTGGATAGTATTGAGGAACCAGACGGCCAGGACGAAGCCGGCAATGCTGAAGTGTCAAATCATACATCACCACGCAAATCCCCTTCACAGGCGGAAGCTAGACCACAGAATTTATCGCAGCATGTTCGTGCAAACCCCAGCCAAGCCCCATTGAGGCAGGCGTCTCTCCGTGTGCCAGCTTTCATACCTCGTCCTGTATCTCGTATTGACGAGCAAGACGAAGAGAGCACCGTGGAGTTTGCAAATGAAGACCGCCAACTTAGCATCATTGGTGAGAAAAGCATGATTAACCACAAGACGCCAAGTGAGCGGCGAGCCAGCCTGGGCTTCGTTTTCGGCCAAACACCGGGCAAAAGGGCACTCGCTCTGACAGCCGAGGACAGTGAGATTATCGGACGAAATGTTGGTAAGCTGTCACTGAGCCCGCTCTCCGAGTTTACTCTCAACAATGCCGACCAGTCTTTTGGATTTGAGGTCAGCTACGTGATGGGTCCTCGACACATGACTACAGGGGACGGCTCTGATAAAGTTTTGTCCATGACGATAAGAGAACTGGTGGACCGAATCAGTGAAGCAGAGCCTCATGAATCCTTTTGGGAAGATCTCACGGAGCTTGACCTTCACGACAAGCGTCTTGCCAGCCTTCACATGTTGGACGAGTTTTGCGGCAAGCTGGTCACGCTTGACGCGTCGGACAATAAGCTGAACCACTTGGAAGGTGTGCCTTCAACCATTCGAGAGCTCAAGGTGTCTCAAAACTTGTTGACGGAGTTGACGTCGTGGGACCATCTGATGAACCTGCAATATGTGGACATATCAGGCAATGAGGTTACGAGTCTGTCGGCCTTGAAGAACCTGGTCCACCTGCGAAGTATCAAGGCTGATAATAACCAGCTTACTAGTCTGGACGGCTTGGACGCTCACGACGGCTTGTTGCATGTGCGGGCCAGGAACAACGTGATTGACCGAGTCGATTTCGCGGCGTCCCGATTTGTACGGCTTGAGGAGCTGGACCTGGGCGGCAATCGGATCAGCTCTGTGCAAAACCTCGAGATGCTTCCGGCGCTGGCTCGTCTAAAGCTGCCCAGGAACAGACTGACTGCTCTTCCCGTGGCAGGACGCATGAAGTCGCTGCGACACCTTGATGTCAGTGATAACGAGTTGGTTACGCTAGACATTTCTGCCTTCCCTAACCTCCATTCAATGCATGCCGACAGAAACCACATAAACCGGGTGTGTGGATTTGAGCGGACTCGTCGACTGGACAGTCTATCTCTCCGTGAGCAAGGAGGAAAAGTTGCCCTGGATCTCGGCTTTCTGTCTCGCGCATACGAAGTTCGCAAGCTATTTTTGTCAGGCAACTACATGCCAGAATTTGAGCCGCGGGTTGATTTTCTCAACATGCAGCTTCTCGAGCTGTCCAACTGCGGGCTGCAGCGACTCCCAGGCAAAATGGGCCAGTTGATGCCAAATCTGCGAACGCTAAACATCAACTTCAACGCGCTAAGTGACTTGTCGCCTCTGCAGTTCATCCCCCGGCTCAAGAAGCTCCTCGTGGCGGGGAACAGACTAGCCGATTCGACGCGTGTAACGCAACTGCTGTTACAGTTCCCCCATTTGACGCAGCTGGACGTTCGCGATAACCCAATGACGCTCGGGTTCTACGCGCCACTGCAAGTTTTGGTCCCGACAGACGGCTCCGGTGTGGTGAATCCGTTTGTGCTGCCCGAGGGCGACGTTGCTAGGGACAACTTGTTTGCAAGCAGGCTAGACGACACCACAAAACTGCGAAGACGGCTGCATCAAGTTGTAATCGTCGCGAGCTGTGGACGGATACGAATGCTGGACGGCCTTGCTGTCCGTCGACGAGACATTCTGGCGCGGGATCAGGTGCTACAAAAACTGATTCATGAGGGGCTCGTCCCCGACCCGGAGCAGCTACAGGTGCAAGAGGAGGAGGCCAAGGCCGTTGACCCGAATCTCAATGGCCGGGATGCAATCGACGAAGAGACAATGGCGGATGAACAAGCCAGAGCACAGCTTGAGGAGGAAGCCGAAACAGCGTGGCACAATACTATTTATGAAAAGCAGTAGCGAAGCAGACAGGACAGACTATACGAGCAGGAACAGCAAGTACAGGATCGTATGTACAAGACGAGAAGGTATATGGCGTTGGATTGCTTCCGCAATGCATTCTCTTTTTTTCCTGGGGGTTTTTCTCCTTGCCCCTTTTTCTTTGTCTTTTTTTTTTTAACTCGGCGCAACAGGGTCGGTTGGATTGGGGTAACTGGGACATTATGGTTATACGCTTTGTAAATTGCATGGTGGGGAGTTGTATGAGTAGGCGGTATTCAAATGATGAGACATGAACTATTCCGCCTCGAGTGGGAATGGGATAGACTCCATATTAAGTCATCATGTGTGGTCCGATTGGCTTCTGCTCAACTGCGTAGTGGATGAAGGGATAGATTACTAGTATCTACTGATTACCGAGGCTGGGGGTGAGTCGAGGTTGGTTGGAGCCCGACGGAATGGTCCGCCAAAGACAGGGCTGAAGGTGATGCTTTGTAGTAACTACTAAGTTAATTATGTATGTCTCATTGCGGAGAGGGGAGGGAGGCGGGCGAGTCTGTATAATACCGTGCGTCCGCGATCTTCTTTTAACTTTCTGTCGTTGGATTTGTGAAGACGTGAGAAAAGGGGGCTTTCGAAGGGTTTTATCTTCCGCGTCGATGGTCTGGTGCAAGTTAGTTTTAGGGCATGCCGGTCTTGGAAGGTTTGCCTATTAACTCAGGGAGAAGGGGGACGTTATTATTATGCCAGGCACGAAAGTGACGTGACGACTTGTCTCATGATCTGACTTGGCTGGTGCGCAAGGGGGGCCTTGAGGCTCGTGGGTACCCAGTCGGTGGGGAGGGGAGATGCTGGATGGGTGGCTGAAAGAGAGGATGGGAGGGAAGGTTGGAGCATGAAAAAGAGGATGCGAAAGAAATGTGAAACTTTTCACGGTTAAGAAAAGGTGCGCGCCGCACCCGCTGTTGTTGAGGGGAGGCTTGAGCAGTTGTATGTCCCGACGTCGCGGAGTCTTCCACTTTCAAGTGCCGCGCCGGGCAGTCCCTCAGTCCCTCGGCACAATGCGTTCCTTCCCCACATCCAGACTGGCACTGTCAAAGGGACATGGATGGGAAGGAGTGGCGCCGCCGTCATCCCAAACGGCAGTCGCCATGCAGAAACACGACCGTGCTTAGCCCCAACAAGTCCACTTCCCGCTCACTCATGCTTGCTTGCTTCCGCTTCCGCTTCCACTCCTCCTTCCTTGCTTGCTCGCGGCAATCCCACGCCCCAATTCTTACATCCCCTTGCAAGCGTTTGCTACACGACCGTGATCCTGTTGACAAATCGAATCACCCGTTTGTCGTCGCCGTCGTCGTCGTCGTCGTCGTCGTCGTTGAATCTTCTCATCTGTTGTTGGCTGCTGGCACATGGACATACTCGTCGCCTCCCAACCAGTCGTTCTACTCCCGATCACCTAGCATTTGAAACGACACGCGGTTTCTGAGAGCGAGGCTCGCAACGGAAATACGGCTACTGCAGCCCACACATCAACACTGAGGACAGTCCTCTCTGCCCTCTCGACATGCACCTTTGTCGGTGAGGGACATCACTACATCTACATTGGAGCAACCACCGCACATATTCCGAAGCCGGTGCATCGGTCGATACCGCCATTCCATTCACAAAGCTCACCCTGAGCGATGGACACGACGGCAGAGCCCCCGTCGTCATGTCCCCTCCAGCGCTCAGTCTCGCAGCATAGCGCAGCATCCACACATTCTATTCAAAGCAATAGAAGTAATCGGAGCGCTACGCTGCGTACTGGTCGCCGTCGCCGGCTCATTAACCAACCTAACGGCTCAGCAAGCAGCGTCGCTACGAGCGACAAGTCCTTGATAAGTTTTCCTAGTTTCAGTGCCGACCCTATCGACGCGAACATTGTCCATGACGAAGAGGTGCGCCTCAAAACCGCCACCCAGGAACCAGAGCATACCAGTCCGAGCACCCTCAGCAATAGAGGTCTGTCCATAGTCGACAGTCTAACAGGCAAAGACGCGTCTCGAGATGCCTTGTTTGAGGATGCACCACTGCGACAATCGATCCCGGGCGCGTTACATCGCGCTGATGACAGTCACATCGAACGGCTGATTTCCCGACACGGCGCCGTCTCGCTCGTTCGACAAATTGCAGAGGACTTGGCGCAGAGAGATGCCCAAATTGCTGCGCTTCGCCGACGGGCCGATGAGCGGGAACGAGCGCTCAGGAAAATTATAAGGGAATGTGGCCTGTCAAATATGGATTTGGAGAACCGCTTCAAGACGGTCGAGGCTGAGATGCGACTGAATGGACGAAGACACAGTGATGGGGAGACTGGGCTGACGGATCTCATGAGCGATGCGATGCAAGATACCATGGCAACGCATGCATATGGTGAAACGGAGCGAACCAAGGCGACAGTTCGAGCAAGCGGCAACAGCAAAGGCACCATCCGGGGATGGAAAGAATACCTCTGGGGAGGCGGGACAGCAAAACGAGTAGGCTGCGCGACCAGCGTAAATGCCGACGGCGTCAATCAAGCCACCATGATTCGCTCACAATCAAGCATGGATAGACGCCCTGCGATCCAGGATGATCTGTTCACCCCTCCGCCGGAACCCAGCACGACCGCAAACGCGACCAGCTCAAGCCGCGCTTCTAGCGTCCACTCCGCTGCAGTTCCTGAGCGAAAGTCGTCGGTGTCGTTGGCAAGTCTCGCCTTACGGCTCGTGGCTGGAGGTACTGCGACTCCGCGAGATGCCGAGACCAGAGGCAGAGCTGTGAGTGCTTCTGCTCGTGAGGCGTCGAGAGCAGGGTCAACTGCCAGTGCTCGGACAGCGCAATCTGCGCGAGTCGTATCCATGGCTGGAAATCCCAAGGCTTTGATGGCCATGCGACGGACGGCTCAGACGCCACAGCCCACGACTAGCACAAAATCGCAGGCACAAGACGTGTGGGGGAATATGAAGAGCAGTTCGCCGGATGCAATGAATGCACGCCCGGAAAGCTACGGCCCTGTTGAGATGGATGCTATCTTGCCACCCGAATCGCAGCCTCCCACTCTATCCCACATCTACCAGAACAATGCGCACGGCGAGTTTCTAACAGATAGATTTGGCTTCATCTACGATCAGCGCCGAAAGAGACGACAGCGGGAAGCGGCGCACATGGCTGATCGCATCAAAGGCGGCCGCACTGAGATGCTCGCCAATGGCCGTACCGGCATATCTCCAAATCTCCTCGAAGGCCTTCCAAGCCCTAAATGGAGTGTCTCAAGTGGTGGCAGGCCTGGCAGCCCGAGTAGCCACGAGGAACGAATCGAAGATGACAGCAAGCCAAACAGATGGCAGGACTTTCTCAAAATTGCAACATTTCCTACTGAGCTCCTGAGTCATACGCCGAGTGTGAGTGCGTCCGCAATGGAGGTATTGGAGGGTACTGGCGTCTTGACGCCCTACGTTCCCGACCGAGAGCCGTTCAAGGCACCGAGTATCACACCCACAACCGCTGGTTTAGTTCCTCCGCAGGCGGGTACGACGACTGCAATTGACAACGAGACCACGCAGCCCGTAGAGACGGACGCCAACGTCAACACCACAGTCCTCAAGGAAGACACTGAGCCCGTAAAGCTGCTACTGCGGCAGCTCAGCGATGTCCATGACGCATTGCAGCGCGACAAGACTGTCAAGTGGAATGATTTCCTGCGTAAGGTGAGGGCCGAGCGTCGACGCGAAGGACAGGCTGCCGTGGCGGCCGCTGCAGCCGTCGCCGAGGCTCGTTACGAGACGCCCGCCATGATTCTTCCCGAAACTCGAGTGGCAGACGGCGAGATAATTGGCATCTCGGGCCTCGGGAACAAGGGCAAGGTCGGCCGGGCCAAGTGGAATGAGTTCAAGTCGCTAGTACTCGGTGGAATACCGGTTGCCTTTCGCGCGAAGGTGTGGTCTGAATGTTCTGGTGCAAATGGGCTACGTGTTCCTGGACACTATGAAGACCTCGTCGCACAAAACGGCGAGGATGACGACGCAGCAGTGGTCAGCCAGATTCAAATGGATATTCACCGAACTTTGACAGACAACATCTTCTTCCGAAAGGGGCCAGGCGTACAGAAGCTGAACGAGTTGCTCCTTGCATATTCCCGGCGGAACAAGGACGTTGGATACTGCCAGGGCATGAACCTGATTGCAGCGAATCTTCTCCTCATTATGCCGTCGGCAGAAGATGCGTTCTGGGTCCTGGCATCAATCATTGAAAGCATCCTACCGCACGGTTACTATGACCAGTCGCTCATGGCATCCCGGGCGGACCAGCAAGTGTTGCGGCAATTTGTCTCGGCGGTGCTCCCCAAGCTCTCGGCCCACCTCGACTCGCTCTCAATCGAGCTCGAAGCGTTGACTTTCCAGTGGTTTCTGTCAGTGTTTACTGACTGTCTTTGCGCCGAAGCGCTGTTCCGGGTGTGGGATGTGGTACTGTGCACCAATGACGGGAGCACGTTTCTTTTCCAGATTGCGCTGGCGTTGCTGAAGCTGAACGAGCGAAATCTGCTGCAATGCGACACGCCGGCAGGAGTCTACACATACATCAACTACCACATGACGGAGCACGCAATCAGTATTGACGGCTTGATTCAGGCTGGCGAAGCACTGCGACGCGTTGTGCGACGCGAGGATATTGAGCAGCGACGGAACATGGCGATGCAGGCTGAGAAGGACATGGTCGCCGAGTGAGATGTCAATGCTCAGATTGAAGAGGGTGATTATACACAGAAGGAAGGAAGCAGAAGACAAAGGGTTAAGTGCGGAGGAGCCACGGCCGATAGAAGCCTGGACACATATGATACAGAAGAGGTGGTTGGATAGAGAGAGCTGGCTAGATGATACCCATATACATCCCTTTTGTCTACTTTGCGTCTAGTGTCACATGTGTATGTATTCATCTGCTGGGGAAAAAGACGCTGGTTTGTTTTTCATTGCGGATGTGCAGCAGCGGTCCAGTTCAGACCATCGTGACGCCGGGACACCATTTTTTTTTTCTGCCTACGCTTTTGCCCTTCACAGCTTCGACTTGTTCTCCTTGCTCCACTGCTCGAACCAGACCTTTCCAAACTCCTTCCTCTCGGCGTCGCGGCGCCGGTCCTCGTCGAAGCGGGCGTCCTCGGCGTCGACGCCGTCCTTGCGCAGCTCCCTTAGCAGGTCCTTGTGTAGCTCTGCCTTGATGACGCCGTAGACGCCGGGCTTTGCCTTTTCGGTCAGCTGCCTCTCGCTGACGAAGGCGAGGGCGTCGTCGACCGAGGCGGCGGTGGCGTCGGCAAGCCCGTACTCGACGGCCTGCTGGCCCGTGACGCGGCGCCCCTCGAGGGCCACGGTGCGGTAGGCCTGCGGCGTCAGGCGATGTCGGAAGATGGCCGCCATGGGGGGCCGCAGCGGCGCGCCGAAGAGCACCTCGTTGAGGCAGAGGAAGCCCTTGGGGTCGGGGGCCAAGCGGTAGTCGTGGGCTTGGGCGAGCATCAGTCCGCCGGCAAAGGTGTGGCCGTTGAGCAGGGCGACGGTGGGCATCGGGTATCTGTGGCGAGGTGGTTCAGGTCAGACTTGGCTTGACTCTTGCGACGGGAGACGGGAGACGGGAGCAAGCTTGCGTTAGGAATCGGGTCCACAAGTCGTAAAAGAGCTGCCAGAAGCCGTCGGTGTTGATGGCGTGCTCGAGGTCCAGGCCGTTGGAGTAGAACTTGGGGGTGCCGCTGGTGGTGATGACGACGCCGGGCGGGAAGTCACCGAATTCGAGGATGTCGAGGGCCTGCATGAGCGCGCGGCAGAAGACGGTGGTGATGCGGTTGTCGGGGGGGGAGACGAAGGTGAGCAGATAGACCCGGGGTTGAGGCTCGGTGACGGTGATGGAGCCGCCTGGGTGGGCGCCGCAGGAGGGAATGGGCACGGTGAAGAGGGACATGGTGGAGGCGGGATGGCGACGGTGCTGATGATTACGGCGAGGACGGCGGAGGGGATGGAGTTGACATATAATGGCTTTGAGGCTTGACGTTCGGGCGAGGCTGCCAAGGTGAAGCCGAGGCTTGTGATTTGCCCGGGGGGGGCGGCTCCGGCGCCAGCGGGCCGGGGTTGGGCCGAAATGCCGTGTGTCCCTTGGCCCACCGGGCGGTGGGATAATCGCTCCGACTGTACGGAGTACGGCCACGTGCCAACGGGCCACGGCGACAGGATTTTATGAAGTTATTGCATGTATGTGTGTGTAGTTGATGCCCTTCCCTTCCCTTGCCTCTTTCCTCACACGGTCTGCCCCACCTTCCCGAGCCGTGCCCCTGCCGCAACTGCAACCGCGCCCCGCGCCCCTGCCCCTGCAACTGTCAACTCGGCCTTCTTCGCCCCACTCGCTTATTATTACTCCGTACGGAGTAACTACCTAGGTACTCCGTAAAGCTGTCCTCATTGCTCAAGCTCATCATCCAACAACCTCACTCACCTCACGCTCGTCCATGACGCTCCCGACGTCATGGACGCAAGCAAATCCGATCCGCCTCCGTCGCACATCGGCACCGGCACTGACGCCGTCGCCAACACAATCGTCTTCTTCCACCCGGACCTGGGCATCGGCGGCGCAGAACGTCTCGTTGTCGACGCAGCCGTGAGCCTGCAAACCCGCGGCCACAAAGTCGTCATCTTCACCAACCACTGCGATCCGACACACTGCTTTGACGAATGCCGCAACGGCACCCTCGACGTCCGCGTCCGAGGCAACTCCATCGTCCCGCCCTCCATACTCTCGCGCCTGACCATTCTCTGCGCCATCCTCCGCCACGTCCACCTCCTCCTCACCATCCACCTGACGGGCGAGCTGCTGGCTCTCGCTCCACGCGCTTTCATCGTCGACCAGCTCTCTGCCGGCCTCCCCCTGCTACGACTCCTCGCCCCCAACGTCCCCGTTCTGTTCTACTGCCACTTCCCTGATCTGCTGCTCGCCCAGGGCCGCCAATCCGTCGTGAAGCGGCTCTACCGCACGCCCTTTGACCGGCTCGAAGAATGGAGCATGGCCTTTGCCCACGCCGTGGCCGTCAACTCCAAATTTACCAGCGCCATCGTGGCAAGAACCTGGCCCGGCTTGCCCGACAAGGTCCCGATAAAAGTAGTCTACCCCTGTGTCGACACCGATAACAAGGCCGTAGGGGACGAGCACCATCTCACCGTGGGCACCCAAGGCAAGCACATTATCCTAAGCATCAATCGCTTCGAGAGGAAAAAGGACATTGGGCTGGCAATCAAGGCGTTTGCCAGGATCCCCGCCAAGCAACGTCAAGATGCACGCCTCGTCCTCGCCGGTAGGCCGCGACCCTAAAAACCAAACCCTCTTCCTGAAACACTGACGCAATCCCTCCTAGGCGGCTACGACCCCCGACTGTCGGAAAACGTCGTCTACCACGCCGAGCTCCAGGCCCTCGCGACGTCCCTGTCTCTCCCTCACCATACTGTCACGCCGTCCAGGCTCTCGGCTGTCGCGCAGCTGCCCTCCGCGCCGCCTGACACCCAGGTCCTCTTCCTCCTCAGTATCCCCAACACCCTCAAGTCGGCGCTCCTCCGCGCCGCCCGCCTTCTCGTGTATACCCCGACAAACGAGCACTTTGGGATCGTGCCGCTCGAGGCCATGCTTTCGCGCGTCCCCGTCCTCGCCGCCAACACGGGCGGGCCCGTCGAGACCGTCGCCGACCCGCAAACAGGCTGGCTGCGCGATCCCGTCGACGTCCCTGCCTGGACCGACGTCATGGCGCGCTGCCTAGCCCTGCCCGACCATCAACTTGCTGCCATGGGCGTCGCCGGCGAGCGCCGCGTGAGGGCCTTGTTTGGAAGGGATCAAATGGCCCAGACGCTCGACGAGACCCTGGATCAGATTGCGCGTCTCGCCAAGGAGCACCAGCCCATGTATTACAATGACGGCACGAGTCTCCGTTTTCTGGCGGTTTTCGTCGCCCTGTCTGCCGTTTCAGCCGCTTGGTTTGCTTTCGCATCTTGACGAGCCTGGGAGTGGGCATGAGCACAAGGCAAGGGCGCGTGTTTTGAGAAATACATTCAATAGACTGAGTGACTGGCTGACCGGTGGACGGCGGCGCCGTCCATGCCGGCTGCGCTCGCGTGTGGCGAAACTGAAATATGTGACATTGGAAGCAGGCATCTCTGAAAGACGGTCGCCTCTCGCCAGGCCGTGCATGGAGTTCTACATGACGAAACCGCACATGGACGTACGCTCACTCTCGTAGAGGCAACAGTGCAACTTGGTGACAAAGGCCAGCAGCGACACCAATGACGCGACATTTCACTATCCACGTACACAGTGGCCGTCTTCATTATGTACAATACTTCAATACACAGGCTAAGCCTCTCCAATGATGCATAATAGTGATGACAAAAAAAGTGGCGATACTAATTCTCGCCTGCCGACGGCTGGCTAATTCGACAGCTGACCTCCCAGATGTTGTCTATATATGCAATGCCGCCGGTACCATGCAATATTCAAACCCTGCTGAAAGCAAACACCCCCCAAGAAGAATCCGACTTCGGCCGTCCGGGAACAACTTCGCCAAGAACAACTTCGGAAAAAGATCACGAAGAAAGAAGAGAGGGGGAAAGAAGAGAGAAGAAGAAAAACAAAAGCAAACAACGCCAGACGGGAACCAACTTTCAAAACGGACCCGTCTCTTTGGGAACATGTGCCATCCTCGATTCCATTCTAATGAGTCACGCGGTGCCCCGGAGTCCCGGCGGAAAGGCAGGACAAGATAAAGAGGTAGTAGGAGGGCAGGAAAGAATATTGAAAAAAAAATAAATGAAATAAATAAGCCCAAACGCGCCTTGTTGCCAAATGCAATCCGAGTCCAGCCGGTGGCAGAATATTTGGGACATTTCGTTCTGATCGTACTGAAACTATGCCTGCGTACTTGAGCACATGGCTTCATTCCAGCGCCATGCTTCTCTGGTACGCGCTATGCGTCAGGTCGTCGAGGTCGTCAGTCGGTACTGTTGTGCCTTTTATTCGTCGTGATGCCGGCTAGCGATGTGGCATCGATTCCACCTCAATGTTGAGTCACACCGCTGATGCGCACAAAGCTGGAAGAGAAAAATATTGACTGGAATAAGAAGAAGAAGAAGAAGACGTCGCAATGCCGCGAGGCCCATCCGTCGCCGGTCGCGGCTTGCATCCAGCTGCATTAAAAAGATGGGGGTGACGAGACGCATCGCGGCCTAGTATTCGGGCATATCAGCTTCCATGGCCTTTTGCAAGGCTAGGAAGCACCCGGATACCCATCTTCGGTCTAACGAGATCGATCATGTACCAGCACATCATTATATGAGCCTGCCAAGAGGCCGAATGTAAAGACAATCAACAATGTTTATGAGTCCCGGTGACGCGGGTAATCTTCGCAATAGACGGACACCTTTTTGGCCGTTTCGTCGCTAGCCGTGCTTGCACCAGTGTCACGTCTCTTCGCCTCGAACGGTCGAGGGGGGTGCGACGCGCTGGTTGGTGACGCCTTTTTCTTGGACTTTGCCATGAGGAAAATTCCATCGTCGCTATCGTCGTCCTCGTCAACACGAGGTGTCGGTGAGTCCAAGTCCTCAGGAGTGTCCGATCTGTCATGGCCAAGCTGAAGGTGTAGCGACGAGTCACCAGCCAGGCTTTGGGTATGTTCAAACATCGGGGTCATGGGAAACCCATTGGTTGGCTCCTTGACAAGTGCAGGCGGCGTGATTGCTTCCGAGGATCCTTCATATCGAGATGTCGGGCCACCAACGCCAGACCTAGCCAAAAGTTCCGCTTCCATGTCGGCAGAGACGGAACTGGCACCACTGAGCAGAGCGGGCAGTGACGGGTCTGACTGGAACACCAGGAGCTGTCCAGAGACGGTCTTCGGACGTTCCATCAGCAGGGGGCTAGTCGTCTCACTTGGGCTTGTAAGAGGCGTTCCCATTCCGTCCATTGACTCCAGGCTGGATGACTTCGTCGTGTTCAGGGCGTCCCCTCTCGAAAAGGCTGCCTGTTCTGGAGAAGGCGGGCATGGGACATTGGCAGGTTCGAGCTTCGGAGGAGATAGGATTTGAGAGTCGAGAAGAGGCTCGACAACCGCTTGCGTGGTTTCAGTTTCGGGGCTCGTAGATGTGCAGCCGTTCTTCTCAGCCAGGGAAGTCAGGGCCCTGGCTCGGTGGGCTTGCGCTACAGCGATCTGCGGAGCATTCAAGCCAAATCCGCATCGGTTCTTGAGATTGGAATCCGAGCGAGGCTGCCCATGCCGATACGCGGCAGCGTTCGCCCGTGGTGACGAAGACAAGGGCGAAGGGGTGCTGTATCCTCCCCTACTGCCTCTTCCTAGGTCCAGAGATGCAATGGGGCCGGAGTGGCGGTGCATGGTTCCGGATGCCGTGGCGGTCGAAACAGAGCAGGACCCGTTGGCATGCTTATCCGCATTCCTAAAGAGGCCCCTCTCGACCGACGCAGATCGGGAGTTGTCTTCGCTTTGGGATTCTACAGCACGGGACCTCCGGCTGCCATCCTGAGGAAGCTCTTCGAGGACGTCTGCATGGGGAGTGGCTGGGGTAGACTGCGTCGCCGGAAGGGCTGGAGCAAGCTGCAAGAACTGCGGCGCCATTTTGCGATGACCAACATGGCGTTGAAATCGTCGAGCGCACGCGCTGGATGCGGAGAAATCACAACCCCCGTTGCCGTCATCGTTGTTTTCGGGTGCGCTCCACAGCTGATGGTGACGGTGATCCTTGGCACCTTCTACAGGCTGCAAGACCGTGGCGAGGGGGTCGTACGCGGTGTCGGCCTGGACTGTGGCGGTCGAGGGAGACGTGGTGGCCGGCTGGTCCGACCCTGCAAGCCCGTCTTTGGTGGCGCCAGGAAAGTAGTCCTCGACACGAAGGCTTGATCGGCGCTCGAAGCTGGGATGCAGGCCAGCGCCCCCGTGTTTATATATGCTGTCGCCGGTCGAGCTTGCCACGCTGCTCGCGGCTCGTCTCCGAGGTTTGCTGTCGGCCCGTTCCACAAGTGGATGCATCACCCTGCCGACTGCCTTCTTCACGACTGATCGAGCTCGTTCCAAAAAGGTGAGAGGAACGACAGCGTATGACATTTCTTTCTCATCGACTTGGATCTTCCTGCCCTGTGAAGGACGTGCGGGATCAGTTTCATCGAGCCAGCCCGCGACGTTGCTGAGGCCATGGACGACCCAGGGATGTCGCTTGATATCCCGCAGACGAATTCGCTTCTCGGGATTCTTGGTCAGCATCTGACGAAGCAGGTCGTGCAATAAGTTGTCCACGTCCTCATACTCCAAGTCATTGTCGTCTCGGTACGGATGTGCGTTCTGTCTCTTGAAAAGGGAGTGCTCCACTGGGGAGGTCGAAGGATCAACAGGCTTTAAGCGGCGACGAGGGATGTGTACGTCCTCATTTGCAATCTTCCGGAACATTTGGAATTCATCCTCGGCCAGGAACGGAATACGAGCGAAGATGAGACAGTACAACGTCACACCAAGCGACCACACATCGATTTGCTCCGAGACTTTTGGCTGATGCTTGCTGTCAATATCCGTATAGCAGAGCTCGGGAGCGAAGAAGGCGGGAGTGCCCACTGTCTTGGCTAGCTCCAGGTCGTCGTCAAAGTCCTTAGCTTCAGACTCGGATACAGTATCGTCGGCTTCACCGTCGCGGATGGGTCGCCCAAAATAGGAAACTCCAAAGTCGGAAATCTTGACGCGGTGGTCCCTGGTCCAAAGGAGATTGGCTGGTTTAATGTCTCGATGGACGACGCCTTGATAGTGGAGGTACTCTAAGCCCAAGACTGTATCCCGGAATGTAGATCGAGCCTTCTCAAATGTGAAGCAGGGGACAAAGGAATAGTCTTCGGCAAAGGGATCGTGCGCGTAGGGGTTGTAGTCAACTGAAGACATGTGGGAAATGATAGAATCAGCCATACTGGGCGATCGCTCCCGGAATTCCCTTCGAGGACCATCCTCGGTGTACGTTGCACCCATGATGCTGTCGAGAGCCGTGGTAGAACCCGGAGCTGAGTGAAGGGGGCCAGGTGTCTCCATGTCATCCACCCACGAAACGTCCTCGGCGAGTTCAGAAGCCATTAAACCGGTCGAGGCAATTGACATGGATCTTGAGGGGGCCACGGAGGAGCGTCGCGAGCCTGAGCGCGACGACGGCCCGTCGGTGAGGGCAAAATTTTCATGTGACGAGATGCGAGACCAATGGCTCGCACTGCTTCCCTCGTCGGCTGCTCCATGCTCGACGCTCCAGTAATCGGACGGACCGGCGAAAGTCTGGGCCATCTTGGCCCGCTTCAATTCCTTGATGGCTTGTCGGCGCTCGAGCAGCTGGTTGTATTGCTCCTCCTCGGCGGAGGGCGCAGAACAGCCCATTTCTCGTTCGACTCTGCGTCGCTCACACTGGCAGATGTGCGGTAAGCCCTTCTTTCGCCACACAATCTCACCTAGTTCAACGTGCTCGAGTACCATGTAAATTTTCTTAAGTTCCGGGTCGTCAATGACTTCCAGCAATGCGACAACGTTGGGATGACGGATTTTCTTGAGAATGGCAATTTCCTTCTTGGTCTTGTCCTGTGGTGACAGAGCCATCACTTTGCCAAGCCGTCGTTTCTTTGAGAATCGAGGAATGATTTTGATGGCAACATTATCGGAAGTTTCGAGACTTCGAGCAAGCTTGACCTTGCCATGCATTCCACGGCCAATCTCCTCAATGACCTCATACTGGTTGATTATCTTGCGGCCAGTAATGTTGTCGGAGTCGATTAGGGCCTTGTGGGTTCTGTGAGTGGCGGGCAACAGGTTAGAAAGACAGGCATCACACACAACAGTCTGCAGAAGGGGAAGGCAGCAAGGAATACGGGGCGAGAGAGTGAGTGACCAATGTCCGCCACCTTATTTGGGCTGTGACACGTTGGTCTTGGGAGACGGCAGGACGGCGTAGAAGTGGGCGAGGGATGACGGGCAGTAGTCAACTTACTCCCTAACCCGATGAGTCTGCAGCGGATGAAGAAACGGGCTGCTGCCGATTGGCGCGGGCGTATTGCATTCGGAAACGGAGGTGTAAGGAAGAGCAGTGAGATTATGACGAGAGGCGGTCGGGCTGAAGAGACCGGGAGACGAGACCGGCGTGCTGCTGGCGGTACGAAGCGGCAACGATGTCGAAGGCGGGAGATGATTGTACAGAGGCTGCAGCGCAGTCGGCTCTGGCGGGGATTGCGATGATTGTTGCTGCGGTTTGTGCGATGAGTCCATGGTGAGGTCTATTATAAGATGGCCGCCGCTCGATTTGACATGCTGGCCCAAGAAGGATGGGTGAGAGCGCCGACCAGGAAGCTATCGCCGCATGGCCGTGAGATGCGTCGTCGGTCCGATCGATCCAGGTACTTGCAGAGTAGGGCGAAGTCGCAACGGCGGCTCGGAGCGACAGCGAGGCAGACAGAGGCGAGGCGGCGAGGGTGCGATATTCACAAGAGTAGTGAATGCGTGCGACGGCGAGGTGTGACAAGTATTAAAGAAAAGTGACGAAGGCGAGCGGGATGCAAGTACGGAGGTTGTCTTGGATTGCGATGGGTGAGTGGTGGACGCGGGCTGGTCGAGAAGGAAATGGGGCTCGGGGAGAGAGAGAGGAGGGGGGGGGAGAAGACCAACCCCACGCCCCACTACTACTACGTCTTGGTACTGCAAGTGTGTGCAAGTTGGCAAGCGGGCAGGAAGGCGCCATGGAGGGCGTTGAGGAGAATTCTCGTCCTCCGTGTGCTCCGTGTGCGCCGCCCGCATGTACCTCCGCCGGCGTACTGAAGTAGACTGTCCATGTAGCCGCAGTGCCGAGTACATGCAGTGTTCCATGTCCAGGCGTCCCGATGTGCCGAAAACCCATTCAAGCACGCCGGCGACTCTCCTCAAAACGCCGATTTCACTCACTCAACTTCCTACAGCAACAACAGTCAAGGCCACAGATGACAGCTTCTTGTAGCTCGACACGCACGCCTGCGCGGTTGATGAAGCGTGCGTCAACAGTCTACTGGGGCCGGGGGGGTGCAGTCACTTGCAGCACAGTGCAAGCACCGCCTGCTGGCACGTAACCTGCCAGGGGCTGGAGGCTTCGTCCTTTTTTTTTCTTGTTCTCCGTGCGGGCTCCCTCCAAATACTCCTTTGTCAGCGGCCACCGCCACCGTGGAATGGACGGGGTTGGGGCGGGCCAAGGTTCATAGTGGCGGCAGGCAGCCGTGCACGGTGGTCACTTCACACGGTGCAGCGTGATGGGTACATGCGCAGACACACATGTGCAGATAAAGAGCCCACCTGGCCACTCAGCTTGCGCGTGGCGCTGATAAGGTGGTAGTGCGACGCCAAGACCTGTGGCCGCGCGGATGCCGATCGCACTGTGCGCCGGAGTCGCATCGAGCACGGAGGTCATGGACCACGAACTCCGACGCTTCTGCTCTCTCAACAAGTCAACTAACTACAGACGCCGACCTAAATTCTGCTAGACTTTCTCCATGAGCCAGCTCTTCTCGTGTTCAGGCCAGTTTGGCTTCCCCACCAAGCCGTCGCCACGGCCAACGAAGTCGTTGCTGGCAAACCAACCGATCCGGGGTCCTACCAAGCGAAGCGACTTCCCATGCTCTCATTTCCTTTTGCCACGACTGCCTGCCGATGTCGCCAAGCATGCCTCATCTACCTGGACGTGCGATAACGACTAGAAGTGGATGCCCGTACCCGGTACGTACCGCTTGGGCTTGGACAAGGGGTCTTTAGCAGGGCAGAAAAGGCGCACCAGACAGCAGCATGGGACGGCATGGATGGTATGGATTCGAGCCGTCAAGCGTTCCTCCGACCTGGGTCCTGTAGTACGGAGCACGGGTCCCAGGTCCGCGTTGCGAGGTGCCAAGTGCCAGGAGCCTGGAGGTCCGTTGCTCAGGTCGCGATGCCGTGGGTAACTAGTAGATACGGAGAGAAGGTTGAATTGTCACGCCCCTGGGGATTGGACAGTTTCACCAAAAAATCTAATTCAGGCAAAATCGCCGTTGTCGTGCGCCATGTGCCAAGGAGCCTGTCCGTGGTCTCACCACGATTGGTCCTCTTGTGCGACATCGCAGGCCCGTCAGTGGCTTCGCCTGTGGCTGCTCGCCGTCGCCGCAGACTTGCCTCGCATTCATTAGGTAGCCTTTCGAGCGTCGGTTTGATCGACGGCTGATACGGGGTATTGGGCGGGAGTACCTACTTCTGAGCCGCAACAAACTTTGACGAATGCCGAAGCTGCCGTCAATCATCACCGCCCGTGGTTCGCCTTGGGCCGCGCAGCCGGTGTCGCCCAGCAAGTGGCCCGACGCATAGTCCGCTCGCCTCTTGGTGAGTTGGGCCGCGAACGCCATGCCGCAAATCTTACTACATGTGCTAGACATGTGCTCTGTCATGGCTGCGACAGAAGCGCAGCTAGCTCCGCTCATTGCGATACGCAGCAGCGAGCAGGCCAGGAAGCGTGTGGCGATAAGTTGGATACCCTCTTGAGCCGGGCCTGGGGTTCTCACGTTGGGACCTAGATAGACGAGGCCATCAATCAATCAATGCGAAACAACCGAGCATTTGATCATTTTTTTTCTCACTTGTCTCATCTACCACTTTTTCTCCACTTGCCATTGCATCCCGGTCCTCGGAGCATCAATCCTCGCTACCCTGCACTTGGGTACGGAGCATGTACCAGCACGTACTACCAGCACTCCGTCCTCGTGCCGCGTGAGCGACAACCAAACCACCACTCGCAGGGAAGGAGCTAACCGACCGCCTTCCATCATCATCCAACCAATCGCTCCACGGCTCCAAAGTGCCAACACCGTCTCAACGCTGCACCACAACTCATCTAAAATTCCAGAGAGAGGCGACCGTTCAGCTGCTCCGTCCAACTTGACCTCATGAAAAACTTAAACTGATGGCAAACCATGCCAACCCCCTCGTCCTCTTCATATGCCCTTGCAGATCGATGACACCCCATTTGATCGTCTTTGCTATGAGCAGAACAGACGCGCAAGCACAATCACGCCAGCGGCAAAAGCACCTATGAATCATGATGCCCCGGGGATATCCCTCTCTTGTGGTTCGTCTCCCGCCGGCGGAGCGCAGCTTGCCGGGGAAGCTCCCCATGCACATGCACAACGCCGGCATTGGATCTCGACTACCGAGCTTCCTTGCACCTTGGTCCCCAGCAGTTACGTATTCCTGCCATACCATCATACTGTGCGGGTAGTAAGTATCCTTTGTTCGAGATGTTGTGGCGGCCGTCATAGATCCACAGTGTGAGCTGATGGGAAAAGCTTGTCGCCTCTTCCAGCCGCATCGTCTGCCACAATTGGCAATAGTCAAATATCGATATTCTTGGACGGCTTCCAGCCTCGCCTCGCGGTTGTTGGCGTCGCCTGATTCCTGGATCCCATCCTGCCCAGTACCGAGCATGCGGCCCAATCTCGACACAATGGAAGACGAGAATTGCAGAATGACTGCCGCACTACCAAGGCCACGCTATCTATGCCCATGTTGTCTTCTTCTGGACGGGGGCATGTTTGTTATTGCATCTGCCTGCAGGAACAGCGCCGCATCGTCACGCCTCGTCAAGTTGCGCCGAATCAATCCGTTGATTGGCTCCATCTCGCGCGGTCCAGCGTTGGCCCGAAGTGGCAAAGCGGGATTTTGGTGGCTCGGGACTTCTGTCTCGGTACCGCTCAGCATTCTAGACTATGTCACAACCCGCCCGAGTAGGTTGGCTTTGCGAACTTTGCCCCGATTCCAACAGCCTAATCTCTGTTCACGATGGAGGTGAGGGACGTCGCGCATTAGGTTAGGCTGCCTCCAGATACCACAATTGCCATTGCGGCATGGCACTGTTTGCCTGGGACTCAAGGCACCGGTCAACTTCAGGCCTACATCCCTTTTTTTTTTTTTTTTTTTTTTTTTTTTTTTTTTTTTTTTTTGCCATGGCCGAATGTGACCTCACCTTCAAGAAACAGCCAACACGCCCACTTCAGGGCCTTTCTGACGACTTCTAGTCAACTAGTGTCTCCGGTCCCTTGCTGGGTGTGATGCAGCTCCACGATTCGAGACGGTCTACGAATGATAGATGGACTTTGATCGAAATGTTCCTAGTGAGCAGCGAGTCTCCTGCGTTGACTGCGCCGCAGGATGCTGCATTCAGCTGCAATAACTCAGACGGACAAGTCGAAGACGCTAGACCACAAGATTGCTCTGGCTGCTGTCTTGGTTCTGCTGTCGAACGAGTCGAACGATTCTGCGCCAATACGGAGTACACCGACTTGGGCCGGGGAATATTTCATCCTGGCCAGCCTGCTCCCGATGTAGATTCCACCCCTGCCTGCATCGTCAATTGGCCGGCATGTACTCGGGCGCCGGCATGTACTACTCGGCATGAGATGGATATGGTTTTAAATGCCTCGTAGCACCTTGGAGCACCCTGTCCTCCCCGTCAATGTCCAAGTACAGAAAGGAATCCTTGGGCCTGCCAGAAGACATGTAGAGGAGGCGTTTCATGGTGTAGCGTACATGAGAGGTGGTCAGCCCTGACGCGAGCGATGCGACAGGTGATTAAATATCCTGGCGATGTGTTTGCCAGGGGCCCTGCTTGAGCATTTTTGCCGAGTCGGTTGTCAAATCGAAACAACCCATGAAGAAGTCGATGTCAGGTCTAGCCTCTCCTCGCCTAGTCCATACAGAGCCCCACAATGGGCATGCTGCAGGTTATCTGTCTCTCGGAGCATCATGACGGCTGGCGCGCCTGTGGATAATGAATCAAGGCGGAGGAGTGGTCTCCCAAGCTCAACTAATGCCGGGTTGACTAGCGACGGCAAAGGAACCAGGGCTTGAGCCGCTCATCCCGCTCCGCTTCGGCCACAGGAAACAGGGTTTCAGACCCCAGTGGTTCTCGCAGCCACTTCGGTCCGAGACGAACGGTTTACGGCTTTAGCCTTGGGGTATTCAGCGGGTGGGTGTCACATCGTGCGTTTTGCAAAGTCGTCGTGTGTGTGTGTGTGTGTGTATCTTGCGTGGACGAGCTTTGCATGGTTCCGGCAGCCGTCCCACTTCCTCCAGGTGGACGTAGAATCAAGTTTCAATCATGGATGGACGGTTGGATGGATGGATGGACGGACGGACGGATGGATGGGTTGTTGACGACTCCAGGTCAACGTTGGGCTTTGACTTGCTGTTGACCGCGGACCCGTCGGGCCAGGGAGCAGCCTAGCTTCCCATGTTGCTTGTGTTGTGCGAGGCCTTGGAAAGAAGCTCATCTGGCAAAAGCCCTGCATGGATGGACCAGGTGAGGAGGAGTAGCCGCCCAACTAACTAATACCCGTGTTTCGCTCCCTCCTTTGCCCAAGACGGACTGCGGACTACGGAGCAGAGGCTGAGGAAACGGACCTGCATCGTCTTTCCAGGTACGTGCTCGGGCCATATTCCCCATTGCATCTGCTTGCGCCACTGACAGACACACTGTATTGTATGACGTGTCGTGACAACAAGTCCAAACAGGTCCCCTCGCTCTGCCTCCCTCAGACTGGCAGGCTTTTGTTCGGGAGGGCGTCGTTCTAGTCCGGCATGTTACGCAGCTGCAAGTGGTGCATTTGTGATTCGTCAGAAATAATATTCGGAGGCGTCGAACCGGATCCTGGTCGAATCGTCCGGCATGGCCCGCCGATACAAGCCAGTGCGAACCCAAACGCTCCTCCAGACTTCACAGCGTGGCATAGAGGTACCCTTTTGGAACCGGAACGAGGGCAACTGCTCCAAAAATGGGAAATATACACCTGTAGTGCGATGCTCGAGCCGAAACATGGCACAATACCCGGCTGGGGTAAAACCATGCGACCACGTTGGCGAGTGCGTTTTCAGTACGTACGCGGCACTCCAGCCTCGGCCATGGCTGCTGACTGCATGGCAGGAAGGCGCCTAACGCGGGTGGAATTAATCAGGATGAAACGAAGAACAAGATGATCCGTCTTTGGCCGCCACCACACAACATGTTGAGTCGCCTGTCCCGCACAGACGGGTTTGTCAATCAAGTCTCCAGCTCCACTGCCACGCGAGACTGGCCGGCAGGATGCGGACCCAGGCTCGAACACTGCTCTATTTTACAACATGGCCGTCGCATACCCGGAAGAGACGCTCCAGGTTGGCTTTGATGCGCCAGCCAGCGGCCACGGGCCTGGTAGTTGGATTCACCCCCAAATGACACCAAGAGAGTACGTACTGTGTCCTGTTTCACTCGCCGACGGGGGGCTGCAGATTGACGCGTGCCGTTCGGTAGTCGGCATGTAGCGTCATGCGCCTCCCACTGGCTGGGCAAAGAATTACAACTTGCTTGTCTACTGCCAAATGACTGTTGCTCTCCGACGCGTGTTGATGTCAGATGGGGTTGGCAGTCTTGCAGATGCCCTCCCTGCCGATCGAATCTTGATGCTCGTTCGTATAGGGACGACTCGCTGGTGCCCTGTGACGCCGTGACTTGACTTGATTTTTGCAGGCATGCCACGCCCCCGCCTGCTTCAACTCCGCGGAACCAGAACCAGAGGCGGCCGGCGACAAGTACATGGATGCGCGCAGGCTGCCGTGCCAAAGCCAGGCGGTCCCTCCTGTTCCTCCCCGTCCGAGTGTGTGGTGCACATGTGCTGCGAATTGTACCAAGTTTTCGCCACCCAAAAATCACCAGACATCTATACCACGAAGCCCTTACACACCTCCGGCCTCCAGCCTCCGGGCTTTCCCCCCATGCCAGGCGCGGGCGAGCGGGCAAGCGGGCATCACGACGCGTGCCGTGGTGGATGGTCGGGTTTGGCGCAGCGTCGCAGCGGGATCCACCGCATGGTCTGGTGATCGCCTAGTGTGGGTGAAGTGAAGAAGCTATCAAGTTATACCTGCGCCTGACACGGGGTAAGAAGAAGCATATTCATCTTGGCCTTTCATCTAGTGCCTCTTCTTCCTGCTCTTCCTTTCGGGGTAATTTGTATTGTTGGCCGGCCAATAGGGGATTTTTCTTGGCAAGAACAGCCGCCAAGCGGGGGGTGGTGACGCGGGTGAATACGGCCTTATTGTTCGTCATGCTGAGAGGGGTTGAATGGCGAGAGTTGATGGCGAGTTTCTTCACATGATCATCAGCTTTGGATGTCGATTTCCGGTCTCGGTGATCCAACCCATGTCGCTGGAGAGCATCACGTCGCTGTGATTATGCCTAGGCTCTGATCCTTGAACTAGCGGAGATAGTTGTTCCGGTGACGGAGTCTAGCGATGATTGATAGCCGAGAATGGGAACTGATGGGGCGTGGTGTGCACTGCGTTCGGAGGAGCCGAGATACCGGATCTAGTAGACTCCCGAAACCTGTCGCAGGAGCGCGTCAAAAGTTCGATGGTGATGCTGCCGTCGTGGCCAACGAGCATGGTGGGCGCGACACACATCACGACTTTCTGGTCTGATATGTCGACGCGGCGGTCCTTGGGAGTCTTGAGCCGGTCTTCGAGTAATCTTCGGGCAAGGAGAGTCTCGACTGAGTTTGAAGCCAGTGCTGTTGCAAAAATATCGCAACCCCATACTCAATGTGGAGGGGCCAGAAGACGTATGAGCCAAAAGTGCCCTTTTTTTCTCGCTCTGTAAGTATATGGCTCAGCTGTGGAATACGGTGCGTGACTAGCTGAGCCCGTAGAGTGTCAAGTCATATCTGACTCTGACTGCTGGTGCTGGCTCACAAATCATCTGAGCTGTCCGGTTCTAGCTGTGAACGAGATTGTGAAACGACCTGGCTTGGAAATAAACGGCACTTGAGCTACTTTGCGTAGTCGAGCACATTCGAGGTGGTGCCGCCGGCGCCGCTGTGTTTCCGGACTGGTCAGAGACAGCCGTGTATGTGCTGATTGTCGTTTGAATCCAACCGCGAGCCCGGTTAATCTTCTCGCTGACGTCCTTGGCCTCTTGCAAGTCACGTAGGTCGACTTTATGCCCGGAGGAGCCCGGACGACTTGGTGTAGGACGATTTTCAGCCCTTCACCGGGGATGGTTTCAACGACATGACACAGCGAAATGTACATGAAGTTGCGGTACGGCAGAATGGAACGCAGGTAAGCAGTCAGAGGCAGACTGCGTAGGTTTCGAACGACATTTTAGAAACTCTGTTTGCATTCTTGCGACGAAACCGCGCGTGGTTGTGGCGATGACTCGCGGCGTCGTCCAACACCGAGTGGTTGATTGCCCACTCAACTTGCAAGACGGACTCATCGCGGGATGACTAAGGAGATGGCGTGCTCCAACCGTAGCTGAGGACACAGTAGGATCCGTCTGAGGTGAGTTGGGCCAGAGCAGCCTCGACAAAGGCCTTTGTTGTGAAGCCTCCATGCCATGGTGTCTCTGGAGTTGCTGGGATATCTGGAAGAACGGCGAATCCATGATCCTACTGTCTGAAGCCCGAGTTGGTCAACACCATTTTTACCATGGCATCAATCACGACTGCCGTGTGCGAAGACGACTTGGCCACTCGACTGCGGCAACTGACAACCCCGGCACCCTCCACCCTTCCAGCAGGTCGTTGAAATGTATCCGCACTTCACTTATGAAAGTATTTCCAGAGCCCGAGTTGTTTCCGGCCCCGGATAGCAGTCTTCTTCGGGAATTGAAACAGGGCCAACAGCTCGACCGCCGCAGGATTCGACTCGGCGAGCGAAGCCACGGATGAACAAATGTGCTCGGCTATAATTCAAAACGGCGAGGGATCGGTGAAAGATGCCAGCTAGGAAGAACCCAACGCAGACCTCCGCCCCCCTTCTGCATACCTAAGCAAGCATATATATCATGTCTTTTGGTGGATACATCTGACGTGGTTCCTGCGCAAGTGACTTGAAGCTGACGGCGACCTTCGGCGTGCTTCAGCTGCACCGTCCTCTCATCTGCACCTACACACTCTGGCAGGGCTGAAAGGAACGCATGTTAATGATCCAAGCCGACAATTTGTTTTCTCTTTGGAGACGTACAATCAAGGCGTCGTCTTATCACCCCGCACGACTCGGATCAAGGTGCGTGCGCGGCCAATTGCCATTTTGTACCTGCCAAGCCGGGTCGCCGTGCATTCATTGTTGCACACGTGTTTACGTGCTTCCATGGGGGCCAAACCAGGGCAGTCGTAAAAAACCTGGGTGGCAGGCCTGTGCGTACGTTCCGCCGCAGACAATGGATGCGTGGCGTTGTGATGCGTCGTACGGAGCCCACCGAGTCGATGTTGCAGGACGTGAGTGAGCAGCTCAAAAGCGGGAGGTGACGTAGTATTTGCGATACTTGATATGAAACGCAGGTGAAATGGCCACCTCCCAATCCTCCTGCGCCTTCTGCTTGTCCCTGCAAATCTTCATGCAATCTATCAGGTCCGTATTAGGCGCTAGGGTGTTGTTTCTAGTGAAGGCATCAGAAAGATTGAAGATGAATGACAGACAGCCTTGGTCCAAAGCAGCTGTCGCCCCGGGGCAGTGCCCGTGTAGTCCATACCAGCATCATCATGGCTACTTTCATACCTGTTTCCAGCGTTTCTCGTGGCTCTGCTTGTCATGTCAGCCTTGGTGAGGACGTCTGTATTGTATCAGCATACTGGCGACGAGGTAACTGTGGCTGGTCCTAAAAGCACCATGCTACGTCTGAAAAGCCTGAGTCGTCCATGGTCAGCATGTGAAGGGGATTACTCGATCCCATGTCCTGGTTGAGCATCACGCCGTATTCTGTGCATGTGAATACGCCGGTGAGATGCATTTGTGAAAAGCCGCAAATGATGACGATTTCCAGGCCGTTAACCAAGGTCATTGGATCATATACCATGCGAGGTGCTATCCTTGAAAAAGAAGAAAAATAGGGAAAAAAGAAAGAAACGAAAAAAAAGGAAAAAAAAAGTCGTTATGATACACGGTCTATGATTCAAAGACTCTGTTGAAGTCCCGGCGGCTCGGCCATGATGCTAGGTAATTAACGTTAGATGGTAGCAGGCGATGAAATTTGGGTGAACTCGGTGCCAAGGACTTGATCCATCCAGCTTCCAACGTGGGCGGAAGCTTCTCTTCCCAGGCCGGCCTGAGAAAGCTGCGAGCTCCAGTTGGAAATGTCGTGTAGGGAAGTGTTGATAAGCTTCTGTCCATCAAAGTTTTGCTCCCCAGGAATGCTAAATCGTTCAATAACGCCATGTCTCGCTTCGAAGTGAATTTTGTACTAGGCCGGTGTCAGCTGGACAAGTTGGCCTTGAGATTCGTGTGTCGTACTTACGTCAAACGGTAGGCGCGGCCGACGACGAGAATCCGCCTCGAACGGATGGGTGGAAAACGTGAAGCGTGGGGTTTGTCCATATATCCAGTCCTTGGATTGCAGTTCCCCGTAGCCACTGGCCATCTTCTGGTCCTGTGATGCGTAACTGTCGAATTCCGCATGCACATCAAAGTCGCCGTACATTTTGGCAAACTCTCGGACAAGCGCGTCTTGAAACAAGTCAACATCCAGGTTCGCGTTACTCACTGGACTGCGCACACTATCAACACCCCTGGCTTTGACAAAGGGCTCTGCTGGCGACCGAAGCATGCCGGAGATATCTGATAGATTGGGACTGCGAAGAAGACACGTGCCGTGATGCAGGGATCGCAAACGTGTCAGTTTATAGGCAGAGCCGGATATCTTAAAGGTGCTGCTGGCTGGTTTGCCGGCTGCTCGTACATCAATGACGATGTCGTGTCGCTCGTTTACGCTGGTGGTTGGCCGTCCCAATGACTTCAGAGCTCGAACTACCATTTCCGCATGTTTATCTCGATCAAAGGCCTGTGGAGGGCAGATGACGCTGAAGTTGACATTACCGAGGTCGTGGAAAACTGCACCACCGCCGGAGCGCCTCCTAACAAGCTTGACTGGCGAGTCTTTCCATCCAATTTCACGGGGGCGGTTTGCAATTTGCGCCAGCCGGGGCAGATTGATCTCCAGCCACGGATTCTGGTTCCGGCCAAAGACTACGCATGGCGAGTTGACATAGAGCAGTAAGATGGTCGATTCGGGAGGAGTGATTTGCAGCAGTCTATGCTCGACGGAGAGGTTCAAGAGAGGATCGTTGGACCTCGATACGTAGACTTGGGTCTTGTTGGCGTGGTGAGCTGCGGCCTCGACGGAGAGGAGGCGCAGGTGACGACACGTCGTCGTGGGGAGTGAGGCAAACCGCCTCACCCAGGGGACCCAGCGAGTCATGCCACTGATGATGATATTGAGACGAGGCAATGTTTGGCGCAAGGGCAGATGGGAAGTTGTTCCACGTCAACGAGACAGTGCGAGGCTCCAGTGTGTGGTAGAGGCAAGTGCTAGTAACGTTATTTTTTTGCGGAAAATAAAAACCAGCCCAGGGCCCTTCGGCCACTGTCAGCCTGTCAGCCACTATCGTGGGGCACTGGGGGGCGCTGAACTCGGGTTCCAGGGGCCCTGTGACTGCTCTGGCGTCGCTGTACGTGTGGTTCCGGGGGTTCTAGGCCTTCTAGGCCAGTCTAGGGAGGGGCGGCGAGTTTTCCAGCTTCTCTCTCACCCAACACATCATCTAGCGTTGAGCAAGCGAGACGCATCGTCCCACGCTCAACCTCACCTGCTGGCCTCGCAACCGAGCATGGGGTGATTGCAACGACAGTTTGTTGTACGAGGAGAAGCTGAGAGTCGAGAAAGAGAATCGAAAATCGTCCCTACGGAGTGCAATACGTACAGAATCGGCTGGGTCAATCGACGACCGCCATGCAACGCAGAGTCGGTCAACCCCAATGCAGCTCAAGGCGCCTGCGCAGCTCTGCTCCGCGCAGCTCCTGCTCGAGACTTTTGCAACCGTTGTTGACATTGTTCTTGGCAAGCGTGTCATGTGAATAAGAAAGACGCGACTTTCTCCTCTGCGTGCAAAGGAAGCCTGGCGTATAGTATAGTAGGGATGTATTTTCCAATCTACCCTGTAATGATTAGCTATATATATTCCTCAATCCCGCTCGATGTGTTGACTGTGACAGAGTCCCAGTGGTATTTTATGGGCCGCGCATATTTAGAAAAGAAATTGTCCAATACATAGTTTTATGGGAAGCTTTATTAGAAATTATTTCTTCTTAAATTAGCATGCGCTAGAGCAGACGACCCAAGGTACGTACCGAGTCGTAGTCGTACCTGCCCCTCCTTGCCCCTCCCTGCCCCGCAATCTGAAACTTCGCCCGCTGTCATGACCGAAATCGGCCGGCATCCCTCGAGAAACGTCAGCTTTCCCCTCCTCACCACCACATGAAATTAGCATCAACCGCACACCATGTCCACATTCGAGCACTACTTCCGCATCACCACGTAAGCATCACGTCGCCTGCTCATCTTCTCGTCCCGCCAATCCACATCTGACAATCAATGTCTTCACAGCGCCGGCGAATCGCGCGGTAAATCCGTCTCCTGCACATCGACACTTGCCCGCCGGGCGGAGAAGATATCCAACCGCAGTTGAACCGCCGCCGACCAGGCCAGTCGTCCATCACCAGTCGCCTTTGTCACCAAGATCGGCAACGTCAAGCTTTTCGGAGACACGGATCAATAAGTGCCGACCCTGCTTTTCTCAGCCTAGCCGACACCATCACCCGCGAGCACGTCGAACAGTTCCTATTCCTGCCGGTGCGGTGCCCCGACGCCCAAGGCACATGGCGGCCCTGGTTATTGCTGATGCCGTCATGGCCCAACACGCGAGACAGATGGGCATGCAGATGATGAAGGAGAAGTAGACCCGCCGTGATGAATGCGAAGACATGATATCCCCTCGACCCCGCCTTCGCGGCAGCAGGGTCCCGAGTCCCACAGTACCCTCGCCCAGCAGCTACAGACCTCGAGAAGCAATCGGACACCCGTACAGAGTCTTTGGATATGTGCGAATGAAGGGGTCCAGCTGATGTGATGGTCTGCAAAGCAGACTGTGCGTCGAGCCTTCCCCAGCAACAACTACCAAAGGAAAAAAAAAGAAGTGTGCTACAATGATGCTCTAGACAAGCACATGTAAAGAAGCATTTCATCACAGGCTTAGCTACTTTTGCATGCGAAAATGATGATTCTTCCAGTTTTAAATGCGTCGTAGCTGTCTCTGAACCAACGTATCGTATGCTGCGTGCGATTGCGATGTTTCACTTCGAAACACACTAGATGCTGTCGTTATCCAATAAATACTACACCCCAAACTTTCCACTGTTCGTTTTACAGGACAAGTAACTTAGACCAAGCCCCATATTTGTACAATATCCCTGCTTTCCGGGCTGAACTCCAAGTCACACGAAACCCACTTGTGCAATTCCTTACTCTTTTTTTGCCCCTTTCCCATGCTAATTTCCGAGCCGTAATGAAATACTAGACCCCAATGTGATGTGACAAGAGTGCTAAAAAGAACCAAAGGGCCCCCGCTGTAAACGCCATGCCAAACTCATCACCGAGGTGTTGTGTCTAAATTTTATGCAAAATGTAATCAGGCTCCATCCAATACATCGTTCAAAACTTCACTCTTCGAAACTTTTCCGTGACACAACTGGCCATGTGAAAAGGCTTTGCAATGTTGGTTAGTGACCAGTCTGACTCCCTTGCCCGTTATTCATGTCATGATTCTCGAAAAGGCTGAGGACATCGGTGGGCATACATTCGAGCCATCCACTCATGAGACCCGTTTGTTGTAAGCCCAAGGCACCAATATCAATGTCTTGGCTGTCGAATGTAATGCCATCCATGCATTCGGCCCCGACTGCCAAGGAAGATTGATATGGCATGTTCTGTCCGTAACATGCGCTACTGTTCGCTGTGCCCCCGCCGCGCCCTTGGAAATTATCGTCAGCCAAATTGTTCGTCGGCGACGCATTATATCCTTCATAGCCGGCAGAATGTTGACTAGCAGGAGTAAACCCGGACGACATATAAACTTTTGATCCTTCGGCCCCGGGTTCGGAGAAACCGGTGTTGCCCCTCGCAGCTTGGCTCTGGCTGGCTGCGTTGGACAGAGTAGAAGGTCGCCTTGTCCGAGTCCAGCGAGGAGAGGTTGTTTGCCCAGCTAGATTTGATGGTGGGACGGCCGGCGGGCACATACTACCATGTTCGACGGGCATGCTTTGCCTGATGGGGTCGTAGAGCATATTTCCGGGGGGTGTGCTTGCTTGACGTTGCTGCTGAATGCCTGGAGCATGTGCATGCGTAGCATGACTGCCGAGGTGACCATTTGGATTTTGATACATCAAAGTCAGATTTGAGCTAGGTGAGTTCGCCGCGCCAGCCAAGCTCCAAGCAATGGGCGGCCCACCAATTTTCGGAGACGTCTGAATGGGCGGCAACTTTGTGCTTTCGTACTCCTCGGAGGTGTAAGTCTCGCAGTCCCATATACCTTTGGCCTTCTGGTCCAGGGCTGTAAGAATGTATTTAACGCCTCCCCAGTACGCATGCATCTGCTGCAAGGAATTATAGCACCGCTGATAATTCTGGTTTGCTGCAGAAGCGAGAAGCGAGTGTCTGGAGTGCTTCGAATTGGTCGCCTTTGACTGCTTGGCGGCTGGACGCTTCGTCGTTGCTGGAGGAGAACCTTCCCTCGACGGACTTTGGGACGCATTGGCACTTGATTCCATGAGAAAGGCACACGCAGCGATATAAATTGGCTGGCTGGTAAACGGGTTACCAATAAAACTTATTGGATCTATGAGATCGGCAAATGACAAGATGTCGCAAATCGTTTTCGCACTGCTTCTGCTCAGCTCGCGGCTGTCAGGAAGGAGTTGGTGCTCGGTTCGCAGATCCCCAAAGGGTGTAAGCAGTGTAGGCTGGTGAAGTACAATCAACAGGGCATGGAACCAAAAATGCAGAAGTATGAAGGTCGACCCTTGTCCATTGTTTAAGTAGACTTTGAAGTTGCTGACATTGAACTGCAGCCGGGCATCCCATTGTTTGTACATTTTGGTAACCTCGTGTTCCATTGTTGTAAGCTTGCACCATTTTTCCTCGGTAAGGTCGCGAACACCGCGGATGTTGTTTAGGATATCAGACACTCGTCCGTACAAATGGATGATTTCCAGAAGCACGGGGAAGAGCACCGGCCACCCAGTTGCAGGGTCGACCCTAGGGGCTGGAAAGGGCAGCTCGAAATCGTCGTCCCGAAACGTTACTGGACGACCAGTACCGGAGGATATGACCCTGTCGAGGAAGAAGACTGCCCAAAACGTGTCGATGCGTTCTTGTTCTACTTCCCTCTGCTCTTCAAGACTCAGAGTATCAGGGTCACTCGTCTTCCTATCCTCGGGACTTTCGGAATCTCCAATTCCCCGGCTTCTGTGTCTCGTGTACCACGGATCTTTCTCACCTTGATATTGGATGCCGACCCTCTTTTGCAAGCCCAAATCAACAGCCATGCGAATGGCAAGACCGAGATACATCCACAACGCGCTGTCCTGGTTGGCGCCGAAGCCTTCGTAGGCCATCAGAAGCAATGCTTGGACTGCTCCGACGGAGGGACATGGAAACGTCTCGACAGTGGCTTGTTTAGCTCGTTGTGCGAAAACCTGTCCCCTCTCTGTCCTGGGCATTTTGTCGTTGCCGCCAGTCAGTTGACGAATGTCACAGAACCTGGCCCCAATGGCGCATATGGCATCCACAAGTATGGGCTCGACTCTCTTGTCCATCATCATTTGGAGAAACTTGGATTGCTTAAGAAAAGGATAGTTGCAGCCCAGATGCTGAAAGAAGATTCTGACCAGAGACAGAATGAGTGGATTGACGGGTAGGTGGCTGCTGGGGTCATAAAGCGGCATATCCTCCACGGCAACATCACTACCCACGGCGATACTGCTTCCACCACGGATACTCGGGTTTGACACTGGCGATGCTGCGGATTGTGATCCGCCTGTAGACCGGCGCCTGTCCCTAACAGACACGACCATTTGCTTGAACCCGGGTACAATTGCAGTCGGGCCAAAATATCGAAAATATGGGACTCGATGGTTGTAGTTGCGGCGCAAAGTTGGCGAGGCTGGGATGTCGTCCGAGCCGGCCGAAGGGTGTGACGCATGCTGTGTCTGAGAGAATAGAGGCTTCAGATTACCAAGTTCGGTGCGGGCAGTAGTAGCTTGGCAATATGGGGATACGGAACCACGTTTCTTTGCTTCACGGCCATGAACGTTGGCGACTTTGTTGGCAGCTGGCGGCGTGGCTGTAGCATTGAATTTCCTGGGCATCAACTTCCTGCCGTCCTCCTCGGTTGGAATGTTATGTAATGCATTGTCGTCGTCTTCGGGGGCCAGCTTAGTGTCAAGTGGTTCGACAGGGATATCTTTTCGGCCTTCTTCGAGATATCCTTGACACTGATGTCCATTTTTTGTGCATGTCGAACAGAGAGGTCGCTCACCGGCGCATCTCGTTTTCCGTCGTCGACAAGTCAGGCAACTATGGCACTAGTCAGATGATTGAGACGGTTGTCTTTTTTGTGTTCTGAGGAATGGCCGAGGTGCGAAGGGCCACAGAAGCAGGTAGCGTTTTCCGAGGCGGGCGACGCAACGCAGAGGTGCAGAGGCTGAGACAGAGGAGTGAGGACGGTAGACTCACGCAGCATTGATTCTGCGGCGCTTGGACGGCGGCTGGCCTTGATTGTTAACAAAACGGATCTGGCGAGGCGGCGGAGGACCGGAATCCGTCTTGTTGAGCAGCGAGGTCATGATCTGATTAGACCATGACCATGGCCATGATGGTCAGGTGTGGTGGGAAGTTGGCTTGTTGATGTGGTGTCGCGGACGAGAGCGACACTAGTTGAAGCTTGAGTTAGTTTCGTTTCGTGGCAATACTGAGGTTCATTGGGCGGTGCAGGTCGGCCCAGTCGTGCGTGGTTCACGATACTCGGCGCAAGACGGGTCCAAAGGTACGAACGGGAGCGGCGAATTACAGTCAAATGGAACCAGCGCAAGAGGTCAATGACGAAGGAGAGGAAGAGGGGTGCTCAAACCGAAACGTCAGCGGACATGGTTGTGCCGTGGCGCTCAGCACTAGGCAGAGGACGACAAAGACGTTTGGCAACGGATGGCGGACGGATGGCGGATGGCGGATGGCTGACGGCGGATGGCTGACGAGGGCGGAATGGATGAGGTATAGCTTTGTGGCTGCCAATGTTGAAGCCTGTTGGATGGCGATTCTCGAGTTGGTTGGACAAAGGAACCCAAGGCGGAGAGGTGCAGAAATTCGACGACGTACGGGGCACAACGCACAGTTGTTAATGTCTGGCCGAGTTGGCGCAGCAGCTTTTAGAAAGGCCAAGGTGCGATATGTTCCATCTCGGCGGGTGCCAGTCACGGCGTCGCAGCCCTCAAGTTCCAAGGGTCTCGATTGCTCACCTCCGGGAGGTCAGCCAACGCGGCCAGGACGGGCGGAGGACCGGGGAAGTCGCAGCCACAAGCGGGCCCAGGCGGGAGGCGGGGGCGTGTGGGCTGCTCCTGCCCTGGCCCTGCCCTGTGCCCTGGGACCGCCAAATGGTACCGTGTACCAGGTGTCGTGCCGCCTGGGTACATGATGTAGGGATAGAGCGGGTTCCTTGTACCAGGTATCTGTAGCAGCCCTAAAGCGGTTCAAGGTACTCTACTCGTGCTGCAGGCGAACGGAAAGGCTTCGAGGTGACTGGTCATTTCTTGAACGTCAGCTTTTCTCAAGACGGCCAGAATCATCCTCTCTCTCAGAAATCAAGGCACGAAGCCAGCGCCCAGTCCCGAGACACACGCTTGTCCTGCAAGTCGTACGTATTACATAATTCTCGTGATGCCGAAGAGCCCCTCTCTGACTGCGACAGCCCCGATGCAGCTGCAGGTTGGTCTTGGGTGGGCTGCGCACTGCCGCACATTGTTTCTTCCTCAGCTCGAGCAGACTTGAATCGACGCCGACCTATAAAGGTACAATGCCGCCTAATGTGCGACTGACACTGAAGCCGAGCCCTCCGAGACCAGACAGCTATCGTCTGCGTAGTTAGTTGCCTCCAAGTATCGTCTCATCAACCAGGGTACAATATGGACTCAAGTTCACGCACCCATTTAGCAGCCTGGGATCATTTAGACATGGCAACGCGCTACTACAATGCATGCAATGCACCACGACGATCTCTACAATATCTTGCACTTCATCATGACCTTAGGGCGGAGCCAAAAATCAAGAAAAAATCGAGCAGTGCAGCATCCAAAATCGCCGGAACGCAATGCCTTGCACGGAGTATATAAAATCAGAAACCTGCTGACCGTAGAAACAACTCTGGTTCCTTGCCTATTCCTTGCTTCACTTTCATTCGTTCAAGCTCCATAGCCGGCCATGCTTCCAGCAGAGAATATTTTCTCCTCTCTTTCCTTCACCTACCGTCCGCTGATTCGGTGGCCGTGGCAACTGAGGCATCTTGCGAGCATAGTTCCAAGGTCTGTGTGTCTTGAGAGTTGAACATGTAGAGCTCCTACTAAAAGTGGAAAATCGGCGCTCACTTTACGCATCGACAACTCTTGGGGCAGGGTCACCATGGTACTGATCCATCATGCAAGGTCTTTAACGGCTGGAGTCGATCACTTCTCTCGTAAGGGTAGCACAGCAATGCAGATCGGGCTCCGGGTATCCATGCTCGCTTACTAGAGACTCGAACAATAAACGCTCCGGAGAGCAAGATGCTGCGGATGCCGGTAAGGATACCGGATCTAAGAAAACCTGATGAGCAACGGCTTCCTGCGACTTTGAGCGATACAGCAGTGCAATCTCGCCAGCAACAGCAACCAAACCATGTGCGTACCACAATGCATGTGGTGCACTGATGTTGTAAGACGGCGTCATCAGGAGGATGCGACACACCCATGAAGCAGGCTACCGATCAGGTTTTGTTGTCAGACCACGGTAGAACACCGACTATTCTTTCGGTGAAGAAGCTGCTTCGTTGGAGAGTTGGTGCTTGACACTGTGTCACCTGGGGGTACTGGAGGCTAATGCAACCATCAATATTCTTCCAAGGCTCCGTATTTTTTGATTCTTGGGTACTCAAAATCACTCGCGTTTTGTCACCTGTGCCGGAAAGTATAGGCATCACTTTCACTTGCGCCGTCCCGTCCGGTTTCCTCATATCCGTTAGGAAGGAATCCGTACGCCCTTTTTTTTATTTTTGGGACAAGGAAAGAAACCAAACAGGGCTATCCAAAGACGATGGTCATGCCCATGTCTTCGCTCACTCTTCTCCATAGATCCTTCTTGTCCGGTGCTGCTGCAGTGACGATCGCCTCCGGGCTGTGGTCATCCATCTCATCTGCCCGGTTCCAGACTTCTTGCACCACCTCCCAAGCTCTGTCGATGTTGGTCATTCCCTGCCTTTGACCAATTCCCCTAAATGCCCTGCTGGCCAGGTGCCTATCCGCTGGTTCAACAGCCTCACAGGACGCAACAAATAACGGCCATAACAGTGCACCCATAGGTCCGTCGTGTCTCACAGTCGTCTCGCAGTGTACGAGGCTGACGGACGTATGGTACTGCACAATTGGGTCACCTCTGGTACGCTCATGAATGGTTCGATACAGGTACACCAGAGCTGAGTGCCTGTAGGCCAAGGCCGTATTGAAAATGCTTTGAAACTGCCTCATTCTAGCCCCGGCATTGACCATGGACCGTCCAGGATTGGCCTCAACATGAAAGTCCACCGGTAAGCTCGGCTGCCATTGCTCGAGACAAGACTCAATAGCGGCGCATTCCGCGCCAAGTTTGTCACGCAGGGCGATGGCACCCGAGAAGTTGCCCCGAGATAATGATTCTTCAATACGGTTCTTGAGAGCAAGCAGACTTGAAAGCCTGTGAATGACTGGCCAAAGAGATGTCGCGAGGCCGAGCAAGGCGTCTACACTCTCACACAGCGATGGCGATTGCGAGCCCGTCTGCTCGAGAAGCCCCTTCAAACCGTCACAGCTTGGACGATCTGACACTGGCGCTGTACCAGATGACAAAGCTGCAATCACATCGTAAAATCGAAAGGCCTGGTCGGACGAGTCAGAAATTTCACCCGTGTTCTGTTTCACAGCCGACTTACTCGGTCTAGGAACAAACTAGTCCGGTCAATTCTGTTTGGCACATTCCGCATTATTGCCATGGCCCCCTTTAAATGACCTTGGACCAGATTTGAATGCCGTCTCTGTACAAGCTGCGAGGTTGCGAGTGAGTCGACGTGACGGAACGATAGAGGCGAAAACTTATTGGACTCACCACCTCGTAATATACCAGTAACATAATGGCTGCCAACAACTCATTCCTGCTTCCATTCCGGCCCTCTCCTATGAGCTCTGCCAGGCCACGAATGGCTTGGTTGTGAAACTGGATACTTTTCTCATCGTTTTCCATCTTCTCAACGCCGTTTCCTTCCAAGTGAGCGCTGGCAAGGGCAAGGATGGCACTCTTTACAGGCGGGCTGTTGTGTGCAAGTGGAAGAACAAGTTGCTGGAATGGATTCCCCTCATCTTCTCTCAGGACTATCAGATGGGAAAGGGTGTTACAAAAGTGATCAACAAGGAGTCGGTGATGGTAGTCGTTGGAGAATTCCTCGAACACAGGGGCATAAAACTCGCACAGCGGTGACGGGGTGGCGGCAGGCGTGCTGAGGGCCACTAATGAGATGTGACTGGGGTTTGAGGGAACATTGTGGCCCTTTGATAAGAGCTGCGTGGCATTATCTGACAAAGGTAATGACGGTTGGCCACAAGGAGCCGGAGAGTCGCGTCCACGATCCGTTGATATGCATCCAGAGACGTCGCAAGGACTGGGGTGGTGCCCCTGGGAGGTTGATGTCCTCGTCAAGGCGAGCTGAGAATCCCACGTCTGGACGGGCACGCAGGGCTTGCAGTACTCGGCCGGATCGTCGTTGAATGGATTCTTGCTGGCGGCCTCAACCCTGCGGCGTTGACGCGGCTTGGCTGGTTCATACCGACACTTCTCGCCATGCTCCTGGCATCTACTGCAAGTCGGCCGAATTTCATCGCACTTCTTCTTCTGTTGTACATCTTGTCAGCGGCACAAACGACATTGCCTGGTGAAAGCCAATGCTACCTTGTCTCTACTGCGTCGAGTTAGCGACCAGACTGGTTTACCAGGTCGTCGAGAGAAGGAGAATACTTGCCAATAATTGCAACCTGTAACGTGCGACAGCAGTCAGCGACAATTTAACCGGCGCACAGGGGGAATGAACAGGCCCCGGCATAACATGAACAAAAACCACGAGACTCACCGGCTCGTGATCGCTTTCTGGGGACTTTGGGGGCAGACACCCTTGTGTACAGGAGCTTCTTTTCCGCGGTCATGGCCGTGACGAGGAGCGACGTCGCACCGTTGCTTCTCGATGACGTCCAACGGAGAAAAAGACGGGTGCGGCAGTCGAGGGCAGCAGCAGCCTTGGCGACCCAAGCGACCCATGCGATCCGCCCAAGTTAATTTGACGTTGGACCTGGCTATGGAGCGGTAGCGGTCTGCCCAGACTAAGTCAAAAGCCGGAGCGGAAACAACGTTGTATCGAAGGGTGGCTACGGAGAATGCCTATGCCTTTGGGTGGGATGAGTGAGAGTTTCCACGCCAGGGGGAGTCAATCACCATGCAAATGCAAGCATCGAACTGGAAACATGAACGGGTTCCAGAAGTTCACCGGACTCGACCATGGCTCTCCACGGCTTTGGGACACAACGACGGGTAAGCAGCTCAGGGCAGGGCCGAGTTTGTTGAAGTTGAAACAAGAGGAGACGGACGGCCTTTTCCCGGGGGGCCGAAGGAGCAGGCTATTGGTTCTCCGAGGCGTCGCTGGAGGTTCGCTCCGCCCATTGTCCACTCAACATCGTGACATTGCCTCGCAAGACGAGGAGCCAGGTCCACTTCACCCTCCCTCCCTCCCTCCCTCTCCACCGTGCCCAACACGACCAGCGCACGCACAAAAGAGAGCGAGAGTTCTCGAGTGGGGAGATGGGGACCGGGACCCGGGTATCCTGCGGGGATCCCTGATAGCTTTCGGCCCAGGGTCAAGGTACTTTTTCGTTGGAGCAACGACACTGACCCACGAACCCTTCATCTGGGGTTATGGTGACCGGACGGACGGACTTGGGTCATTCTAGAAGGAAGGGTTTTGACGGTTCCCCAGACATGTCAAGGCGCTCGCAGCGCGGTTTGAAGTCTGGTCTGTCATGGGCGCCAAGTAAGACGAACAAGACGCCATGGACGATTTGCCAAGTCCTCACACGGCTTACAGAAGCGACGCAAAAAACAGCACGACCACTTGGTCAACAATACTGTGCCTGTGCCGGCTTGCGTGCAACCTGTGACGGCAGGTTTGTATATTGTCACAACGAGTCCGGCGAACCGAACTAGAGGCGGTCAGCTCGACCCGACTTGCTTGTTTATCCGCGACAGGTTTACGTCTGCCTATTCTGCGATGGCGAGTCGGTGTCTGGGACTTTTGTTACTCGAGGCTGCGCCGCAGACGGTTCGCCATCGGGGAATCTATCCTACGCGTGAATGATGAACGACCACGAGGTCGAAATTCAAGCACAGTACACGACCTGTCCAACAAGTCGACCACAACAGACAGCAGCACATGCATCGCAGAAGCATAGAGAGTAACGGACTACCTGGTAGGTCAGAAGAAATCTGTGCATTCGATCACAACGTCTGTCTATTCTTGGATGCTATGGAAACTTGTTCATTTTAGCACGAGGCATTTCAGTCAGCAGTGGACAAGGAAAACGTAACATCTCACCCTTTGCGTTGGGATGATACAGCCCTAGGTACATGACAGTGCATTTTGCATCCTGATTTTCATAACCAAATTCGCCTCTTCCCTGGGATGCTCTCTGCGGTGCTGGAAACCGTTCTGGCCCAGGTTCTTCCTGTCCATGGGGAACCCCAAGCAGTAAGGTGCCGTGGACTTTAAGCTGGGCAAATATGAATCTTTGTCCGGCATTCTTTGCCCAGGACATGCGACGGCATTTTTGGAGGCCTTGAAGGCCCTTGCCGGATTTCCAAATCGTACCAGAGCTTGCCTCAAAGGCTGAAACAGAGTGTGGGTGTTGAGGACGGCATGCTGGTCGGCTTGAAACTACAAAGCGGCCCACCAGGTTCGTGGCTGTCATGGAAAAGTAACCCGGGATAGAACGCCCGCAAGAAGCCAAGATTTGCGAAGCATTGGAACCAGACGTAGCACATCCACGGTGCTATCGAATGCAGGATACAGTATTCTGTGGTCCGAGCCGGCTCGAGCTATTACCCAGGATTCAGGAGGCACGCGTTACATGGCCATAGATTTCGTCTTCAACATGACGGCATGAAACATGTCCAACTTTCCGTTATGCAACAAAGCATCAAGCGGGGTTCTTCACAGCCGTATCGCGATCTAACTGCCAGCCAGGAACTACGTTCCCTTGGAAGCCTTGAGATTTTCCAACAGACCGAAGCCCGGTAGTGAGGCATCGATGGCTCGGAGCCGGAGCAGCCCTACATGTGAGGTTGTTTTCCGTCCATTACTTACGGCTGCACTTCCTCGTCAATCTTGGCCAACGTCTTCTCGTTGAAGAGCCCCCCAAATGACGCGTGCTCCGGATGCCTTCAGACCTCTTCGTCACTTCTTCAGCTAGGGCGTTTAGGGATGCAAATTCTCCTGCATTGGCATCGGGTAAGAAGCCCGCGTTCGTGCCACTCGCAATGGTCGCTTGCAGACTGATGCTAGAGCCTGATGCTCTGTGGTTCCTACTGTCCTTGATTTACCGTTAGAACGAAACAAAGGGCAGAGCTGGATGGAATTTTTTTTTGAGATTTGAGATTTGAGATGCCCGGCATTCTATACACAGTGAATGGCTTGGGACTACCACGGCGAGGATGACCATACTCTTCGTCGACGCAGTCGCACCATGTCCAGTATGTCAGGGGCCCTCTATCGCGGTACAAAGTCTGACGTGCGTTTCCGCGCTGATATCCTCGTATGAAAAAACACAACATCACCGTTCGGCCTGTGAAGTGGCGTAGGGGTGACCGTATGGGGCACGAACAGACCAGAAGAGACGGAATGACGGAAAGGGACCTGGCAACGGTACAATTAGCCACCGGCAACAATATGACGATATTAATAGGGTTCTAGGCAAGGGGCTCGTTGAAGCCCAAAGTTCCATCAATCTTCTTCAGAGATTTTAGTATGTAAAGGCGGGAAGGGGTCACCTTTGAATAGTAGTTTTCGTCATGAGGAGATTGACCACGCTTGTAGTCCGTACATGAACAGGTCCAGTTATCGAAGATCCTACGTCAAAATGAGACTATATCATATGATTCATGTACTTTGTTCGTCATACGCGAGGACAACTTCTCCAAGGAGCATCAGGACTGCCTTGGGGGAACTTGCCTCGCAGCCGAATGGTGCACTAAGCCGACTTGTGCTGTGGCAAATATTCAGCTTTTGTCGGCCGTTGGCGCCCTGGCCATCTCCCACGTCCGGGATGTGGTGCATGCCAGAAGAGTAGAGTAGGAGCTGGAACCTCTCCTCTGTCCTTCCACAAGAGCAGGACGACAGTGCTGTGGTTTGGTAGACGAATAGGCGTGTAGCTATATGCAAGAATTTCCCATCAGAGACACTGCTGCGAAGTTGAGGGAAAAATCTGCGCCAAGAGGGTGCCGCATCCAAGGACAAAGTCCTCGCAAAGGTTGTTGAAAAATCAGCACCGAAATCGGAGCGACGGAGCAGCAGTTAACCGGCTCATCATTCAGAGAAGCGGAAGCGAAGTTGACGAGCGAGGTAGTAAGAATGACCGAAAGAACCCAGCCAAGTAGAGCAAGCGTTACAAAAGCCTTGCGAGAAGGGGCATTCAGCGCCCAGGGAGATATTTATCGTCTACAAAACGGCCATCATCAACTCGCGTCACTGCAAATCCAATGGTAAGATCAAAAGATCCAACCAGAGGTCTGTCACTGCGTCAAAGAGGAAAATTATCGACGCTACTGTAACTTTGGCACTAAACAGCTTGACAGGCAAGACTGTCAACCTGGGCAATGGCCTTCTCACGTCGTTATAGACGATCGTACCTTGGCAAGATTGAAGTAATTCTCGCTTACACGGTCAACAGATACATGCGCTTTAAATACGCCGTGTCTTGCGTGTGCTGGGAAGATGTGAGCATAGCATGCCGAGATACACGCAACGCCCAGGGCCACGTGCCCATGAGCATGCTCGTCGGGCTCGGAAAGCCTAGCACGAGCGGACTTCAGGCTTGACATGCCGGCCTCGTTTTAGTCGTTGCGCCGGTGTTGCCAACCGATGCAAGTGTCACGCTGTAAGGATGATGTCCCTGCCGGTGCAACCTGCGGGCGAAGAGCTTCTTCTGGGTTTAAGCCTGGTGGCGCCTGTGCAGCCTTCAAATACTGGCTGGCTGTCCAGCCAAGTACGGGGAGACAACAAGGTCTTGACCAGACCGAGGCGTGGTGTTTCTGGTATATTTGAAAAAAAGGGAGCGGATAGTCCATTGCTGTGACGAGGATCCTTCGTGCCGTGTGTATTTGGCCTCTTCTCACTCGGTCTAATAATACTCACGTCAGCCAGGCGTGCTGAGGCGGGAGCAGCAGAGTTATACCCAAGTTCCTCATACGTTGACTTGGCACCCGGATCCGGCTGATAACATTGCGCATTGCCAGCGACTAGGCCTTTGCTTGATCATATGTCTGCTTCTTCTGACGGGTCTGACCAGCCATGGCCTCGCATCTAGTTGACGGCTGTCGTCGGGCACGTTGCTGAATGCACCCTCAGTGTCTGCCTCCGCTGACTGACCATGCGGCGGGAACTTGGAAGGGAGATGCTCTTGGGCCGGGAAATAAACACCACGCGAGGACAACCAAACAATCGACCGACGAACCGACTTTTTGGCAGCCTGCAGCAACTTGGGCCGTCGTCCGTTTCGTCGGCAGACGACTCGCCACGACAAGCGGACACCAAGACGTCGAGGTGACGGGCTCGGACGGCGATTTCGAAGGCTTGCTTGCGTGGTTGATGAGAATCCTGCCCACAGAGGCAAACTGACACAACTCATTGACGAGCAGAAAGCAGAAAGCAGAAAGCGTCTGGTAGACGGTAGGACGCAGGAGGCCGTGCCGAGTGTCGACCAGTTGAGCCGGCCGTCCGGGCAGCTGCGGCCAACTGGATGCAGTGCTGTCTGCCAGCTGGAACGACGGGCAACAGTGATTGGTTCGCCTTCCCCGAAACGCGCTGCTCAGGCTTCTGTTTTCTGGACCGCTCTCAAGCTTCATCCGACGCAGCCGTCTGTTGAGGTGACTCAAGTGAGCGGCACGCCGCACAACAACTCCCTCGGTTCTCTGCACGCCCGCCCTCGCTACTCCTAGAGTCCAAACCACCAGACCCATTTCCGCGCCAACGTGACGCAAAGTCATGTTTCGTGCGCCCTATTCCACGAACAAAGAAGCGAGCACGGGAGCGAGCACGCAAGCGAGCAATCGTGAGGGGCCCGCCAGGCCGGCACCAGAGTCCGTATCCCGCATACAGTGGCAGGGGGGGCTTGGGAAGCAGTCGCTCGTCATTGAGCCGGATAGATAGCCTGGGGTGCCACCGTCAACGAGCACCAGAGGCTCTATAGGTTCGTCCTCGGTCTCAGCCTCCTGGCGAGCATCAACTGCCAGTTGAGCCCCCTCTCTGCTCAAAAGAACATTCGGCAGACCTAACCCCGAACAGACCAATACGACATGACCGTACATGATGAGAAATGGCAGACCCGGCTTGCCCCCGCCGCAAAAGCACCAACCAGGGCTTGGGACTACTGGCCAAACTTCGAATCGTTGCCTCCGGACTCCGACCAAAGGTTCGGCCACCTGCCTCATGTGGGAGGTGGTGCATTTGATAAGTGAGAATCGACCCTGGGCCAGAACCTGAACCCCCGGCCTCTTCTTCTCACGTCTACCTCAGTCGGCTACTGACCACATCTGCGAGTTTCGTTGAACGGCTCGTCGACTAGGCTCGGGTTGCACGGCGCGTATGCACATGCCTAGATGATGGATCCCGGCCCTTGTCCAGGCTGGATCAGGGACTTTGACAAACCCAGCCTCAGGGTCAGGGCCGCCGCGTTGAGCCGTTGTGTTGAGCACCCATGCTTAAGACTCGGCTTATTCGCCAAGAGTCGCAAAATGCAGCAGCTTTGCATTGTCCATGCTCCCGGGTCACCGTAGACTGGTGACATGATTGGTCCTGGTCCTGTCAAGTCCTGTCTCTCATCATATATAGACTGACGCCGCTGTCCTCGATCCCAATCGTCCGGCACGTCTTCTCGTCTTGTCGCTGACCTCCGGCAACAAAGCCCGCCGCGAACCATACTTGGAGTCGCCCATCGCATCGGCCAGAGTAGCTCTTTGCTTACCAGCATCTCAGAATGAAGATCGCCTTGGCTCTGTCTCTGATTGCCGCCGCCGTTGCCGGCTCCATCGAGGCCCGTCATGGTCACTGCAGCGGTGACAACTGCGCTCGCCAGGTCACTGGTACCCGTGATGGCCTCACTGCCATCACCTCTCGCAAGAACGACTGCTCCAACTTCATGAAGACCACCCTGGTCCCTGAGGCCACGTATGTTCCAAGCACGGATTCAGCACGAATCCACCCCGATGCCGGACGCTCAATTCTCCCATGCATCGATAAAGCCCAAGCTAACCATGTCACACAGCACCGTCACCGTCACCGTCACCGTCAACATTGGTTCCGATGAGCACGCCTCCGTGACCAAGCGTGGTGACATGGAACATCGTGCCGCCACTGAGGCTCCTTCTGTTGTTCCCGCCTATGCATCTTCTTGCAACAACCCTGGCAAATACTCGTCCGCCTGCTCCTGCTGGGGCATCACCGCCGTCACCACGACCGCTCCTGTTCCCACCCACGTTGCCACCGTCACTGTTACGGCTGACTATTGCGAGGACTTGTAATTCGTTTCACAAATCGACTTGGAACAAAACTGTGTGGTTTTGCTGGTTTGATACAGGGACAAGGTCTCGTGGTGCTTCACTGGGTCGGTTGTGCCCGCCGAGCACCTGGCCGTTGACGAGGCGTTTGGCTTCTGCAGATTTTTCGGAGGCATAGAGGTGGACGAGCGAGACCACAGACGGCTTAGATGCCGCATCGTGCGTCCAACCGCTACACTGTAATATAGAAAAGACGTGTGCAGTGCATGGTGCAGGGTCTCGAATTCTCGGGACCTGACAATTCAAAACAACCCCACAGGCTCATCTTCCAAGAGTGAAACGATCCGGACAATACGGCGCAATGTGGCAGCCCATGGCCGAAGGGGCCCACAGGTCTCAAGTTTAAACACGCCTCGGCAGGGAGCCTCGACAAATGGTCACACCCCATGCTGGAGCACGTGGTAGTTACATTCCCTGTAAATCTGTGAGGCCATCGTTCCGAAACAAAGCAATGTGAGCTGCTTGACCTCGCTTGCACGCGACTCGGCGTTTAGTGGCACGGTATCGACATTACAACAGCCGTCTCTAAAGCGTTTCTTGGCGCGAGACGAGGCACCTTGTCCGCCAAAACTCGCCAGTTATCGCCCAAGGAGTTGAGTACACATACCGTCTTGTTCTGTGTTATTTCCTGCCGATGTGTCTTTCTACAGACTTTTTCAGTAAAGTCCTCGCTGGCGGAGCTGTAGACGAGCTCTCGGGGAGCAGCTACGAGCCGTCGTGCGTCGGGACCAAGGGCCGAGAAGCCGTTTTGGAACGACGTAGCTGACGCGGCAGAAGATTGAAAAGAGTCAAGAGAATACCGGCCCTTGGCACACAACGGGGCACGTAAACATCCAGGTAAAGAGCAAGACCGAGTCTGGAGGTTCGCCAGTGATTGTGTTTGTGGGAGGTCAAGAGGCACCAGGCGAAGTGCTCTGTTAAGAAAGGCAGACTGATATATTGGTCTGCGAGGCCAGAACTCACGTCACGTCAGAGCTCATCACGTGGCCACCCTCAACGCGTCCAGCAATATGGCTTCACGTTCTCGTCTTTGTCACTTCATCTAAATCCCATGGGGTGGCAGGGAACCAACCGCCATGGCTGATGGAGCAAGATACCCTGTAGGTAATCGAGCAATTTCTCGTCGCGGCCCAGAGTCTGACATTGTCCATAGATGGACAATCCGAGACTTCTGTACGGCCTTTGCTTGGCCAGTCGTGAGTTCCACGCCCCAGGTTTGAGAAGACTCTACAAAATCACTCGCGTAGACGACCGGAGTGTCATGTTTCTTTTTGCGGCTGCCAAGCGCAAGCCTGTGGTCCAAGCGGCAAACAAGTACATATCCGCATGCTTGTGACGGACAGTAGTCCTGATTTGGCATTGTGCTCAAATTCCGCAGATGACGCTTGTGGGGATGATCTGTCGTCAGGCGAGGTGTACGAGGGGCCTGGGAACGGATGGCAATACCAGGACGAAGTAACATTCAGATGCTTCTTACAGAGCAATCGCGTGCTTGAACTTGTTCAAAACTGCCCCGACCTCCCTGGCTACGCGTGAGTTGGAGCCGTCTTCTGCCGGCCATGGACCAGAGAGCCTACGCAAACATTATGAAGGTGCAGCGAACACGCGCCAGGCCAGCAATGCTGAGGCTCTGGCACGCTGCTGCGGTATATGAAACTCGACAAGTTTGCACGGGGAGTCCGCCAGTACCACGGAGCACTTTTCTAAGAACAGCTGGATATGAATGGGAAAAGATGCAAGGGCCAGTGTATTTTGGCCGGGATGATCCTGACAAGTGGAGCGGTGCCGTGGTTCACATCGTATTGTGATGTTTTAGAGTCTCTCGGCGTTCGTTCTGGACACAGCTCGTCAAGCGACCAAGGTTACGAGCCGGCAATTGACGCAGGTTTGCCCGCGGCCTTGTGTGTGGTGCTCGCGGCTCCCCCATCTACTAGTGCTTCTTTGCGGAGCCGTTCGTAATCTTGGTCCCCTCAAGCACCGTTGCAATGCAATCGTCATGACTCTTGGCACTATACGCCATCAGGCCGGCGGGGATGACAACCCAGACGGCATTGCACAGCACAAGGACGTGAGTAGGCAACTCCGTTCACAAAGCTGCAGCCAGTGTCTCGGCGAGCAGTCCGTGACGGTGGCGTAGGCGAGAAAGAAGGACAAGGCGCCCCAGAGGAAGAAGGGTCCTGGTCCAATGTCATGTAGCGAGAAGTCGGACAGGGAGGACCCCTTCCAAAGCTGGCCAAAGACGTCGTTCTTGCCGGCCACGTCAGCGGACTGTACGAGAAGTAGCCTACGCGCGCACGTTAACCAATGGGCGGATGGATGGGACTCCGAAGGGAGGGCGGGTGCAAACCTGCCTTCAAAGAACAGATGGATGAAGCCACAGAGAAGCCACCAGCAGGCAATGAGCACCTCGCCAGAGGAAATCGGCACCAAGACGACGCCACATCCGGCAGCGAAAATACACACCAACACACCGGCCTTCAGTGTGGTTATGGATGGATGATCGACGCACCGAGTTTGAAAGGAGGCAGGAGTTGTTGGACGGATTTTTTCCCCCTCCCAAGATTACTCCGCCGATAAGATCATCCAAGCTCAGCCTAGCCTAGCCTAGCCTAGCTCTATGGGGCTCACAGGGACGCGTACTCCCAAGCAAGCGACCAAGTTGCGCGGACAGCCTCTTGATTTTTGAGCGCGATGTCGTCTCCCCCGTCCGCCAAAGCGCACTGCATGAAATCGCTGCCGAGATGCCGGGCTCGAAAAAATGCCCTGCTCGGCGTCACTCGCCAGCCAAGGTGTAAAGGCTCTCGGAGGCATGCGAGACTGGCCTTGCCGTGCCCTGCCTGGCCTGGTGGGTCGCGACTCGCCCGGCAAGCCCTCGGCGCCGGTGTCGGCGACCGGCGCCTCGGGATCGGAACGGGTCCCTTGCGGGGCCGCCCGGAGCGAGCCCAGAATTGCGTCTCCCTTACTCTGGACCCCGTGCGGGCTCTTGAGACATCAACTCGGACTGTACATGATGCATAAGTGCCCTCTGTAGCCACCAAGCCTGATCAACTATTTTGGCCCTTCTCGGAGTCCGCACGACATCAGCCCAAGGCCAGGGTGTAGTCAGCTAGCTCCGTAACCAAGCAGATGACAAACCTTCCTGCGTAGGCATGAACATCTTCTCAACGCCAGACCTGCAAGAACCACTGGTGTTTCGTTCGTGTCTGAGCACATGATCTACGTGCCAGTAGCTAGCTATACGACAAGAACATCCTCAAGGTCACCACACGTACGGGGATATACGTGACCCATTTTGCATCAAGCATGACACCGTGCTCTCCGGCATCAGTTTGTTTTGCCAAGTGACCATCCTCGCAAGCGGGCCAGGTTTGGGCCTGGAAATGCGATTCCTGCGGGCGTACCGAGTTGAATCACGCCACCGCACGTCTGCAGAATGGAAACATCCAGACGACAGGCAGAGGCCGTGGGTTTCACCCCACGCATATTAGACCCAGTCGCAACCGCAAGCACACTCAACCACCAATTCGCCAAGTCCATGCACTACTAGCCCTAGCATTACTAGATAGCCCATCTGTCGCTACAGACGACATATTCGAGAGAGGTCAATATACATCATTTCAGTCATGAAGTGTGGTCGCGTAAAGTTATGAAACCGAGCCTCATCACCCTCCTGAAATAAGCCCCTTCCAGGCAGCAATTACTCTCCATGATTACCGAGAACAGGAATTGAAAAGAAGAAAAACAAAACCACAAAGTCCTCACTTTACTACGCCCCAGGTGTAAGCCCATGGCGAAGACAAAATTTCATCGGGAAAAGGAGCGAGGGCCAACATATTGCCGCTGGGACGAGCAACGAATTCCTCCACACTCCGATCTTTCCAGATGAGTACAAAATGTGTAAAGCCACACTAAGATTCCCTGCTTGAAACGCTTGTAATGGCATCTCGCCCTACTAGCGCTGGGAGCGGTCCAACGTCTGCAAAATGTGCTCCGATGATCCCACAATCCATTCCAGCCTTCGTCGCTCCTTTGGATAACTATTGTCATATTTTTCCATCAATGTGTTCAGTTTTCCAATGAACCAACAAATGGTGTCGTATGCCTGTTTCACCACTGCGTGTCCGAGGTCCTTCCAATCCTGCACAAACATGTTAGATCAGAACCCGCTACACGCCACACATTTTAACGAGCAACTTACGCGTTCCGCGGCTCTTCGGTCAATAGATCGCACGGCCATCTCAATCCAGTCAATTCGCTGTTTGATGAAATTGTTGACATCCAGGTCTTTCGAAATGGCACCAATGGCGGCCAAAAGCAGCACTGGCGGCAAATGTTCAAATCGACTGGGCAAATGCAAGCTCAGGCAACGCTGAAAGACCTCTTTTTGATAGCCGCCTTTGATCCATTTGAGTAACGCTTCCTGCAGCTTATCCTCCTTGATCTGCATCTCAACTTCATGGACCTCCTTGTCCACCTCGGTGTCGACATTGCTGCTGCTGTTGGCAAAGGCGCCGCCTACCGAGGCCATCTTGCTTGCAGAAGTTAAATCCGTCTGAGAAGTGGAATCATGAGGGCTTCCCATATACTGACCACCGCGCAGATAGTCAGGCCCAGTCACGTATTGTTGCTGCCGCTGTTGGTAAGGTGGACTCGGCCGAGGCTGAGTTGTCTGATAGCTGGCGAAGTTCTGGTGTGGGTTCGGTCCTGTCAGGAAGCCACTGTTGGAATAGCCTCCCTGGGGACCAAAGCCTCGGAAGCCAGGGCTGGTTTGACGTTGAAGGCCGGAAACGCCCGGCAGCTCATGTACGGGCTGCTGTTTCAACTTCAGAAACTCGGCCTGAAGTGAGGACTGGGACGCAGCCATGGTGGATACCATGTCTGTGAGTGTGGATACGTACGAAAGTAGCTGATCGATCTTGTTGCTGTCGCTAACTTGCTGGGACTGCATCCGTTCAAACTTGTCGCTGTACTGCTGGTGAACTTCGGCAACAGCTTGCTGGGCTGAATGCGTGGCAAGGTTTCGAAGCGTAGGAGTCAGGCGCTGGCTGAGCGTAGCCGCCATCTCCTGCTGCACAGTCGTGTTAACACTGGCACCAACGCGCTCAGCAATGGCCGTCGCAAAGTCCACGGATCGAAGTGACCTGTTCAGTGCCTGAGGCAGGGCATTTTGGATTTCCTTCTGCACGGCCGACGCAACATTGGGTTGCAGCTTATGTTGAACCACGTCAGATACAGCTTTGGTGGCCTTCTCACCAATAGCGGGAACCAACAGTTCGGTAAACTGATGATGAATCAGGGACTCTAAAACTTTTTGCGTGTTCTCGTTGAGCACCTCCGATACCATGTCTAAAAGCTTGACCTGGTGCTGATTAAAATTCTCGTCCCGAAGTCGACCTCCTTCATCGATCTTGCCCTGCAGACTTTTGAAAGAGGACTTCAGAGCGTCAGATACAGCTGACGTTAAACGTGTCTGCATGACGTTGATGGTAGAGTCGAGAACCTCCAAAGTCACACCCGAGGCAACGGCTGCCGCGTTGTTTGTTTTTGCAGCAGATTCGGTCCTGCCGTCTTGCGTCCCTCGGGTTGAGTTGGTAGCTCCATTGGCACCGGCTTCGGCTTCTTTGGCAGCAGCATTGCCCTTCTTTTTTCGAGATTTGCGCTCGGGCTTTTCGACCTGGCCTTCCTTAGAGGACTGAGCAGGAGTCTCGGTCTCTTTCGCCTCGTTATTCGGGTTTGCGGGAGTGACTGCGTCAGCTCCACGCTGAGTAGCATCGCTATGTACGGTCGATGTGGGCTGTTGGCTTGGCGACTGCTTGGTTGCGGCACGATGGGTAGGGTTCTTAGCTTGCTGGTTTCCGCCATGAGCAGGATTAACGGGCTGAGGCTTATTGAAGTCGGAAACGGTGACAAGCCCCTCCTTCACCGCATCGAGCACAAGGGTGTTGTCGGATCCCCCCAAATCACTCTTCTTGACCAGCACACAGGCCACGCCCTTGGAGTGCATCGCATACAGTTCAAATCGGAGACGATCTTTTTCTTTGGTGTCCTGGCCCGCCGTCTGTGCCGTTGCCTGCTTCGTGATCGGGGTGTAGAGAATGTCCAGGCTGCGCAGCACTCCTCGATTAGCGAATGAGTACTCGCGGAAACCACTAATGATAGCTGTACTACTCGGCTGTCGAATTGGGCAAGCTTCGTTGGGTTTCAAAGGTAAAAGAAGTTTCTCAATGTAGTCGACTTGGGATATGCTCTCAAGGCTATACTTGGGAGCTGAAAAGTGCGCAAAATAAACTGAATTGCGAGTGGGATGACCAATGACAATCATGCCACTGGCGGGGTGGTACATGACGCTGCAAACGGCGTCGGATTCCTTGCTATGGGGGAGGTTGAGCTCTTGCACGGCCTTGCCCAGAGCCAGATCCCAGACCTGGAGGGTGTGGTTTTGCTTCATACCAACCACCATGTAGCGAAGAGGGCCTCGCTGCTCGTACGCCTTCTTCCTATCCAGCAACAGGACCGAGGTGGGCCAGGCTTTCTCGCCCTCAGGAGTGGTTGCCAAAGTCAACAGAGGATCCTTGACCTCCAGGGACGATTGAGCGGGCAGAGGATAGCGGTAGTCAGAGTCTTCCTTGGCTTTGGTGAGTTGACGAACATCCCAGAACTTGACCCGCCCGGATTTGTCAAGAGAAACGACGACTGAATCATCTTGGCTGAATGTGAAATCTTTGCCGGCCTTGCCAGTGTTTATCTTGAGAGAGCTTTGGGCAAGAAGAGCTTCAGTATCGACAACACGATCGTGGCCGGCCCTGAACAGCTTCTGCTGGAGAATGTAGGCTGGCCATATGAAGTTGATGGATTTGCCACGCCCGACGGCGAAGAACTCGGGGTGGGCAGTGGAAGCGCGAGCCCGCGTCTTCAAAAGACCGCCAGGGGCATCGCCATCATGAGAAGAGATGGGAGGAAGGGCAAAACCATACTGCTCCAAGTGCGGATCCTCAATGTGATCCTTCTCGCCGTCCTTGATCAGTACCCAGTAGACCGCACCGCCGACACCAGTACCAATGATGGCTTCCCGATGAACATTTCCACTTTCGGGAGGGGTGACGGAAATGGCGACGTTGAAAATACGATCCTTGGTGTCAGTAAACACCTTGGCATCCTTGCCATCATCTTGACGAATGACACGTAGACCGCCCAGCTTCGACATGCCGTAAGTCATGTATGTCTGAGAAGCGGTGAAGAGGTTGCGATCGACTTGGTCAAATTCCTTCTTGAGACGGGCGATATCCATGGTGGACTCGTCACGGAACTCGGGTCTGATTTCGTCTGTTTCTTCCTTGAGAGAAATAGAGTTCCACGGCTCTTGAGGGAACTTGTACACGCGAACTTGTGGTAGCTCTGTTTCTTCCACCTCAATGGTCTCTTCCACTTCAGCACTCTCCCAGCTATCGGCTACGCAACGGGCGTTCTCGCGTATGGCATTGGCAGAGTCGGAGGCGTCGTTGATATACAGTGTCTCAGCAGCGCGGTAAACATCTTCCTTTTCAAGATCATCTTTGATGTTCCGAACAATCTCCTCCTCAACTGACTTGACAATGTCGGCGTGAGCGACCTCGCTTGGCCATTCCTGACCCGCAGAGGTCTCCTTAAGTTGCTCATCCTCGGCAAAACCGGCGGGGATAAAGCCATGCTCGGCTCTGCCAAGCGCCTCCTGGACCCCCTCGAGAATCTGGTCATCCAAGTCATCCACAGTCTCACCGACAGTCTCCTTGTATTTCTGCACAGAGACTGAACTCTCAAACGAGGCCGAGGCTGAGGCCGAGGAAGTCTGTTTGGGCGACCGCGAGGTAGACGGACGCAAGTGGAGAGATGATGTGCGGTTGGTGGCGTGGCGATTCTGGTCTGGGGGGCTCGCCACGGGGCTATGTTCACTCCCAGCACGAGGCTGGGAAACAGTGGGTGAGGACTGCCCTTTTTTGAGAATCTGAAAAGGCGGTTGTGGCGGGTGTGCAGCAGGCTGAGACGTGTGCGACTGCGGAGAGGATTGAGTCAGGCTCCCCATAATCTGCTGAAACAGAGCGGACATGTCAGCAGGAGAGTCCTGTGACTGTTGCTGCTGATAGGCATATGATGAAGAATTGGAAACCGGACGGTGGGCCTCGTTGTAGGAGTCAGAGGGCTGATGCGGCTGGTACTGAGACGGAGCATGCTGCTGAGCCTGTTGCAGATAGGCATTGAGTTGCGGCTGCGCCTGTTGATGTTGATACTGGTTGAAGAAACGATTTGAATCGGTGGTAATTTCTGGCGACTGAGATGCTGCACCATTGGATCGTGGCGTTTCGGTCAACACGGGCTGGTCGGTCTGGCTTGGCTTGGGACGGTTCAGCAAGTTGAGAAGAAATGACCTGGTATCGGCCGACGGCGAGCCGTTTGCAAATGGGTTCGCATTGGCCGGCTGGGTATGCTGTGCAGTTTCATGGCCGGCAGGAGCAGGGCCAGGAGCAGGGCCAGGAGCAGTAGGGGCAGCTTGTCGAGACTCATCATCGGTGTCATGAGAATCGTGAGCGCCCCGCATCAAGGCAGCAAGCAGTCCTGTTGGATCAGCCCCAGCAGGCGCAGGCTGAAGGATACGGGTCGGAGGTGATGAGTACTGGGCCTGTGAATAGCTAGGCTCGCGAGACTGCTGCTGGTGATGCGACTGCTGCGCATGCTGATGCTGCTTTTGATGCTGCTGCTGAAGTTGGGCGTTGGAGCTGCCCGCCCCGCTGCTGAACTTGAGCAGGTTCAACAAACTCGCCGTTCGGTCCGTGTTGGAGGGCATTACACCGCTGTTGACGGGGGGCGTCGGGGCCGGAGGAAGATCCATCGAGTGCTGGATAGTATCTGCGGTCGAAGAGGAGGCGAGGGCGTAGAGACGCTACCGGGCAACAAATGCTTGTGACAGGGCAAGTCGAGCAAAACCAAAACAAGTGTGTGCAGTTGAGGGCCACAGCTGGCTGCAAGCTTCCGTGTCGATGCAGACGGAAACAGAAATACGGAGGCTGCCGAAAAAAGAAAACGAAGAGATGAAATGCACAGCGACTCTCGACGTTTTGAAACTCAAAATGCTTTCGTCAACCGGATATCGGACGAGCACAAAAAAGAGAGGTCTGGGTTAAAAGGGCGAGAGATGTTGCGCGGGATTGGGCTCGGCGAGAAAATTGACAGTAGAGGAAAGGCTCCATCGAGGCCGAGCTGCCTGAATAAGCAAATGAGTGGCTGTGAGCGGCCCTGTCGACGTTGAAGCCCAAGGCCTGCGGCGTGCAGCGCTGATGCCCAGCCCCCTCACTGTATCTTGGCCACTCAAGTGCGGTCTTTGGTGGCTAGTACGGACTACCCCAGACTAGCTCGTTACGTTTGCGTACCGAAAGTGCCTACCTACAAGTACCCAGGTACGTAAAATGTGCACAGCACCTGGGCAGTTTTATCAAATTGCGAAGCCAGGACCAGCCGCGGAAACAGAGCGGTGACCAACCTCTCTGCAAGCCAGGAGACGACTCCAATGTTGACATTTCGCCCCCATCAATCTCGGGATATCTTAAGTACCATTCTGGTGACTCGTTTTCATCTGTTGTCCCGCCAAAGAGCTACGCCGTGGCCACGTACTGGCTACTGAGGACTGAGTACCTAGGTACCTGGTCCACATCCACAAGTTAGTCCCGCCCTCTTGATGTCTCCAACGTTCGCCGTCGACGTACAAGAACGAGTTGTCCTGACAGTGGAAGGTACCTTCGGAGTAGTCGGCACTTACTTAAGTACTTCTAAGAAGTAAGTACTCAAGTACGCACTTAGGTCATCCGGTAGTTGGAACTTGGCATCAAGCACCTAAAACCAAAACCACAAAATTGCCGCGCATATTAACAGCCCTCCAAGATCGCACTGCCCACCGCCCGCCGCCAAGCCGCACTAGTACGACGAGCCATCGTTGATAAGAAGTACGTACTTAGTTAAGTGACCAAATGTCCAATTTACTTGGGCCCCGAGATGTCAGCCCCTACAAGGTACCCCGTCCGGGCTCTCCGCCATTCAACACCACTAACCAACCATTACTCAGCCATCCTCAACCAAACTCTGAACTTCACTTCAATTGTTGTCACGCCTCTCACGCGTCCGCGCAAACGGGCATCGACCGCATATCGCTCGACGCCCACCACATGCCTCCTCATCCGTAAACCCCCAGGTCCCTCAAAAATCCCAGCATGTTCTGCCTCAGAAGGTAATCGACACCTCCTCTGCACGCCTCTCAAATTCCGCTAACGCCCATGACCCAGCTGGCTCCCACTCCTCTTCATCCCTACCAACGCATCGCCGGCCTTCATCTTTCTCTTCTTCGTATGCACCTACTTCCTCAACCGACCCTGCGTATACTGCTCCATCCTCCTGCTCATCCTCTTCCTCACATCGTGCAACTGGTCCGACCGATGTTTCTTCGACTTCCGGAGCAACTGGTTCCTGCCGCGGCCGAGCACCGTTGATCCCTCACTCACCGCGACCGTGGCAGAAATGGCGAATTCCACAGCCAAGACGCTGGCGGGCGCGGCCGCAGACGCCATTTCCTCCCGCAGTGCCGAGTGGACTGGTCTCGGGTTGGAGTGGCTGCGGACGTTGCTGGGCAAGAGAGAGTGGAAGGTCGACTGCATGGACATCTACATCCAGCTATGACGGGGTCAACCTGCATCAACATGTCACGGTAGTAGTACATTCCAAGAACGGGTTTTCCGACGACGCGCAATAAAAGAATTCGGCATCTGGCCAAAATACGTCTCTTCACTGGGCTACAAGCACGATGCGTAGGACGAAATGCTTTGCTACCCTTGGAAGCATGCCTGTCGGATCGATCTTTCCACTTCGCTGAAGCTGCCAACGAACTAAGATGGGATACTACCAAAGAGGAAAATCTCACAAAGAGACTGTACCCTCCATTTCTGGACCGGCAAAGAAGGACGTCATCATGAGTCCGCCTTGTTTATCTCTGTCAACGTCAGAATAGTTATACTCTGCAAACCTCACCACATGAACACAGGCAACGCCAGGAAGAAAATATTCTGCGTGCGTGTTCATTTTTAACCTAAACTAAGTACTCAATGATACCAAATCAGTCTCATATCGCCCGCTTGCAATTATGCCATCGTCATCGCGCACACAAAAAAACAAAAGTCATCTCCTAGAGCTCTTCATCGTAACCCTCAACACCCCAATCGCCATCCCCATCCCCGTCGCCCACAGGTTCCTTCTCTAGTGCAATCTCTTCCTCGACGGCTTCAGAATGCTCCATACTCGCAGCATTCCCTGGTATTTCCGTAGGCAACGCTTCAACCTCAACAGTCTCAACCAGGGTTTCCGTTATCGTCTCCGCCACGGTTTCCGTGATGGTGTTGGTCAACAACTCCGTAGTGGTCTCGAATCCCGTTTTCACAACCGTCTCAACCACGGTTTCCGTACGTGTCTCGGTCACTGCCTTTGTTACAGTCTTGGTTATCTCGATTGTACTCATTGGCATGACGTTTGATGGCGTCTCGGACAGTTCCTGCGTCATGCCTGATAGCTGCAGACGCTCCATTGATTCCACGTTTGACTCATGCTGCACAGCGGACGCCGCCTGTGCTGATTCGTGTTCAACCTCAGCTTTTGGCGGATCCACGATGCCAGAAACGGACTCGACAGGCTTTCCAACTGCAACTTGAGCAACCGGCTGTGGGATGACAGACTCGAAGCCAATCTCGGTCGGTTTCGCTCCGCTCCGGAGAGCAAGCACCAACACCACAAGGCTCAGAAGCCCAATCAGGACGTTCTTTTGATCCTGCATGAGCACCTTGGCGGCCTCAAGAATGAGTTCAGGCAGCGACGCGCTTTTGTCCGTTTGCTGTCGGCTTTCGCGTCGCTCTTCTCGCCTCTCAAGAGCTTCCACAGACGGCGAAATTGGCGTTTCTTGCGGAAAGAGATCCGAACGTCGAGGTTGTGGACTGGACGAGTATTCCGGCTCGGGAGGTGGACTGGCGCCATAAACCTCCCTCAGCCTTTCCTCATCTCTCATTCGGCGGTCTTCCTCATATGACGATGGGCTGGACTGTCCGTGAACTTGCGGTTGACAAGGCTCCTCCATGTGAACGGGCACGTCCACGTGGTCGGACGTGTACGACTGCTCAGCATCCGCAGCCTCTTGGCATCGCTGCATCTCCTCGTCAAAAGCAGCAGCCGCAGCAGCCTGCTCCTCCATTTCAACGGCCCTCTGCTGCTCGGCAGCCAGACAGTTGAGTTCCTCTTGGAGCTTCGAGTCAATAATGGGCTCCAGCTCGACGTCGACGCGCTCCATTTCTTTCCAGCAGGCTTCCCAGGCGCCAGCTCGCATCAAACCATTGCTTGCGTACACTTTGACCCGGTACACCTTGCCATCACCAAGCGAATCATATCTGATTTGTGAGCTGCAGGTCGTGCACCAATGGGTTTGTTCCGTCGTGCTTCGGCGCCCGTTGCAGTGGTCTTCGTCTTCGCTTTCAATCTCTTCCGGTAAAGACATTTCATTTGATGGACCTAAATAATGCCCGCACTCCAGGATTCGGGCTCTCCGTCGAAGGGGCAGCTCCAAAGTCTCGAGCAGCCGCTCCTCCAAGACTTCATAGTCATTCTGGGGATGAGGCAGGAGAATGCCACGATCTGAAATGGTGTCGCCCGTACGATCTTGGAGCTGGTTCCAGGACTCCCAAAGGGTCTTGGCCTCGGGGCTCAAGTCACTTGGCCGGGCGTGGTCCAGGACATGACCCCAGGGCCACCGTGACGGGAGCACAGTGACATGCAGCAATATGAGTGGCGGAGTGTTTCTCCTAAACCGAGGAGGGGTCTTTTTTGGCGAGTACTGCATCGAGAGACTGGGCGACCCGAGTCTCGAGACAGTCGATCTCGGCGTGCGGCGGCTGGATCGGGGAGTTGCAGTAGCCGACGCAGGCGGAGAAGACATCTGCATTGCCATGACAGAGGATGGCGATCTGAATGTTGGTCTTTGCGTGCCCCGGATGGCGGGACTAAACTCCTCGTCTGCATCGGACTGAGGAATATCCGAAATACGGGCCGTCCTGGTCTTTGGCGGCGCAACCTCGTGGGCGCTCTCGCGCTCAGCTTCGGATACGGATCCCACGGAGCTTCGGGGGCTATTGTCGCTGAACACGTCGTCCTCGTGCTCGTGATGGGAGCTGCTATCCCCGCCCTCGTCCGCATGAGCTGCGTGTTCGGCATGGTCAACTTCCGAGACGCGGCTTTGACCAGCGTCCGATTCTACTCCAAGGGATTGTCGGCCGTCTTCTCCTTCAGCTGCCGAGGCGGCGCTTTCGGCGCTCTGAATGGAATCTCGAGAGGAGTCGCTGGCAATAGCTTCTACAATCTCTTTGGCCGCGGCGTGAATCAGCGCTTCCGTCCGGCCAGAGGATCGCCCCTCGACATTGCCATGGCAACTCTCGACATCGGACGAGGCCGGCTCCCTACGTGACTCGGGGCCATCCCGTTCGGCCCAGACATTGCTGTGAAGTAGCGAGTCGTCCTCGAGCTCGTCGGCAACCTCCTCCACCGTCGGCTGCAGATTTTCAGTGTCCAACGGCGAATCTTGGTCGGGCACATTGTCTACTTCCATGTCCCCCACACCATGCTTGATATTTTCAATGTTTGTCATCGTACCGTCTTGGCCGACACTTGCGTGCGAGCCCTGCTCAGGACAAGTCGCCTCCTGAGAACCGACTGCATCATCATGCTCCATGGCAGGCGGCTTCTCCTCCGCACCGTCGCTTGCACAAGATGAATCAACGTGTATGTCAAAGTCGAGGTCTTGATACCGGCTTCGTGACGGCATCGGGAGGCGGGAATCGATATGGCGTCGAAACACGGCGCATGAGTCGCGAAAAGGGAGAAACCTAAAAGGCGAGAGAGGATCACGCCACGCACTGTATTCCAAACAAAACAGGATGTGTCATGTATGACACGCAAGACTCTACGCTGGTCTCGTAACAGTGGGCGCAATTAGGGGTTTTGCCTCGCTGCCTGCGTGTGGGAGAGGTGTGTGTGGCTCTGGCAGGCAGGTTGTGCTTCCCGACGCTGCTCACCCAGCCTTGTTTACGTCCGTTGCCACGTCGACGCGGATGCTGCGGGGCCAAGCTGACCGCACCAGTCTCTCGTGGCCTGCTTTTGCATCGTGTCTGTGAGAATCCCGTCGATGCGCAGTCGTCATTTTTTGGGCTTTCCTATTGAATCCGAGTAGAAGTTGAGATTTTGATGGCCGAGTCGTCGATTGTCCGTTTTTACATTCCAGGAGTCCGCCATTCGGGGCGTCCTTGCGGGGTTGGAATGCGGCTGCGCCCGTGGCAGACTGACCGACCGACCGACCGCGCAGGGAATGCGACACTGCTGGAATGCAGAGGGTGCGTATAGCCAACTACTTAAGTAGGTCGATTTACTCATGAGATCCTAAATCAGACGTACCTTCTGCCGCCGAGTTGGTTTGACCGGGAGGACCACGCAAAGCACAGCGCCCAGATACAGTCCCCGGCACGGGCTGCTAATATGGCCCTCGTATTATGTTATGGCTCGCGATAGCCTGGTACGGACTACGGAGTACCGCAGAGGCATCTATTATTGCCCTACGTCCCGGGTCACAGCTACTGTGCAACCGCGTGCTAGTTCACGTGAGGTCATGGACTCATGGTCGTGAATCGTGACAGGGTTCGCCGCAAGCCGCCGTGTCCACGGCAGACGCGTTTCTGAAGCCCCTTGAAAAGAGTTGCTGTCTGCCTTGAATGTCATGTCTCTTCAACGGTCAGGCTGGTCTGGAGAATACGTGCGCACACATACCCCTTCTGCTGCGGCCAAATTTACTCTGATATACTGGTGTACTGGTATACGGAATGCATTTCAAAACCTTGGTTCCAGACCGTTTGGTCCGTCCAAGTTGTCAATGGGCTGTGCGTCACGCTATTTATGCTACAGATGAAGGAATACAATGTCAGTACCAGGACCCGGCGATGGCAATCCCTGGCCAATTCATCGCGTCACATGGGCATAGTTGCACAAGGGCCATCGTCAAGAGATGCAGGCCGTGGTTTACTACATTGACAAAGATCCTTGACCATCTAATGCTCGTGGAGAACCAAGGACATTCAAGGCAAAACAGTGTCATGATGGGGAAATTGACTTGTCACTTCCGGCCCCATTTTCACAGCCCCCGTCACCTATGGATCGATGAGATGCCTACCACCACCGCGCCGTCGGAGTGCGATACGCGTTGGTGATGCAGTGCAAATCTCCACTCGCCAAATGAAAGGGCCAGTCGTCGATAAAGTCGACATGGAAGCCTGCCTTGGAGTAGGCTTCCCTCGACATCCTTTCCAAGATGTCGTGGCCATCAACGACCGGCCCCCACGGCTTTGCCACCATAATCCTCGACTCGGACAGAGGGACGGCGTTGACCTGGCTAGGGAACGCCGAGTTCAACTGATAAAGCTCATCAGGGCCCCCATCTTGACGCAACCGAACGCCGAGCCAGTATGTAAGCCAGTGCGTGGGAGACAAGACTCCCGGAACTCGGACGACATATTGGTCGGTAAGGCCGGTTTCCTTCTTCAGCGTGCTCAGCAACTGCTGCATATGCTCGGCGCCAGAGACGGCAGCCTCCTTGTTGGATTCCTCATCCAGGAACTGGCGGACCGTGGGCCTTCGAGTCGTCGCGTGGCTCGTCAAGGGCACGTCTCCGTGGCCAGCTTCCTTGGCCATTTCAAGTGCTCGATAGCCCATTTCAAAATCGACCACGACAAGCATCAAGCCGCGCGGCGTCTTGGCGCGAACAGCAAAGAACAGATCGTCTATGTGGCCGACGCGCAGCAACGTCGTGTTGGAGAGATCGGTTTCTGAGATTCCTGAGCCTCGAAAAATCTCAACACGGGCGGCGCCATTCCGTCCGCCGCGCCAATGACGAGCCTGCCGGCCGGGTAATTCTTTCCGTTGAACTCGTAAGGAGGAATCGTCTCAATGTTTCCTCCCGCCGAGAGCCTCAAGGTCTTGGGGTCGAGCATGTCGGACAACTCGGCCGGGCGGACGGCTCCCACCCCTTTGCCGCGCAGATTCCACAGCAACCTTCCAACAGCCTCGGTAGAGCCTTTCATGACAGGCTTCCCCATCACGTTGATTCGCAAGGTGATTGGCCCTGATGGTCCGGGAATGCTAGCATACGCGGGCTCCATTACGTCCTGAGCCCACGTGTACTTTACACCAAAACGCCCGAGTGGCCGCCAGATGCCCGCCTGTTGCATGCTGTTCTGGATCTTGTCATGCATCGACTTGATTATAGGATGGTGCTGATTTTGGTTTGAAACAAAGAGCCTCTCGATGGGTTGACCGTGGTGATGTGTCAGGACCGGAGCGACACGCAGCATCACGTAGTCGCTCGAGACGTGGTGCCAATTTCGGACCTGAAACCTGACCAACACTCTGCCATCCCAGCCTCCTGGGCGTCTGGTGTCACGAGCGTCGATGCCTAGAGTCAAGCCTCGGCGCAGCCTGTCCGCCGGGATCCTCGTGTCATTCTCGAGGTACACCCAAGGGTCGTCCTTGGCAGCATCATAGAGGAAGATGCGGACCTTGGATCGGGCCACGGGGTCGCGTACAGAGATGGTTGCTGTTGTCCAGTCTCGGATGTGGCCCATGGGCACCGTGAGCATCGAGGCCATGTTCTGTGGTGCCCATTGCTTGTTTGAGGAAGCGTCATGGCATGAGTCGTCGCCCGCACAGTGTCCGCGGGCGTCGCCTATATTTGGGAGGAAAAGGGCCCCAGACGTCTCGGACCACGTGGCCTTGCCGTTGATGTCCGTCGTGCCGTGCAAATCGACCTTGCCGTCCCGATTGGTGTCGACTCGAATGTCAGCTTTGAAGGCTGCTGCGGCGGCAAGAGGCAGGACGAGGGCCAGGCAAGGCAGGCTGATCATGGTGTAGTTGGATCGAGTGTTATACCAGCTTGTGTATCGAGTTGGACTTTTGCCTCGGAGCTCTCGTCCCATCTATGGCGGCACTGCTAGGACCTGCGGATAGGAGAGCGGGACCAAGTAATATATATAACAAGCAGGATGAGTGGCTTACTAGAAAATGTACACCAACAGTCAAGCCAAGCAAATACATTACACAACAAGTTGGCCGACAGATTCTCTACTTGGAAAAATTCTTGGCTAATTAAATCAAGTAAAGCGCCCTTGAGGCGAGCGCCAGAAAAGCAGAGCACTGCTCAGTTCCTACAGCACCACTTTGCCGAAGCCGTCCAAGAACAAGGCCCTTGACGGCAGACAAGCATCCCGCACAGAACGCGACGTGACGGTCAAATCGCGTGACTGGGCTTTTCGAGGCTCTAGAAGCGGCAATACTCTGTACCAACAGCCAGAATTACCCTGCGTCCCCAACATGGGGACTCGCCGCGGACAAGGCCAACATGTCGCCGCCGCTAGCCAATGATGAGCCGGCCATTCTAGCCGAGTATGCTGCCCGTTGTATATCAAGGGCGCGAGCCGGCAGATTCCTAATGCTCCATATCCTACTGCAGGGAACTTGGGTTGGTGGGCTCACCGGACCAAAGTAGGCCGACGCTGCATAGACCATGTGGCATCAATTTTAAAGCCTCGACGAGATCTCCATGACCAATAGAAGCGGGCAGCTTCCTGGTTGTTGATGTGCCCCCGGCAAACTATACTCCTATTCTCCCTCTTGTGCAAGTCACGCCCACCCACCTGGAGTCATCCACTCAGCACCCGATACTTTTGTTACCTCGGTTCCTGTTGCTCGCGCCTTGCAAACTCTGGTAGAGGACGGACGGAAGGGCGGGCCACGAAGCCTGGGGAAAATGCTGCTGATGCCAAGTATTTAGAAGTACACAAGATTCAATACTCGTGTCTGCCGGAAAGTGCGTCTACTCATACGCGGTGTCGACACGGACCCTGGATTGGCAGGAACTTTTGAACCTATTGTGGCTTCGGTCAGGAATTTTACTGAGATGAATGATACATAGTATAGCTATGCTATATGAATAATATAAAAGGGAATTGCTACACGGGCATGACACTTTGGCTACACGGGCATGACTCTTACACGGGCATGACTTTTACCACTTCTGATTGGTCGCATTGTCTCTGTTAACGACGCTGGATTCTGCCACCTCAGCCGCAAGTACCTGGGCCATTTTAACCTTGCTTCTGTGTAAATTACTTCATTTCGGCTAAGCTACTACGCAGCAACCCAGTGGTCGCGCAGTCGGGGCGACCCCCTCGAGCTTGCTTTCTTCATTTTCGTAGCTTTTAATAAACCATAATACGGCACCCTATGCTGTAGAGATAGCGACCAATTCTTTCACTACAATCTTGTTCTCTTCTCAAGACGTCAATGTCTTTGCCTCGCACACCTCCTCGCAGGTCGCGGAGCCCTAGTCCCAGTGATCAATCACAAAGAGGAAAGCGACACAAATCCAGTCGGCGACGCAGATCTAGTCCTTCCACAGTTGAAGACCGACCACAATCCGCGAGTAGCTCTGCTACGAGTATCGGTCAGTTCTACGGCCTCGGGGACGAAAATGCACTCGATAACCTGTTCGCCTCTTTCCCGCAAACACTTTCAAGTCTCCCACACCCCCATGGTTCACAGGGCCGCCATGAGCCTGCATGGGGCCTTCGATCTGACTATGAGATATATCTTCAAAATGACTTCTTCCGTGGAAAAAGATGGAGCCAGCGAGTCAGAGCGCTTATACCAGGCCCAGAATTTGATCCATTCGCCTCTGAACCTCCCGAATCACCCCCATCCGCCCAGCATCTCCCAACAAGGACAAGAGCCGAGTTCGAGTCCGCAATGCGCATAGTACGAGAGGTTACCGGCGAAGGTCGAAGGCTAACTGTAGACCTTGCTCGATCATACGAACGTGTACAAGCTTGGCGAGAGAGATGGGGATGGTCACCATTAAGTTTCGAAGCATATGACTCTCCTCCACCGTACTCTCCACCTCGTAGGTCACCCACACAACCTCCTCGAATATCACCGACGCCCGAAAATATTAGTTCCTCGCCTATGCGACAGTCTCTATCTCCCGCCCCGGAGCCAATTCCGAACCCAATAATCCCTGGCGACCCAGCGCCCTCGGCCGAAGTTCTTTTTAAAACAACCAACGCATTTGCAAAGGAGAACGGATTTGGTATTATTCGGCGGAATAAATATTCCTATAAGGGACGGTTGATTAGGTACTCCATTCAATGCGACCGGTTTGGACAATCTCGGGCCTCGGGGGGTTCTGGTCTTCGAACCCGAAGGTCTCGGAAGTGTGATTGCAAATGGATGATAATTGCTGAAGCCCTAGAGGAAGGCAAGTGGCTTCTTCGACAACATAGAGACCCGAAACATCACCAGCATAACCATGAACGGAGTATTACGCCATCTGCGCATGTTTCCCACCGCCGCCTTACTACACCAGTTAAAGCAACCATCGAGTCAGCAAGCCGTCGCGCGGGTATTCGAGCCAGTGATGTAGCTGCTATGGTTGAGGAGCAATTCCCCGATACAACACTCCTGCGGAAGGATATCTATAATGCCCGTTCGTTCATTAACCGAGAGAAGCTAAATGGCTATACACCTACTGCGGCATTGATCAAACTCTTTGATGAGAAGAAGATCCCATACATCGCGAAATGGGCCGATGATGATCCAGATAGACTGCTTGGTCTTGTCTGGACCTTTCCGTACTGTCTACAGATGTGGAAGCGCTTCCCCGAGGTTATTAGCTTTGATAACACATATAACACTAATCGCTTCAAGCTTCCTTTATTCCAGGCTACTGGCCAAACCTGTCTTGGAACTGTGTTCAATGCTGCATTTGGCTTAATAGATAACGAGAGGAGGGAGGGGTTCCAATTCCTTGCAGAGAGTGTTCGCAAGCTCATTACAAAACACTCACTCAGGGAACCAGATGTCATCATCACAGACTTCGACAAGGCTATGAAAGCTGCCGTTAATGATCAGTTTCCAAATGCACAGCAACAGCTTTGTATTCATCATATCCTTTCAAACGTTTTGCTTAAATCGAAGACTAGGTGGACGGGCCAACGTGAGGACAGTACTACTAGCCCTAGCGCTAGTGACAGTGAAGACATTCCCTCACAGGCGGATGGCGGGTTGAGCACTACAGATAAGCATCTGATCGAAGATCGGTCGAGTAGTGATAAGATTCCTCATACTTACCAAGGCGTTGTTTTAATGTGGAAAAAGGTTCTCTATGCCGAGACTGAGGAAGCGTTTGAGCAGGCATGGAGAGATCTTTGTAAAGAGTTCGACGACCAACGAGCGATCTTACAATACCTCTACTCGACTTATATGCCTGTTAGTGCTCAATGGGCACGTTGCTTTATCCGTCGTTATCGTAACTTCGGAATCCGAGTTACGTCCGGCACAGAAGCAAGCAACAATAATATCAAAAGCTATCTATTAAATGGCATGAGCCACCTCTACCGACTCGTCGAGGCAATGCAGGATATGATACATGACCAAGAACGTGCCTTTAAGGATGCCTGTGGACAGGATGATGTCCTGACTGCTCCACAATACCTAGGTTCGATGGGAAACTATCTTGGTGAACTACGAACAACCATGTCATCGAAAGGACTTGGGTTAATCAACAAGCAATACTGTATTGCTCGCAAATTTCTGCCGACGGGGAAGAATCCCTTCCCCGACTCTATTGGACTTTGCGACGACGACTGTACGGTCTCTATTGAGCTGGGAATCCCATGCTATCATAAAGTCTACGCAAAGCTAGATTCTGACACACGTTTCACTAAATGGGAGGTCCACCCACGCTGGCGACTACGGGAATCGGCATCTCAAGATCCATACCGACGAATTCTTGACCCGAAAGTTGCCACTGCACTACGTGGAAGGCCAAAGAATACAGCGCAGGTTATCCCAGAAAGCCTAGCTATTACATCAAGTAGCCGATCTGATAATCAACCAAGTGGGCGACGAGGTCGACCGCCAGGAAGTCTCAATAAGCCAACTCTTGCTAGGAGAGTGCATAAAGCTACTCGAGAAACCATCACACAAACTGGTGGCCAAATTGGCATCTCAGCCCAGCAAGGGCCAGGTAGACCTTCTAAAGTCCTAAATGCTGGGAATACGACAGGCGTGCGGTACAGTGGACGGAGGACGCAACGAAACATTCGCAGGACAAGGAGTCAATGGGAACTGGCTAAGAGTGATGACGAAGATCCAGATTGTATCGTTGTGAGGCAATAAATTAAGTAGACCACATCACGTCTTTTGCCAGTATTTGACAGTTACTGGCTAACAGTACAAGGACGGTAGTTTAATCCGAAATGCAGGCTTGCAAGATAGCAGAAGACCAATCGCGCCCACAACGATAAGTGACTGCAATTCATGGTGATGTAGGAGCTTGTTAGTGAAGTTGGCTACACCGCCTTTCCGAGGAAGTATCTGTGGGGCCAAGAAAGTATGCGACCAATCAGAAGTGGTAAAAGTCATGCCCGTGTAAGAGTCATGCCCGTGTAGCCAAAGTGTCATGCCCGTGTAGCAATTCCCATATAAAAAGAGTAAATTAGAGGAATTAGTAGGTATATTAAAGCTTTAATTCAATACTCTATTAAGTATATACTTGTAGGGTTCTAAGCTTATAATAAATAGCCTTCAATACAGCTTTAATTAGAGAGTATATATTATAGTACAGTATACCTACCAAGGTATTTAGCTATACAAGTATATAGAATTAGAATAAAATATACACAAAGTATAGACCTAAGCGCCTCTTTTTATAATTCTCTCTTTTGTAGCTCAATCAAGGCTTTTCAGTATCATCTACATAATATCCAGCTTCAGCGCCCCCGCTATGGTGTGACAGATTTCATCGCACTGATACAGCTTCTCCGCGGGCACAGACTCGGCCCGCGCTCCGACACCCCTTGCCTTGGCGATTTCGAAGACCACTTTTCGCGTAATGCCATGCAGACACTTCCGGTCCGGCGTGGAGAGCACTGCATTCCTTGTTGAACCCCGGGCCTTGGGTCACGTTGGCATCCGCGTCCGCCAGAAGAGCGTGCTCGGCTCCTCGGTCGCTCGCCTCAAACATGCCGCCAACGAAATCGCCCCATTGGAGATCCTTGACGGCCGGGTCTACGGCGCCGGGCGGACCATGTCGGCGAGGATTCGCTTGACATCTTCCCTGGGCGGCGGCAGTTGGAGCCTGGCCCGCAAACGGCTTGCTTCCAGGCGGTCCATGTGGTCCTCGAGTCCGAAGAAGCGGCCGTTGCACACGGAGACAACGTCGTACGTCAAGTCGCTGTACAGGAATCCTTGGTCGATGAGCGGAATCTTGGCCTCCGAGAGCGGGACGACCTCGCCCGCAACCCGAGCGATGCCGGCAGAGTAGGCGTTTGCGCCTGCTTGGAGCCTGGAGGCGCGCTCCTGACGAGCTGAGAAGACCTTGGCCATGGAAGACATGTCGAAGTCGTGGCTCGACGGTGGCACAAGTGGCCAAGGCACGGACAGATGCGGCTTCGTGGTTGCGAATGGCTGCTGGATGCTGGATGCGTCACGGGCCACAGTCAACGTGTGATGCTGTTGATACTCATTGGTTGGGGCCATGGCTATTTTGCCCTTGAAGACGACAAATTAGCCGGCTGCATATGCATCGAAAGAGAGGGAGGGGGGACTGTTGCATCGTGCTCCTTCAACTGACTCTTTCCCCAATTTGAACAGGGTACATGTTTAGACGAATACCAAGGTGAACCGTTGAAACTGTTTTCAGCCACGGATGAAGCTTTACCAGTTGACGCAGTGCGAGCAGCCACTGGTGTCAGACCTCTTCCATCTACTTGGATATGGGAAAGACGGAGACGGTTTCCAGCCACAGAGTGCCCGCAGCATGGGAAGAGAAGACAAGTTGAACATTTCCACGCAAGAACAACTTTCGATCCACTCATCAGACAATTTGCAATGCCCTTTGAATGGAGGACACGCCAGGTGTGTTGGAAAGTCTTGAAAGGCCTACATGCAGACCAACCAACCTACCTACATACACACATGCCAGACTCACTCAGGCGCGTACACTCCGTCAGGCACCATTTTCCCACAACCTCTTGGCCGATGCCAGGAATCCTGGATGGTGATTTCGCGCTTCTTCCAACTTGTCAATCGGCTCAATCAACCCTCCGCTCCCTGAGCAATCCGTGTAGCTTGGCCGACTTTCCCACCTCTCCCTTCAAGATGCGTACAGGCCTTCACATGGAGGACTACACAGCCATTAGCACGACCGTCCGCGGCCCTTGATCAGCATTCTTACAAAGAGGTCATGATAGTACGTGTTGGGACACGGGGCCAGGCTGAACATCTCGCCCGTCCCGCTGCAAGACTCGCACGCCTCCTCCGTGCCGGGCTTCAAGCCCCGGGTACAGTGGCAGTCCATCGTGACGCCCTTTGCGCCTTCGCACATGTAGCCATAGCACCAGAGACATACGCAGTGCCGCAGGTGTCCCGACACACTGCTCAGGCACGTGAAGTTTCCCTTGCAGTTCGGGCAGACTAGCGCGTATTCGTCGGGGCCCTCTATCCGCCGGGCCTCAAACAGGACGCACCGTTTTTCGTGGTTTTCCAGATAGACGAAGGACTGATGACAGTTGATGCACCCGTTGCCAAGACATTGAGCCGTTTGCATGACTGGAGCCCGTGGCAGGTATGCCCTTTGTCAGAGAAGCCTACACTAACCTGGTAGACATGATCAACTTGGTCGAGTTCCGGTGTGGATATAGTAGATGTTGTCGTGGAGCTCTCCTCGTTGGAAGAAGTGCCTGATCTTGAGAGGATTGCCTCATCAAAGGTGCACGTGGTTTCGACTCGTTGCAGAATCTGAGCGTAAACGAGACCCGTCGAGGATGCATGGGCACACAACCAATATATAACGAACACGGAGCACCAACTTGGCCGCGTAAAGCTCTGGAGCGGCTATTGTCCACGGCTCCCTGACCAACGGGACGCGTGAATCGGTGGGTGAGAGGTTGAATCGCGGGCGACGTGGATGGGCTGTGGTGACGTTCTTCTTTAAGGTCAGCACGCTGGTCCGTGGCAATCACGACTCGCCTGACGTCACGTCGAGGATACACAATCTTGGCATATAAGGAAACCTGCGGCAGGATGTTGTGCGTCGACCAGTGCATTTGGTTTGCGTTTTCCTCCCCCCCAAGCCCGCACCGTCAACGATACAGGCCTGCCGCCGTGCCCTGATGTCGGGACTGTGAGTCAGACGGATGGAACACGCAATCATCGGTGGCACGGGACGGAGCCACTGGTCAGCTTGAGCTCGTCCGCGCATCACCACATCACTGGGCACGCACAGCTCGTTGTTCAGGATCAACTCGCTGTTTGCCCAGACCATCACCAGCGTGTCCAAAGTTTGCGGCTTCTTCTCCTTTCCTCTCAGACAGAGGAGCAGGGCTATCTCGTTCCTCTGCCGAGGTGACAGTCTCCCGGCCCACGACACTGTCGGGTGATGGACGGAATCGGCAGCGGCGCCGGCGGCGTACTCGACGGAATCATCTTGAAATTCGCGGCTGCAGCCCGTGTGATGGGCATTGCCCGAGCCAACGTAAATGACACCGCTTTCAAATACAATGCGTCAGAATGGCGCCACGTCAAGTGTGACAAGGGAATCAGTATTCATAGTTTTGCGAGCATTCGTGAAATGACCCATGCCTGCTGGGGCATCCCACGAGACACCTCGTCATGGAATGCCCAAATTGTTACCTGTCGATGATGAGAAACGGACTGACCATTCCTCACGAGTATACATGTCGGCGGTAGCACATTCTAGGTTCGCGGTGCTACCACGCAAGCAGCAGTCCATGCATCTCCTTTGTCCTCTTCAGATGGGCCGTCACGGGAACCGTTTGTTCGAATAGCTTCTCTGCGCTTCGGTCGAGTTTGGTCTGCTCCTTGACAAAACGCCTGTGGGTTAGATGTCTTTCGAGGCTACGGGCCAGCAGTGGACATGGTAGGGCTTCATGTTCGTCAAGACGAGCATCGGACGCATGACTACAAAGATTCTCGGACAGACGTCGAAAACTGTCGTTTTTCTACCCGTGCTGCAAGACGTTAGGCTGTGCCACGAGATGCCCCAACATGAATAAATACAGCATTCTCCAGCATCGGCATCTCGGGAGTCGTGCCGCTCGTTCTTCTTCTTCTTCTCCTCGCCGCAAAGATAAGGGAAAAGCGCAACGTGTAGCAATTCAAAGGTATTTCTATGCCACTACACACTGCAAGCTGTCCTCGTGAATTGCCCCGGGTATACATCTAATCATGTACGGTAGGTAATGTCCACATGGGCTTTCCATGTCTTAGCATGTCCAGATAGGTTCAAGATGAACCTTGATCAATTCGGTGTCTGGTAGACGAATTACCCATGGCACATGTGACCGTCTGTGCTCATTGCGCCGCCAGTCTCACCCATTTTCTCCATCTCCTTCTCGATGACAGCCCACGTCCTCGTGGGAAAGTATCCCATCATCCAATAGTTATCTAACCGATCTTTTCCCAGCACCGCAATCACGTTCCTCAAAGTCGCATCATGCCCCAGGACGAAGAACTGGTGATAGATCATGGTGCCAGAGGGATTGGTTCTGGCATCGTCAGCTTGTCCCGTCTTAATCACGGCCGGTGAAAAGTCCAGCAGATTCACAAAATTGCCCTTTGTCCAGTTCGAAATGGTGAATAGCTCTCCGTTCCACGCCCCGGGAAGAAGAATAGGATCCTTGCCGGCGTCCCAGACCGTGCGAAGTGCAAACAGGAAGCTTCGAAGCTGTGGTGCCGTGGCTTGCGTTGCGAGAGCCTCTCTGCATCTCGATGCGATGACCCCGAGAGGTTGTCTCGCATCATCTTTGGATAGCTGAACGCTTGATCCAATCACGAGGTTTTGGATGTATACCCCCTTCGAGTTCGTAAACTCGGGGATACGAGACCGCATGTCCAAGGCACCCATCCCGTTGACAGGCCGTGGGGATGGTTGGGCCAGAGCAGTCATTCTGATGCCCCATGCCATGATGACATCGCCTTCGCTGATCCATGGGTCGCTTCCCTGGCCTGGCTTCGCCACGGCGGCCTCGTCCAGTGCCTGTCGACGAAGGGTGGCCATGGCTGACTTTGGGAGGCATATAGCTCGGCATTCTACGGTTCGTTCAGTAAGGACGCTCCACAAGAACTGGACGACAAATAGAAGGAATCTGAGCCCGGTGAGTATTGTGTGTCTGAGCACCCATTCGTCGCCAGGCGCAGCGTCTTGCGCAGCGGCATACAGGACATCGTCCTTGGCCCCAAGCAAAGCCGGAACTTGATCGTCCTTGCCGGCAAGAACCAAAGACCAGGCCCTCAAGAGCCCCTGTAAGCTCATCCCATCCATCAGCACATGTGGCCAAGCTATTGAGACTAGGGTCGCATCTTTGAACGTCACGACGTGCAGAGACACCTGCGGGATATCCCGGCTGACCAGTTCCTTGATCGTCGAGGGTGCATCGGGACGGACTGAAAGGGAGCGGAAATCCGAGGCCGGTCGTTGCAACGATGGCCGCTCCGTTGGCGACGGCAGATGCTTGGCCAGACTGTCTTCGGCTATGAGCACGTCAAAGGCCTCCTTCGTGTAAGCCACTGGCGGGCGGTTCTTCGTAAACGTTTGGGGAACGTGCATCTCCAGCTTGCGTCCTTTTCCAACTCGCAACCTCCCCCCGAGCTTCCTCCAGTCACCAATCTCGAAAAGGCGCCAAAGAGCATCGTGCAGCTTATCGCCGTCAAGAACGTCATTGAAACGGAGGGTCCAGGCCAGTACGAGATTCTTGAGGCCTCGGCTATTGTCCATGAAATGGGTAGGGTAGATCTGGTCGTCTGCCATGATGGATCAACAATTCTGTGCAAGAAGCTTGAGGGTGAATGCGAAAACGAGTCTCACCCAATGGTCCAACTGTCAGCAATGAGCAATTCTGTCAGCCGCGACATGGGAGCTGCCAAACCAAATGGTCCGTCCACTTGCCGGGATCGCGACTGTGATCAATTGATGCCTTGGCTGGAACGATTGCCTGCCGAGAGCACGTTACCTGTTAATGGCATGTTTGATCTGCACCGTTTCAACGATTTGTAAATGTCAACTGCCACCTGCCTGATGAGCCTTGGGCATGGCTGCTTCGTCATGGGGGAAGGAGATGGCATCTCCTTGTGTCGAAGTGTCAAATCCTCCACGTGATCTCGCACCATTTCGCGTCTCCCACAGCCCCAAGTGCGCGTCGCCAGTCATCATCGCGGCGACGTTGAAATGTTTGGCTCATAGCTTGACCCGACAAGTGTGCACGTTCCACGCGGCATCAAGGGCTCGGCGGTTTCTCTCTCTTTTCTCTTTTGGGCCACCATCCAGCTTACCGGGTACAGCTGATGATCGATGTGATCAACGGCCAGCACCATGACTGAGCACACGGGTAACGATACGCTCCGGCACCGCGCTGTCCGTCTCTCCTTCTGACAAATTTTCCAGATGCCGACACCATCAGAATCCTCGTCGCAACTGACAATCATGTGGGGTATGAGGAGCGCGATGCCATCCGCAAGGATGACAGCTGGCGAACCTTTGATGAAATCCTGAATCTTGCTCGAACTGAAGATGTAGCGTCCATTGTGCCACGGCAAGGTCGATGTGCTTCCTCCCAGCTAACCTGGCCCTGCAGGTCGACATGGTCTTACTTGCCGGCGATCTCTTCCATGATAATAAACCCTCCCGAAAGTCTCTGTACCAGGTCATGCGTACACTGCGACAAAACTGCCTCGGCATGAAGCCATGTCCCCTCGAGTTCCTCTCCGACGCGGCCACCGTCTTCGAAGGCGCATTTCCCCACGTGAATTACGAAGACCCCGACATTAATGTTTCAATACCTGTCTTTTCTATTCACGGTAACCACGACGACCCCTCCGGAGACGGCAATTACTGCTCGCTCGATTTGCTACAAGCTGCTGGCCTACTCAATTATTTTGGACGAGTAGCCGAGGCTGATAATATTGAAGCCAAGCCGATTCTCCTCGAAAAAGGGACTACCAAACTGGCCTTGTTTGGTTTGAGTAATGTCCGGGATGAACGAATGTTTCGAACCTTTCGAGACCACAAAGTCAAGTGGTTCAGGCCAAATGTGCAGATGGGAGACTGGTTCAATGTGCTCGCTGTCCATCAGAATCACCATGCACACACCGCGACGTCATATCTTCCCGAGAACGTACTACCCGATTGGATCGACTTGGTTGTATGGGGGCACGAACACGAATGTCGCATTGATCCCACGCAGAACCCCGAGACGGGCTTTTACGTCATGCAGCCTGGCTCATCAGTTGCCACGTCGCTTGTGCCTGGTGAAGCCGTGCAAAAGCACGTTGCTATTTTGAGCATAACAGGCAAGGACTTCAAAGTTGACAAAATTCCATTGAAGACCGTACGTCCGTTTGTGACCAGAGAACTCGTTTTGGCCCAGGATAAGCGATTCAAGGGCTTGGACAAAAAGAAGGACAACAGACAAGAAGTTACCAGACGGCTCATGGAGGTTGTGGATGAGATGATCAAGGAAGCAAATGCAGGCTGGGAAGCCATCCAGACAGACGAGGACGCGCTAGAGGAGCGACCGCTGCCTCTCATTCGGCTCAAAGTAGAATACACAGCCTCGGAAGGGGGTCTATTTGAGTGCGAGAATCCACAGCGGTTTTCAAACCGATTTGTTGGCAAAGTCGCCAATACGAACGATGTCGTCTACTTTTACCGGAAAAAGACTTCACAACGTAGGTATCTCTTCAGCCCTTTTCTTGGAAGCTAGCAGCGGGGCTTGTTAACACACTTTGCAGGCAAAGCGACAGCGACGCTTCCCGAGAATGTTCTCGAGACCCTTGGCGACAGCGCAGATGCCGTCAAAGTAGAGTCGTTGGTACAAGACTTCCTGTCTGCCCAGTCTCTGAAAGTCTTGCCCCAAGGCCCTTTTGGAGATGCTGTTAATCAATTCGTTTCAAAGGACGACAAACATGCCATGGAGCTCTTTGTCTCGGAACACTTGACGGGCCAGGTGAAACAGCTCCTTGGACTTGAATCCGACGATGAGGATCTCAACAGCGCCATGGACATTTACAGAACCAGGATTGAACAGCAAATGGCCAGTGGCCCTGGTCGAGGCATGTTCAACACTGACAGAAGACGGGTGTTGAAACCAAAGCCCGACACGTGGGACAGTGATTTCGATGGAAACTGGGAGGACGAGCCCGATGCGTGGACATACGAAGGTCCTGCTCACGACGAAAGAACGTCCGACGATGAGCAAGCGCCAGCGCCAAAGGCTACCAAGCGGGCAGCGAGGGTCACAAAGGCAGCCACCACAAAGGCCGCCGGGAAAAGTGTCTCGGCACAGAAAGCCCCAGCACGAGGGCGCGGGCGCAAAACGGTGGAGCAAGGCGAGGAAGATGAAGATGTTGTCATGGAATCAGAGGAGGAGGTTCGGCCACAGCCGAAACCTACGGCGAGGGGCAAGAGAGCAACGACGACGAGAAGCGCGGCACCAACAACGTCCAAGAAGACTACAACGCGAGGAGCCACAATGACCAGGCAGACAAGGCTGGACTTTTCCCAGAAGAGCGGGGGCGCCAGTCAAAAGGCTGTGGAAATTAGCGACGATGAGATATCTGACGACGATGCGTTTGAGCCCGCCCCTCCCGTGTCAAGTAGAACGAGGAGAAGATGATTTGAACGTGGTGGACCATGTATCGTAAAATGTATATACTCCATCCAACACACACAGCCTAACGTGTTGAAAAGTGATCATCATGTCATCATCCCGCCCTGAAAAGGATGCCACAGGGGTCAAGCATCACCACCGATGACTTCCTCGGACAATTGACTGGCGAAATAAGCCTCCATCTCGGCCCACCAATCCTTGATGCCGCGAATATCACACCAGGCGAGCTCGTACGGATCTTCAAACCACCAGGCGCGCGTGCCCCTGTCACTGGCATATTTCTTCAAACTGCCTCCATCAAACCTGTGGTTCTTGACGCCGGTCAATAGCACGGCGCTCCCGACCTTGGGGGTGAATTCGTCAGGGTCCAGAAACACAGCCAGATGAACCTGCTTCGCCGTCGAGGGGTCCGTCAGCCGCGCCGTGCGTTGCCTGTACGGCGGCAGATGGGACGACTCGACGCCAGACAGGGACGCCACGATGGCCAGGACGTTGCACGACCAGTTCTGGCGATACGGCAAGTTCGGCACCGACCGCAGCGTAGTGAGCTTCAGGGGCGTCTGGACGTCGTGCCAGTCCCGCGGCAGCGCGACAGGCAACCGCGGCTTGCCGTGAGCACGTTGGCCCGGCGCCCTCTGCTGCGTCCTGCTGACGGGGAACGCGAGCGCCTCGAACTCGTCCAGGGCATCCTCGACGTCGACGTCGACGTCGACGACCGCCTCGGGGCCGCCGCCGCCTCTCACCCCCAGGCTGGGCCCCCCCGAGGGCGGCCGCCTCGGCTGGGCAGGCGAACCAGGCGAGCCGGGGGCCGAGCATGCCGAGCCTGCGCGTGTAAACGCCGGCGCCAGCGATGGCGATGGCTCTCGCTCGCGCGACGCCTCGTCGGATCCGTCGTCGCGCACCTCGTGGGCGGCGTGGTGCATCTGGCGCACGCCCTCGTGGCACCCGAGCGTTTTCAAATCGTGGACGACCAGGTACACCATCTGCTGCACCTGGTCGGCCTCGGAGTCAATGTTCCTCAGGCGCAGCTGGAAGTCCTGCACGCAGACGTAGCTGCCGACCACGACCTCGCGCGTGTGCACGAAGCGGTGCATTGCGTCGCCCAGCACGGCCTGGATGCAGAGCTCGCCGTCGCCTAGTAGCAGACGGATGACCTGCCAGCGACCGGACTGCGTGAGAGGCGCGGCTTGCACGCCTTCGACGAGGAAGACGGATCCTGGGACTGCGAAGCGCGTCCGGACTAGGTCCTGGATGATGGGGCGGAGGACAATGGCGGCCGGGTCGGCGCTTGGTGGTTCCATTGTTTGATGCGGAGACTCGGAAGCATGACGGGTCGCGTGAGACGGGTTTTGTTTAGTTTTGGTGTCGTCGTGTCGTCTGCCGTTGCGTGGTGTTCACTGTTGGCGTGGCGTGGAGGTTGAGGGAGGCATCGAAACTGACTTCACTTGGAGGCGGAGAGGATGTTATGTCAGCTACTAGACGCACCGCATGAAACAACACCAGATGTATACATATATATAATCAGTAAGTGTAATCAAAGCCGAGGAACATGGTAACCGGGAATTGCATCCGCGGTCAACAAAAAAAAAGGGATTGAGGAGCGCACCACAGTCAAAAAGACACTCTCCCGCCGGGAATTGAACCCGGGTCTCAAGCGTGACAAGCTCTGACCACTATACTACGGAAGATACTACGGAAGATGATCTAAGCGTTTTGTCGCTTGTCGTAGGTGGGCGCGATGGATGAAAGCCGCAGTCTTATTTCACTATATCGACCTTTTTGTCCAGAATCTTGCGTCGTTTTTTCCAAGGCTTCGCAGCTTGAAGAGTGCAATTGCAATCGTGTCACAATCTAAAGTGACTATCTTGGCAGCTTGGTATAATCAGCATGTACATAATGTGTTAGTCACAAGGACCTTTTTGAAAATCAATGGCTTCAATACTAAAGTGCGTTATGCGCGAGTCGAGCTCAAGTCCTCCAAGCCCGCTTCTTGCACTGCTGCAGACGAGCCCTTGTCACAGAGGGCTTTGTCCATCCAGATGGTATCAAGGTTTGTCACCTCGTTGAGCAAAACACCACAACTGCAAACGTCGTCATTATGCCCAAGCACAACAACATACATTCAGCGGCAAGGCTCTGTCCTCGGCGAATGAGATGATTCCAAAAGAGGGGGACGTCGTGAGATTACTAGATGGGGCTTATAGCAAAAGGGCTCTCTATTTCACAAATAATGTGAAAGAGATGGCGTGGCTCGAAATCTGAGTGTCAGCATAGTTATTGGGTTTTTGTAGACTGGGACTCGGGCCATTTGAAATCAACAATCTCTTTTTTCGAATTCTACTCATTATATGTTGCGGCCATGAAGTCAGTCCTGAAAATGCCTCCCCCTAACTTGCAAAAGCTTAGGGTCCCGTTTTCGTTGCCGCCGAGTCTATTCCATGTGGGAAATCCGAGTGCAAAGACTGCGTACCGTTTTTACTTGAAGACTAATAAACACTATTATTGTCACTTTGTGATCCGAAGGTTAATTATTTCGATAAATTTGTGTGTCTCTACATGGTAATATCCCCTAGAACATCTTTATATCCTGGAAACCGTCGTTTTTTTTTCTGGATATACTATAGTTCCCTGCCTTTATTGTCCTAGAGCCCTGGTTGTAAATGTTACTAATAGCGATATCTAGATGTCTGCGACCGAATATCCCGTAAACTTTGTTTGACGTCAATTACGTGTGCCTGTGTCAGAGACCTAACGCTTGTCTAAGCGTTCAGAGGCGTAGGGCACAGTCACCTTTAATTTAACTTGACATAGTGGCATAATAGCCACTAAATTAGCAACAAACTAGCACCTAAGGAGTCTATGTATGTAAAGGGGAGTATTTCCTACTTTGATAGAAGGAGGCTTGAAGATTAACATAGTTATTACTACTAACCTAACTAGCTATAAAGTTATTGCAAAGGCTCCTTATGTGATCTACTCTTTACTCTGCTTTGAACACCCCACTGGCAGCCTGCCCTTGATTATCATTTATTAAACTAATGTCGTTGGAGTTGTCTGTTAAGTGACGTTGTGTCCCTGCAGAGATCCCGTCTCCCTGCTCTCATTGCAGACCTTGATTGAATTTGTTGGCTTCGCGCAAAGTAGGGTCGTGCTGCCTCAAATCTTGGCGTCGGCTCATTTTGGTCATTGCCATTTGGGTATTATGGGTTCCTTTTTTGATAGCCAAACAATTACCTGCGGCGGAGGAAGATTGGACCCATCTGCGAAATGTCATGTCACATCGTCACTCGTGGCTACTCTCATATTACCGCTGGGATAGATACTTGCTGATGGCAAGCAGATATTTTAAAGCCGACCGTAGCCAAGTTAGGTCGGCCATCCCAATTTGTAGGCTAATTGAGGGACTCTTTATAATATAATAGATATAATAGATAGAGCTTATGTAATCTAGTTAATTACTAAGCATAAGATAATAGGGATTCTTAAGGTATAATAGAAGTAACTTTAGATATAGTATAAAATTATATATAATAGTATATATTAAAGAGTATAGTTATAAAGGCTTTATTTTCTCTCTATCTAGTTAAAGAAAAGAAGAGTTATTTATAAGTAAATTCTATAAAAGAGCTGCTAGATTAAGTATAGATAGTAGCTTAAAATAACCTTA